TTTACTTACTAGTAGATTAATATCTTAGTTTCTATAAACTATTTAAAGTTCTAATAGTTAATGAAGATTTTAAAGTAGATACTTCTAAAGTAATAATACTAATACTCTAAGCTTTTAACTATAACTCATAAGTTTTAGTTATAAGTATTATAATTATACTATACTATAATAAGTTTATATAATTAGATATTAATTAGTTTCTAATTAGCTTTATTAAAGTAGTCTAGTATATATTAGCTTAGAATACTCAATATTACGCTACTAAAGGTATCTACTTTTACTTTAGTCTTTTAGTCTTTACTAAAGTAAGTAAGAATGAAATATTTTAAAAAAAGAGTTTTTTAACTTTTAAAAGAGTTTTTTCACTCTATTTCTAATATTAAATATTTAACTTTTCTCTTTCTATATAGCGTAGCTAGTTTTAGCTATACTTAGGTATTTTTCAATTAAAAAAGTTAAAAGTTATACTAATTTAAAAAAACTAGTAATAATCTAATAATAATAGTTTATAAAATTAATAAAAATTCTTATATTATATACTATACGTAGTTTTAGCTAGTTCTAGATTATTTTAACTTAATCTTAGTTAATTTTAATCTCTCCTAGTATAATTATATAATTTAAGTACTTAATATAATATTTTATACTCTTTTATTATATTTAAAATAATTAGAAGATTATATACGTATACTATATAGAATACGTTAATTAACTCTATTAAAGTCTAGTTAATATGTATTTAAAATTCTATACGTACGTTAATAAAGCTAAACAATATTTAAGTATACTTAAAATAGCTATATTAAGTATAGAAAGTAGTTTTCTACTTATTACCTTTCTAAATATAGATCTAATAATATAATTCTCTTATATCTAACTTAGTATATTAGTTAGCTTATACTAACTTATTTAAAACTTTTATAATAAGAAGTAGAAAGTTTTTATTCTTAATTATAATCTTATTTAAGCTATAATAGTTAATATAAAGCTTTATTATACTATTCTTTTTTTTTCAAAAAGAAAATAAAAGCGCTAGCTAAAAATATAAATCTTCTAATTTATCTTTCTATAATAAAATTCTTTAGATACTTTTTTAGAAGCTTTAGTTCTATCCTTAAGAAGTTATATAATAAGTTATATAGTAAGCTAAAACTAAATTCTAAATTAATAGCTAAGTTTTATAAACTATAGTTAGTAAGTATTATAAACTCTTCTTTAAAATATATATCTATATATCTAGCTTACTATAGACGTAACTAGTTAATCTTAACTAATTTCAGACTATTTTAGCGTACTAAACTTATAAAATATTTCTATATATATCTACTAAAAGGTTGCGTATAGCTTTTTTAGAAAATTCTAGATTTTTAATACTTATCTTCTAAAAATAAAGCTTATTTTTAGCTTTATCTCTTTAAAATAATATTTAACGCTTACTAAATCTAGTTTTAAGTTATAGTAGTTAGTTTATAGTAATCTCAAGTAGATTTAGTACTTATTTACGTCTACTACTATAAATAAAATATACTATATCTTTACGTAGCCTTATAAGTTAGTTATAGTTATATTTATTTTAGTTATACTATATACTATAAGTTTCCTACTATTAACTTTTCTAGCTATTAAGTTTAGTAATAAGTTAATATATAAGTCTAACTCTTTAGTTAGAGTTACTAATAAAAGGTTTTATTATAAGTCTAGGTTTATAAACACTTTTATTAGTTATAATTACTTAACTATACTCTATACTATTAAAAGCTTTATAAGCGCTAGCTAAAGCGCCTTATAAAAAGTACTAAAATTTTTATTTTCTATATTAAGAAAAACATAGATAGTAAGATAAAAAATTAGTTCTTTTACTTTTAGTCTTTTCTTAATTTAAGTATAGTAGTAGTTATTAGTAACTTATTAGCTTTATCTACTATTAGATAGTTAGTTTTATAATATTATAGCTCTTTATATCTATAGTAGGTTACTAATTTATTAATAGTATTATTATAACTTACTTTACTCTATTTTATATTAAAATTTCTTACTTATATATACTTAGTATCTCTTAAAGTCTTATTAGCTTCTCATAATTTATTCTAATTATAAGTAAAGTAAGGTCTATTCTTTCTAGATAGTTACTATTTCAATTTACTTACTTTGTTTTTTTAGTAAAAAATAAGGTTAGTATATACTTTTACTTATAGTAATATATATCTATAGTCTATTAATAGTAATAATAGACTTTTCTTAATATTATTATATAATACTACTATATATAATCTAGAACTTATTAATTTAATTAACGTGCTAGTAATAAGACGTAAGTACAATACTATTAAGTTATACTATATTATATTACAGTAAGAGTTTGTTTCTAAATACTTACTTAGCTTTACTATATATAGCTATATATATACTTATTTAAAAACTTATTAATTATAACTAAAGCTAATACTATAAGTTTTATATAGTATTAGAGAGCTACTATAAAGTTTTAAATAGTTATTATAAAGCTTATTCTTAAGATAACAGTATAGTTTTATTAAGAATAACTATAGTTAATACTAAGTAACCAGAGTTTTAGACTATAGAATTTAAATTCTAGAAAGTATTTAAATATAAACTTGAATTTTTTTTTTCTAACTCCTATATTCTAATATCTCAAAGCTAACTATCTTTATTATATAGTAAGTTATTATATATAACTATATTATAATCCCTCTTAGGCCTTAGAGACGGGGCCTATAGTATTTCTATATTACGTATTATTACGTTATCGCGTTATCGTATAATATTATAGTAGTATTAAGAAAATTTTAAGTAGCTAAGCCTAAAGCTAGCGTTAAAATATAAACTTTTTACTTCTATATAATAAAGTGCTATATAGTTATACTATAATAGAATATACTTATTATTATAGCTATTACTAACACTACTTAGAGACTAAGTAGTAGTATTATTAAGTATATTATAGTAACTACTTTATTATAAAGGTAAGTACTAGTGCTATTATAATTATAATTATAATTATAATTACTTCTAAGCAGCTATAAATACCTATAGCTTAGTAGCAGTTCTATTATCTAAGATAACTATATTAGTTACACACCTACTAGATTCTTTTATTATTACCTCTTAAGCTGTCTAAGTCGCTAAATTAAGTATTTACTATATTATACTTATTTTAGTTTATAAATTATAATATAAATAAAGTTTAGCTAACTTTTTAATTAACTCTTATTAATAGTTTAAAAGTATTTATTTTACTTATTAGTTCTTATACTCTTAGCTATAACTATATTATATAACTACTATAATCTTATATTTTAGGTATAAGTAAAAGCTTTATCTTCTAAATTTATATCTTTTTTAGCTAGTATAAAAATAGTATTAATAAAGAGAAGTTTAATTCTAAATAGTTCTTTATTAAATCTACTTTTAAGCTCTTCTACGCTTAAGTTAAATAAGCTAACTAGCTATATATAAGCTTATACTTAGTAACTAAAGTTACTTTTAAAGCAGTCTATATTAAGAATAACTTAATTCTACTATATTAATAGGTAGCTATTAGCGTAGTATTTATGGTTATTATTATTATTATTAAAAGAACTATAAAATTCTCTATAACTAAGCGCTCTATACCTATAATATAGTTATATATAATAATTTATAGTAATATATTAAAGATAGTAAGCTTAAGTATAATAATAAGACTTAAGATATTAGAATATAAAAGTTAGAAGAAGAATATTTAAGTCTATATTTAAATATTTTTAAAGATTTAAATTTTATAGTTTAAAACTCTAGTTACTTACTATTAACTATAATTATCTCTAATAAAACTATACTCTTCTTCTAATATTAAGCTTTATAATAACTACTTAGAGCTAAGAGCTCTATAGTAGCTCTCTAAAACTATATAAGACCTATAGTATTAGCTTTAGTTATAATTACTAAGTTTCTAAGTAAGTATATATATAGCTATATATAGTAAAGCTTAGTAAGTATTTAGAAATATACTTCTACTATAATATAATATAGTGTAACTTAACAGCGTTGTACCTGCGTATTATTACTAGTATACTTATTATATTTATAAAAAGGAAATCCTAAACCTTATTATATAATTAGATATATTAATTGTAATCTAGTTATTTAATTATAAAGAGAAATTTATAAATATAGTTATTAGTAAGTAAGTAAAGTTTAAACCTTTAGAATTTAATTTTTAAGAATTATTTAAATAGAAACTTTAATTTTCTTTTTTTAGCTTCTTTACTATTATATTATATCTTTAATATAGAGTAAATAATTATCTATAATAAGATTGCAGCTTTTAAGCGCTTAGTCTTAGGAGATTTAGTAACAACTATAACTACAAAAGAGGCTAAAGATTAATACAGTATAGCTTTAAGCTATTTATTATAGTAGAGTATTAAAGGCTTAAAGATTCTCTTTTGATATTTATAAAAAGTAGTATAGCTACTGTATTGTACGAGTACTTAGAGAAGTAGTCAAGAGCCCTAGTTGTACGCTTAGCTATAGGTGCACCCTTGTTATACAAAGAGGTCTGTTTGATAACGCTATACCAATCTCCGATATAAGCTTCTCAAGCCTGCACGGAACGAGTATCGTCTAGATGTTGTAGATGGCTAGGAGTCGAGAGGCTTTTTCTCGGTTTGATCTCCAATATTTGTGGAGACTGAAGGGTCTACAACAGGTAATACATGCCAGGGTATAGGGGGACAGGTCGTTGCGCGTTCCTTTGTCAGGGTCTCCGCGTTCATTGGGGTAAGGCAACTAGATGCGGTACGATAATGTATATATAGAGAGAATGTGTTCTGATTCGCAGAAGGGCCGGATATTGTATCTGCTGGTGGGAGGGAAGACGCTTCTTGGGGCAGTGAGAAAGTAGGTTGATACTGGAGAGTGTGGGTTATAAACGTTTCTCGGCGAAGCGGACTGGTACTCAATTTAAGACGCCTCGATAGGTCAGGTTCGGCGTTACGCTAACCGACTGAGGTCGCTTCGTGCGTTGATGTCAGGAACCTATCGTGCTCTTCACGAGTAGAGTTCTCTCCTGCATTGCAACCCGGGATCAACTCCCTCGTTCCAGTGCTAAGACCCTGTTTTGTTCTCATAGCAAGGAAGATCCACAAGCCGTATTTTTGCGCGACCATCTCTAGAGACGAGCAGCCGAGAGGGTCCCACTCACCAGTCCTTCCGAGAAATAGGCAAGAGTGACTGACCCGATCGAACTCTTCGATATGAGCTATGGGTGACTCATTAAAGATCCTCTCAATGCGTTGAGCAGAGCAAAACAATTGTTCCATCAAGGACCTGACTAATTCGCGGCTCTCCGCTGCCCGCGAAGTAGGAGCAACGGATTTGAACTCTGCAAGCATCATTTTGCAGAGAGCTATGTCAGGATGAAAGCTTGGCTGTGGCCACTCCGCAAGCAATCTCTGGATCTCTGTCGTCATAATGAAGTCTTTGATCGTCCAGTGGAGGAAGTCAACGTGTGTTTCAACACGTCTTTTAGTTTCTTGTGTAAGTCGCCGTCGACGCTCAATATGCATCGTTTTCGTGACTTTCAGAAGACATCTGCTACGTCCGTTGATACGAACTGTCATCTCTTCTGTGATCTCAAAAAGCTTCGATGCTTCTAATGTTCGCGGTTGCATGGTGATAGCAAAGTTTGGATCATCGTCAATCTCATCTAGAAACCAATATGCGACTGTCGACAAAGGCGCAAGAGCGGTCAATGCTATCTGAAACATGTATGAAAGATGAGTTCGGTATATGGTATCCAATGATATGAACATGTGACGGAAGAATTCATCGAGATCGCTAGGGAACGCATTTAGTCGTTTGCGTAATAAAACCAGACTGTCTCCATTCCTCAGCCCTTCTTCGAGGGAACGAACAGCGAGACGTTCCCAGAGGAAAACTCCTTGCGATTTCTTGATAAGTTCATTGATGATTTCGTCGACTTGTGCTGGTTCGATCCGTTGGATGTTGCGATGCTTCCTAAGCCTTTCGTCGGCATAAAGCTGTATGTCCTTTTTGTTGAGATCCTGGAGATATAGTTTCAGTGACCTAGAAGATCCAAAAGCCTCTTCGAAGATGTTCCAAGGCCGACTTGCTATGCACAGCTTGACGCCGACCTTGATCAGGTGACATATGGTCTGTATAACTTCTTCATGATCTCCATCGTACTCATCAAGACCGTCAATGAACAAACGGAACTTAGCACTCATGTTCTCCACCAAGGAGAGATATTGGAAAGATTTCAGAAGCACTCCTCGTGTTCATGCAGAAGATTCCCAGGGTACTTTAGTGAGATTAGCGCTGGAAAGATGCTTGCTGGCGGCTTGCCATGCTTCCGGTAAGAGGCACTTGACCAAACCTTGGTTTTGACAAAGTATTTCATGGAGCAATGCTCAGAGTAGGCCCTCCAACGAACGTTGTTGTTCTGTGCCGTTGACCCAGAAGTAGTAGTCAGCGACAATAAGTCTGTGTGGATCTGACCATTGACGTAGAGCTATTGAAGTTTGAGAATTTCTAGCCAGATATTTCATCGATGTGCTTTTACCACTACCTGGTTTCCCACTAATCCAGATAACAAGGTCTGGAGACTGTAGCCACCTGGAGATCTTATTCTTGGAAGCCCACTTGAACGTTCCAGGATGAGCTTCGTGTATTGCCGTGTGCCGATAACGCATTCCTTCGAAAGTGAGGCTCCTTAGGAGTGTTAGAGAGATAGCGACATCAGATTCCTTCAATAGGCTTTTGGTGAGGTTCGTTGCAGGGGCTGTAGTGGTATTGGAAACAACCGCCGTCTCATTGTGTTTCTTATGGTTTGAGGATATGATCTCTCGTAGCATCTCGGACTGTGCTTCATCGGTATCTCTTTCAAGTTTTGCCAAGGCGAAGTCGATTTCATTCTTCAAGTTCGTGATCTGCAGAGTCAAATCCTCAACTCCTTGGCGGTGTCATTCATCTAGTTGTGCGAGCAAGCGCGGCCATGAAACTGCTCCATTTCGAGTTTGGCCTCTTGACTTTGAGCTGTTGTATAGCGGACAGTAATTCGACGGCTGTTTACTTGCAGTCTGCTGCCAGTTCGAACAGAGACTGATGTTGCTGTAATTCCAGCTGTTGGTCTTCCGAGTTGCGAGCTTGACTTATCTTCTCGCAACATTGCTGTAGTCTCTGTGTTACATTTTCTACGTCTTGATGAACCTGAGCGGAACCGCTGGACGAATGTTGTATTGATGTGGCGGTACTGAATACTTCACAAGAAAAGGTGACAAACTGAAGGATGTTTGCGGCAAGACCGATCGCGGCGAGCGCTTCGAGAACCATGGTAGTGAGTGGGGGAGCACACTATCAGGCCGAGTTCTCATGAACGCCTTTATCGGAGTCTCGTGACGGGAGGCTGAGTCGATCAACCTACTTACCCCGCTACGGTAGCTCCTAGTCACATGGTGGAGGCTGAGCACGTTGGAGATGACCAACCAAAAATACGCATTCCAGCCAACGCCGCAGCTGCCTCTTGAGGTCCAGCTTAGTGTGTCAGCCGTATCTCTGCCTCACTGCTAATCGAAAACATGTAAGCTGTACCTGATGCGCACATGGCATTGTTTTTTATGAGCCTCACTGGACCTCTCTATACGCAATCGCATCACGCACTTTGAACACAATCTCGCTGAGGTGGTAGCTCTGTTGAGACTGCATCGTACCTGCAAACTAGCGATGTTACCATCTCTGTGCGCGCGATAGTCATGGGCAAGCGATAATTACTCTACCAACTCTATAACCTTATATACATTTAATAGTAGCATAACATCGCTCAATAAGCTTAACTATGTCGGATTTACATGCGAACTTTGCAGGTCTTCGATTTCGTGACCTTCTTATCGCTCTCACTTGTTGCAATGAGAGTTACGGTGGCTTCCTTCGAGCAGCCGCTCTCGCAGCCAACAGCGACATTAACTGTCTTTTGCTTACCTGCCTTTGCATATGCGAGCGCATTAGGCAACGCGACCTTCCAGCCTTCGCCTTTCACGTCTGCGCTCAGACGGTGGATATCGGACCCAAGGTATTCCGAGAGGTCTTGTGGATGGGGGTTTGTGGCCAGTACTGCAGCTTTTCCAGTGTTCTTCAGCTCGAACGTGCAGTAGGTGCCATCAGCAGGACTGGTCGAGTATCCGCTACTTGCGACCTTTCCAGAACCAAGCTCGATACCGTACTGAGCAGATGTCGTTACGTTAGTCGCGGTCGAAGCAACACCCACGTTGTAGTGTAGTACTCCAGCGTCGTCCATGAGCTTCTCGAGAATGTACATGTGCAACCCGTTTTCCTCATCGATGTACTCGTACTCCGAGCCGGAGTCGGTGCCAGCATGGAACAGCGCATCCACTAGCTGTCTGTAGTCTCCAATCGTCCAGTACCTCGCGGTTCCATTGGGAAGATAAAAGTCAATTTGACGCGCATCCTGTGGGTTCGCATCAATCGTCCACTGGAATGGCTGCACACGATCGCTGTTCTTGGTCTTGCTAATCATAACGCCTGAATCGGGGCAGAAGGAGTCAGCACCGAGGCGCTGAACGACTTCAAGGTTGTAGTTGTTGTAGCCACGACCGTCGCACAAAGCGTCGAGAGTCACGTTGCATGGTGGTGCAAGGTCACCAGCAGCGCCAAAAGAGATGTTGAATCCCATCAGGCTACCAAATGGGTCGACAGAGCGAGCAGTGATCTGCGCGACGACGGGGCCTGAAGCTGCGAGACCTGCGCGAGAGATCTGGAGAATTGGCGTGGTATCAATGAGACCAATTTGATGCTTGTCACGCATGGTGTGTAGAGACCCCATGGAAGCTCCTTGTACGGGTGGTATCTGCCAGCGTGTGTGAGGACCTCCAGGTCCGTTAAAGCTACCTCGTGAAAGCATGCTCCAGGGACCGGTGTACGTGCGTCGAGGAGGGTCGCTGAAAGGATTGTTGTAATTGTCGCCAATACCGAGCAGATGCGACAGTTCGTGAGCGAACGTAGCCATGCCACTAGATTCACCTTGGGTTGAAGAGCCACCACCAGCATTTGGCCAGATGGTGGAGGCTGCAGCCCACGACGACCACTCAACATAGCGAGTGCTGGCCCAATTTGGAAGCGTAGAGTTTTCTGGTGGCCCAAAGTCCTCTGGGACATCTTCCTTGGAAAGGAACTTCATCTCACCAAACTCTTGCCATGTCGAAGACTCATCTTGGCCAGCAGAAAGGATGAAAGCTAATTCATATGCGTCTGCTGTCTCGTTTCCAACATCTGCACGCCATGCTCCGAGCGCATCAGTTCTGAGATCGACTGAGCATGGTGGGCCTTCAGGGCAAGCGCCTTCGTTGAAACCACCCTCTTCGTCGTCGACTCCATACTGGTAGCTTCTAGAGGGCATGCGGTATGGACCAAAGACAGTCAGGTCAACACCATACTTTCCGAAAGAATCACCCATCCAGTATTCGTGAAGCGTGTGGCCTTCGTTGAGATCGCTGGGTACATTGAGCAGATCGTGGTAGAACTTTGGTACATCATCGCGGCTCAACCCAGCCGCAAGGGGCTGAGGATTACCGAAGATATCTGATAGAGCCGGTAGAGTGACGACGAATGGTGAGTCTGGATAGTCCACGGTCACCATGGCAATGTTGAAATTCCGGTCTCTGCCCTTGCGGGACGGATCGGCCCAATTAGTCGTTGGTGGTGCCTTGTAATCTGTTCAAACATCAGTATACATATGGCGTTGTACACAGCACGCAGACGTACCATCCCACGTCATGTTGTCTGGGTTGACCCAGTTTTGAGGATCAATCGGCGTGAACGGATTTGACGGCTGACTCTGGCGGAGAACTACAGCAGAAGCTGCAAAGTCGAGCATCATGCCAATGGCAACAGCCATTGAGGCTTGAGGTCGACTTGAAGCCACCATTGTTCTTCGCGAAATTCTTTGAAGTCTGCTGGGCAAAGAGCAGACCGAGTGCGCGGAGATCAGGAGCCGAGCGAGTCGAGAGGATGTTATCATATATTCGGAAGCGCATCATCAATATTGGAGCATCTACCGTACCCATGGTGCCGGCTACGTAGGGCAAGACAGATACCCAAGTACAATTCATATCCGGCTGCCTCTTACAGCTAGGTCAATCTGTCCCGCTGGCTTGGCAACCAGACACCTGCTGTTTTTAGCATGAGGGGTTGACATTATTGATAACGGCTTTGCTTGGTCCTGCACATAGGTCGATCCTGGGCGTGTTTGTATTCAAGGGTCAGATAGCTTGTGTCGTGCAAGGCTTGGTTGAACAAGGCTTACTTGTTCAGCGTCATCTTAGTAAACCCTGCGGAGCTTGTCCGCATTTGTGGCGCAAAGCCTCAAAAGCAGGTCAGCCTTGACTGGCGGGCACTAGGAACCACTGATGCATTGTGTGGATGATGGCTAATCGCAGCGCAAGAACGCTATATGACACAATGATAGAGGCTGTAGCTGCGCCGACATGGGCTCGCAGTTCGCGTACATGCGCAACGCCATTGCGCGCATTTAGCCGAGGTAGCTCGCCAACGCGCTCTTCTCTCCTTTTCTCGACCCATCTGCGCGCGACTCCGATACTACCTAGGTAATGCAGCCGCTATACATCTCTATTCATCTGAGAATGTAGCGAGCCTTCACATCTTATGTTTGTCTCAATGCTTATCAGTTTCTCCAGACAAGAGTAGAGATTGAGGTGAGAGACCGACGGACGATGCACAAGTCGGGCCTCAAAGCTTTTTGTCGCTGCCACTGCGCATCAACTCCACACGACCGTTTCAAAAGCTTCGCATGGCTCGCCGTCTCCTTTATAACCAAAGGACTAGAGCCTTCGACATGAAAGGGCGTGAAGGCTGTCTTGTCGCGTGGAACGGTATCGTGTACTCAATATTCTTGCTCTCACTTCCACGGGTCACGTAAGACAAGCACACTAACCTGTTCTAGCTAACAAGATGGCCAAGACTCCTCGAAAACTGGCAACATGCATCATAGCGTATACCCATCCGCTTGAGGTAATTCAGATGCAGGCGTCCAGCTCAAATACAGTAAGACCTGCAGCGATACTTGTTCAACACGCAATGCGTTCGAATCATTTCAACTGTTTTTGCGGCTATGTCAGCCGCCTAGGAATCTCACTGCTGGACTTGGTCAACGTAGAACATATCAAGACGATTGCGAACTTATTGCCGCATGCGATACGTCTCCGTAATCCAGTTCTTGCATTGTTTTTCCTATAAGACCGGCCTCATAGCCATTCGTTTCACGCGCTCAAACCCTAGATGATAATCCGCTTACTTCTAGCATCTTGATCTTCATTATAGTCTTCTCAGACCGTACCTCCCTAACCTAATTACATCGTCGCAACCACCGACAGCGCAAAGAACAACCATGAGATCGTACATTCACAACGTCAAAACAGTGATTGCGGTCGTTGGTCTGGCCCACAGTTTCTTTGTAGCTGCGGTGCCGAACGATAGCATGATATACAGCTTCTCGGAAGTCAGTGACTCTCTTGTCTAGATTCATAATTATACATTAACTCCTTTCTGCAGTTGACTGCCAGTTCAGTGCTTGCCTGGACATCCTGTTACGAGAACTTGTGAGCGTCTCCAGCATTCTCAGGCTAAACAATACTAAAACCCATAGCACTTGCGCTCTTCTGGAAGTTCCACTCGACTACGCGGTACCATCCCTCGGTACTCTCAACGTAGCTATCATCAAGAAGCCAGGCCCAACCCACGATGCACAAGAAGTTCTTGTCAATCCCGGAGGGCCTGGTGGCTCTTCCGTCGCTATGGTACTTTCAGATCACGCCGCTATCGAGGCCAAAATCGGCACCAATTACTCCCTAGTCGGAATCGATCCTCGCGGTGTCAACAACAGCGAGCCAACAAGCGACTGCTTCGTAGGGTACCCCTTCCAAACCCGCAATGCCTTTCTCTCGGATGCATTGGGCCTCGCGGATGTGACATCGGAGGCAGTATTGAAGCGACAGCATCAGTCAGCGTTGGCGTATGGCAAGTGGTGTACAGGAATGTACTCCGTGAATGGCACTGCAAGATATGCCAACACGGTGGCCACAGCTCAAGATATGCTTCGCTACATCGAGCTTCGTGCACAAGATCGTGGGCAGCCCTCACAAGATGCAAGATTGTGGTACTATGGCATTAGCTATGGATCGATTCTTGGTGCCACCTATGCCAGTCTCTATCCTAGCCGTATTGGTCGTATGATCATCGACGGCGTGCTCGATCTGGAAGACTACTATGATGGCGGTTGGGAGGCAGCCATCGATGACACCGATAAAGCCGTTAGCTACTTCTTCAAGTACTGCTTCGAAGCTGGACCAGCTTTGTGCTTGTTTCACCAGAACGCCACCTCTTGGCAGCAACTCGAAAAACGCTACCATAGCCTCCTGAGCGATCTCATGTCGTCACCCATTGGTTTAGGCGACCCGACCTCGAATACGTCGATCCTCTTTGCACAAACACAGGGCGTGCTCCTCTCACCCTACGTGCTCACCTGGACCGATATTGTCAGCCAGATGTTCGCATCCGTGTACCTGATCAGTCCGATCTATGTTTACGTTATGGACCTCGTCCTCGTTGCGCTGCAAACACAGGACGTGGAGTCGCTCGCTGCCATAACAGAGAAAAGTCAGATCAGTACCTTTCGCCCTCAATACGACGACCGCATGGCACGGACACTAGTCTCTTGTGTCGATACCGACGGTCGGTCTGACAAATACAGTGATTTTGGAGAATACAAGAAGTTTGTCAACTACATGTATAACCGAAGCAACTCTGGTGGACTTAGTGTGGCTGCTATCAATGGGCCGATTTGCAGCAGGCTGGACGTGCGGCCGCCTGTCAGTCAAAAGTTTGACGGAATACCACGAGTGAATGGTACAAGCGCGCCGATACTATTTGTGAGCTCTATCGCCGATCCCATTACCCCTCTTTCATCGGCGAAGAAGATGCATGGCCTATTCCCTGGCTCCGGGCTTCTCACTTTTAACAACAGCGGTGTAAGTGATTTGGTGACATGACCTTGATACCCCTTTGCTCTAGTTTTTACAACTTGGACAACTCGATGCTGACTGGCAGTTGCAGCATACAGCACACTTTCAGAATGTGACATGCGTTTCTGAGTACGAGATGCAGTATATGCTCGACGCGAGTCTACCTCGCCCAAACACAGTGTGCGAAGTCAACGAACCAAACCCTTGGAAACAACTGGGGGACATAGTCAATGCCACGCAATCGTCGTTGGGGTTGAATGCGCTGTGAAGGCGTGGATGATGTGTGGCGGGATCGTGTTCATGCTCATGTGGTAGTGTATGTTGGTTAATTGCTGGTCCATGCATTTGTTGTCTTGGTATCTCTATAACGTGGATGCGAGCCTGTGAATGAATAAGATTCAGCATTGTATACAAGTGATGCGGGCTAGACGAAGGAGGCGCAGTAGTAAGCGGGGTATTCGCGGGAAGGGACGAGGCCCAAGCTCCAGCCCACGCGTGCCTGCTGTCTAGGTACTCACTCCCCCACAACCCTTCCTTGATGCTACTTGGACCTGCAATCCGAGCACTACGACCGCCCATGACGAGCGCATACTACCTTGCAAGACCGTTGTCGTCTCCATCTCGCAGCCCCTCACCGAACATGGCCGACACCCTTTCTCTCGACGAGATGCCCACCCTGACGTTGCTATACAAGCTCAAGAAGATCGAACCCCGCGACGACCATGACACGTCCAAACTTGAAGCATCCGATGCGCTGAACAACAAGATCAGCGTCATACGGCAAGACATCACAACCCTCGCCGTCGACGCCATCGTCAACGCCGCCAACACTTCATTGCTGGGCGGCGGAGGCGTTGATGGCGCCATCCATCGCGCAGCCGGGCGGGGCCTGCTGGACGAGTGCAAAACACTCGACGGTTGTGAGACGGGCAGCGCCAAGGTGACAGACGGCTACGAGTTGCCCAGCAACAAAGTAATCCACGCTGTTGGTCCGATATACTGGAAAGAAGGCGCGGCGCGCTCAGCAGAACTCCTATCAGGCTGCTACCGCGCCAGCTTAGACTTGGCAGTTGCGAACGGGTGTAGGAGCATCGCCTTTGCGGCTTTGAGCACTGGTGTGTACGGCTACCCGAGCGGTGAAGCCAGTCTGGTCGCGCTCGAGACAGTCCGCAAGTTTCTTGACGACGAGGCCAAGGCAGACAAGCTTGACCGTGTCATCTTTTGCAACTTCCTCCAAAAGGACGAGGACGCCTACTTCAAGAACATCCCGTAAGTCCCACATGCCGCTTAACTCATTCCATCTACTGACTTTCACCAAGTAATTTCTTCCCGCCCATTGCCTCCGACTCCAAGACGCAAGAGGAACAGTCTACCGAGCCGTCCGAACTCGCATCGCAGCTTCCCGACGCCCCAACGGCCGAGCCACAAGATACCGAAGATGTCCAGCAGCCATCCTCCAAGAAGCAGAAGACGTCCGATACCGACGATGACTTTGTCGTTGTAGAGAAGGAGCATGTCCACGATGACAAGTCCAAGCCTGAGCTCTGAAGCCATCACTGGTGGACCATCTTATAAATTGGCACGGATGACTTTGAATATCACGTTTGACTTGCGTTGATGTACATTGCATAATGGGCACAAGAGGCGTTTGGTGATCTGGCGCGGGAAGTTTATACCCTGGATACGACTGATGAATTACATCTAATGACTATAAGTGGAGATTAGCGCGCGGGTTCCAGTCCACTGTTGTATGTGTGTACTACGTCGTGCATGCGCCGTTCAAGACCCCGTCTCAGTAGTCTCTCACTTTCTGCTCAGGCAGTACGTCGCACTTCCCTGCCAACGAATCTGACCTTCCGCCTGGTCAGTATATCAACTTCCTGTCCAAGAACGAATTTTTGCCCAACACCAACCTCTTGCCCAGGACTTCTTGCCCAAATGTGCCTCCTCGAACAGGGTGATTGCAAGTATGAGATGCTAATTCACAAGTATGCTGAGGAGCGCTCTACAATTCGATCACGTACCGATAGTCCTTTGGTGCATTCAATTCACTACCGAAGAACTACTGACATACAAAAACAGCTGGAACCACTTCCGCCTCGCTTGGCAATATGATCCACGATACCCACTCCCCCTCCTCCGTTCCGCGTATTGCTCTTTCTCTTCTTACGGCCAATGCGTTTCCTGAGGAGGGATGTTGTTCTGATAGGGTGAACGTGAGCGACGCGGGCCATGCGTCAAATCATCAAGCTGCCTAGCCAGACGTGGCATGTCAGTGACATCTTCGCTTTGACGTGGTATAGTGCGCATGCCACCGCTGGATGCTGTGCGAGGGGTTTCGACTAATCCAGGCGGTGTATCGAGCGCTGGCGCTTGCCAGTTGCGATCAAGACTAGCTTTCACTTCGACATCTGATGCGTTCTTTGCGCGTAGCGCAGGGACGCGCCCGTGAAGACACTTCCGAACTAAGGTAATAAGAAACAAGACGAAAGCTAAGCCTACGATTCCGCCCAGGATACTGGCAAAAGCTATCAAACCGGTCTTGCTCTCGCTGGGATCCGGGCGATGCGTATCTATCCAGTCGGACGTTGATGTGTGTGTAGGCGTGGATACCTGGCTATGGGCGAGAAACGTGGAAGGCGTCGAGACTGGCTCCGTTGGCACAGGCACAATAGCAGAGTCGGACCATGCAGGTTGTGTCCACGCTGGCTCGCTCCACACCGGTTCGCTCCATTCCAACTGGCGAGCCTGCAGATTATCAACAATAGTAGACGACAGACTCTGAGCGGCAACACTTGACGTTATCATTACTGTGACTTTTGTTGGTTCTGAGGTGGATTGAAAAGCGCTCACCGGCGCTGCAGAGATGGCCGACGCACCCGAAAGAGTGATGATGAGAAGTTGTGAGAACATTGTTGAGTAGAATACGCACGGCGGCGATATTTGCAGGCAAACAACGAAATGTGATTGCCAAGAACAGTTGGCTGCCGCAGACTGTGAATCCGTCTGTCTTTTTCTTCACTTTCCTTTGTGACTGATTCTGGTAACTGCGTGACAACAGTTTAGGCGCTTTGAGTGATTAGCTTCTTGCTTTATATCTAGTACTCCAATGTTTGTTGACCTGTGATGATTTTATTGTAGGTACATGCAGTGTATTGTGAAAACATAGTCAAAGTTCTTCAAACAACGACTATGAAGGTAATGATGACGAAAATGTCGCACCATGTGAGAGCAATGCGTCTCGATCCGACAGGGTACAGCATCATCCCAGCAATCGTGAATCACACGTTTCGAACGTACTTGACTGGCCCTGCATACACATGCCTACCACGAAGAACATAGTAGAAGATTGCGAACAAGACGACTATACCATATCCCAAGACGGCCCAGTTCATGTCTGCTACCGCCGGTTGGGGTCCAACAGGGAAGAAGCAAAATATCCAAGCAAAGAGCAGAAAGAGGACAGCAATGATGTTGATCGGCAGTCCTAGCCTTCCCAGATCGAACTTGGATGACAAGAGCGGTTCGCCGCGTATACGTTTCAATGCGATACATGAGATCGAGATCATGTACGAGGTCAGCATTGAAGCGACACCGAGGGAGACGACCTGCATGAATGCGACAGTGGAGCCAAGGTTGATGAACGAGAGAATAACAACGAACACCAGCGTTATGTAGGCAGAATTAACTGGTACTTCCCGCTTAGGCGAGACCTGCAAAATGTCAGTATGACATCCTCAACGATAGATGCCGGACACTGGAATCCACGAACCTTGCTAAAAACTTGACCAAACGGGATACCGTCATCGCGGGCGAAAGCGAACACCTGACGCGAGCTTGCAGCCACAACCGCAGCGCATGCGAAGATAGCGATAACCAACATCAAGACTGTAAGTGCAGTTGCGCCCCCTACCGACTTCGTTGTGTCCACGAATACCTGAATGAAGGGCGTTCCAAGCGGCGTAGTAAGGACCGAGATAGTGTCGGTTACACAAAAGCAGAAGGTGATGGCCATGACCCATCCAAGAAGCCCGTTTCCAAGCCAAGTCCACATCATGGCGCGAGGAATGACATGAGCAGCGTCACGTACTTCTTCTGCCATGTGAGCACCAGCTTCGACACCAACGAATGTGCTAGTAGCACTTGTAAGGCCAAGAATGACTGCGAACGGGAGATTTCCCCACATCATGTTATCCTGGAAGACCGAGAAAACCTCGCTCGACGAGTGCGTCCGGTCGCTCATGACCCAAAGTGGTATGATGACAGCGAAGAACCCAACGACGTGTAGTATGACAACCCCGCCCTCCACAAGTGGAAGATATCTAGAGAGAAATGTGTTGAAGATCAGGCATACAGCCAGAATAGCCCAGATAAGTAGTGTGCCATGCCAAGCTTTTGGGTTGTATGACGGGTCATTCAAGATGATGAGACCTTGAATTTGCTTACCAGCCAGATACGAGACGGTTGCTGCTGCTGTCTGCCAGCCTAGGACACCTAGCCAGCCTACCAGATAGCTAAGAAATCTCTGGCAGCTGGGCGGCGCAAACTCGGATACCCAGTGGTATTGGCCGCCAGACGTGGGCGCCCTACAAAACGTGAGCGTGTATGCTTGGAGAGCCCTGACCATACTCACATAGATGCCATTTCAGCGAGAGAGGCGACCACAAAACCAAATCCAACCATGACGATGAGATACCCCCAGATCAGGCCGGCAGTTCCACCGTTCGACAGCGCAAAGACAGATGTAGCCAGGATGGCCTCCCATGTCGATAGGAGAACTATGCAGAATCCCAAGATAGTAAAGGAACGGAAGTTTCGCCGTGTCTCTTGTGTCTTCCCCATACGTTGCATGTCCTGCACGTCCGCTGTCGTTGCGTTCTTTTCTACTAAGTTGTAGTCGTGGCTTTGGCCATGGTAGCCACCTCGGTCCTCCCTGGCATGAACCTCTGCAGACTTGTGAGAAGCCATGGTGCGGAAAGAGGTCGACGCTACTCCGCGATAGAAACCTAGGATGGGAAGAAAGGCAGAATGCCTCCATTGTCAGGGTAAGCCTCAACTTATGCTCAAAGGCTCATGCACTTGTTATCTAGCCTATTACGCCCTGCATACGATATGGAATCTCAATGAACCCTGGACGACGTGCCATAAGGAAAATATGATTGTGCGCGTCGACGCTGCAATACAGTCACCCAGGGTTGATTCAGTGCATGTAATTGGTGGATATTCGGGCGTACAGTAAGCAACAATACCTGTTGTCGCACAACCCAGATCATACTGCCGAAGGCGTGCAGACCAGGCAGGTCGTACCGGCAAAGAGGTGATACCGTGTCTGAAGATGCAAGCAATTTGCCATCGAAGATGTGACTGGCCATCCTTGCACGTACCATGCGATGTTCAGGCCACTTCTGCACGTCGTACATGTTTGCAGCTCTAGGTGCTTATTTCGAAAACTGGTGAACAAAATATCTCAATAAGGCGCGATGTCCCGAAAGTGGACACGACCAGTAGCGAAGGCCGCTTGCGATACGTAAAACAGCGTCGTTGAAGGTCCAGAGGGAGAATGAAATGAATAGAAAGTGCTGGAGAATAGGGCTTGTTGCTTGACCCAATCAGGCTAGTGCGAAGCAGCCCTGCTTGGCATCATCGGCGTCTTCGGGCTCTTCGGGCTCTTCCATCGCGTCGCGCTTTCACCGCAATGTGGAAACCTCCTCACTCTACAACAGACTTGCAACAGATTGGATGCCTTCTTCCGAATCAAGAAATCATGCTCGCCCCGCCCCACTCGCATGCCTAGAGTGTCGTCGTACACATCTGAAATGCGATGGAGGCACACCCATTTGTGCTCGATGCCAAACCCGTGGTTTTGTGTGTACTTACAAGCGCTCTGGACGAGGTCGCCGACGTGGCATAACGCGTCCAGATACTGAGGACCAGCCGACGTTGCAGCAGACTCTGCCTGCTTCTCCAAATTCCATTCCGCGATCTGCCGTCAATCAAGCGCCATCCTGCACGCCTCCTGTATCGCAATGGTTCCCACTCGACAATGCAACCGCTTCACCCGATCCGGCCCTACTACAACGCGGACCATCAGACAGTCCACCACACCAGCATATCTCATGGTCGGACGATGAGCAATTGGTGAATCTTTATTACCTCAACTTCCACCCAAGCCACCCGGTTCTGCTTCCCAGGGATATGTACTGGCAACAAGGATATCCTCGATACTTGAAAGCCATAGTCCAATTCATTGGCGGTCATTTCTCCCACGCGGCATCGCTAAATGATTTGCGCGAGAGCGTCACGCGAGAGTTTGACCAAAGTAACAAGGACACAGTCGAAATGGTCCAAGCAGGTCTTCTTTATGCCATCAACTTGTTCGCGGAGAATTCTTCTGAACAGGGGCAAAGACTGCTCGATACCACGATCGAACGGGCTTTGCGGCTTGGCATGCATCAAAGAGACTTTGCTACAACGCATGCTGGTGATCTTACAGTGCTTGAAGAAAGCATGCGAAGGAGCTGGTACGAATTGTATGTAATGGACGGCTGTATCGCTGCATTACAGCGGAAATCAACATTCAAAACCAACACGGTCAACGCTGACGTGCTACTGCCATGCGACGACTTCATCTATGAAGCCGGCATGTGCTTCATGCCAGCAACAATGGCAGACTTCCACGGCAATATATTCGCTGAAGAAGAAAAGGTCTTCTCGTCCTTCTGCTATCGTATCGAAGCTGTGCGCCTTCTTGGGCGAGTCTTGACTATCACAGGAAAACACGGTGTGGATAGAGATCTCGTACAAGCTGTCGACAACGCACTGGCTGCTTTTCTCTACCACTTACCGCGATCCAAGAGCGAAGCGGAGATTTCCAACACGTTCGGTGATCTAGACGAGCTCATGCTCCAAGCGCACACTATCGTTCAGTGGAGTACTATCTTGCTGCACTATCCTAGAGGAGATCTGATCTCTCCCGATCTTTTGACGCACGACGTACTGGGTGCCAACTGTACAAAGCTTCTCTGCCCCTGCAATCGTCAGCATGTACACTCTGTAAAGGCAATCGAAGCATCGAAGACCATATCCATGTTAGCCGCCCTGCGCTCCACAACCCAGAAGCATACTCCGCTATTCGTCTACCCGTTGGCCCTTGCGGCCGTGGTGCAGCTTTCTATTGGCGCCATGCACGACAAAAGCACTAGACAATGCCTGGATCAACACTCTGATAGAGTCAAACTACTTTTGGGCGTACTCAAGTCCATGAGTCGACAATGGTCGGCTGCTGGGATTGTGCTACGTACGTTGAAGAGAGTTGCTTCGGCAGTGTTTCGTACCTCTTGTAGTGTATCTCCTAGCAGCACAGTAACGCCTCCCGCCGCATCGATGGAAAACGTTACTTTCCCCGATTTCGATTTACAGGATCTGTATGGGCTTGTAGGTCTCGACAACTCTACACTGGGTATATGAAAGGGTCTCCACGCTTCTGCGCAGCTATACAAACAAGGACGTACTGCTCCGAAGACAATTCCATTGCTTCATATTCGCGAATTCTACCTAAAAACGGACTTGCATCCTTCTCCACCAAGGATATCGCCCATCTCTGAGGTTCTTACCAGAGACTTTCTTCAGTCTACCACGTCGTGCCACTGATCCTGATTGGGAGATGCATCAAACGCTGGTCTCCCGATGTCGGCTGCGGAAGTCTTCCAGCACGGATATTGATCTGCAGGGAAGGGTGCAATAACTTCGGTGCCGCCAGGCTTGCATCCCTTTCCTTCCGCAGACTTAAGAAATCATCTTCCTCTACGTCATTGGCAAGATGTTTGTTCTTCTTTTTGTGGTCCCTCACGGTCATCCAAGGCACAGCCTCACATCGCTCTGGGCAAGTTGGATAGTCATGCCCGCTCCAAACCTTGACATCGTCTGGCAGTTCCAGCAGCTTCCGCGCTGATGCATACAGACTTTTCGCACTACCACCTGGAAAATCGCACCTTGCCGTGCCGATATCAGCATGGAATATGGAATCGCCACAAAATACATTGCCTACCATCGAATCAGTTCTGACTATCACGAGAATCTTTCAAGCACACCTACCACCAATTTGATATCCAATATGATCTGGAGTGTGTCCGGGAAGGTGCATGACCTTTACTTCCAACTGCCCAATCTCGAACACCTCATCGTCTTCGAACAGATGATCGAACGCGTTCTCGTACTCCACAACCGCAATCCCATACCTAGCAGCAAATCGCGTCTGAACCTCTCGGATTCTCTTGCCAATGCAGATTGGTGGTCTGAAGCCTTGCTGCGAGGATAGACGTTGTTGGAGGTAGGAAGCTGCAGTCAAATGATCGGCATGTGCATGAGTTTCCATTATCTTCTCGATATGGTACCCGTTCTCTGATATTGTTGCCAATAAATCGTCGGCTGTTTGAGTGCTGATTTTCTGCGTGTTTGCATCGTAGTCGAGTACTGGATCGATGACAACGGCTCTGTTAGTAGACGGATCCGCTACCACATACTGCCATGTGCCTGTCTTGTCTTCGAATGAGCTGTGTACCACGGGTTCTTTGGACATGGAAGTTTGAGTAGTGTACTGTGCTCGATTCACTGCTCCCATCCGTGCTTGTACGGTTGTAATGGTTGGATCGGCGACGGCAGCACTTGCTTGGCTGGTGTAGGTACACAGCGTTGTCGAGCCAGCTGGATTCCTTAATCGCATTTCGTATCTCGTATGAGCTCGTTGGTATAGTAAGCGATGTTGCTGTCCTCCAGTCTGGCACTTGGAGACGTAGTAGGGCGGATTTGGCAGTTCCCGGACTGCTCGTGTGCTCGTAAATGATCGTAAGCTTTTCATCTCTTGAATCTATACGAATGGCGCTGTCCACAAACCGAGCCTCGCTCGACATTCCCCTCGATTTGCGTCACCTTAAGAACACCATTCAGCTCGGAGAGCAAGTTATGGCGCCACCTCTTAAGACAGGGTTCGGCGTCTACTCCACAAAACGAAACGCCGAGGACACTCACAAGTCGCCGATGTTACACATGTCTCAAGGATAATCTTTTACTTAGCTGTTACTGTACCTCGTCTTTCACATAATTGCTTCGATTCATGGTTTCACTGTTAGCGATAAGAGATCGGACATAGGATTTGAGGCTTTGAGACAAAACATATTACCCTCGCTGTCACTTGGCAGTCTATCACGTTCCAATACTCTTTCAAGATTCCTCAGCCTCATGAAAGTAGCAGGTTTTGCTTTGGGAATGCATCCGGTGTTCAAGCATGTCGCACTGTCTCCCGTCCGGACTGCTCTCGCCGCGAAGCAGCCGTCAGTCGCTCGAAGCTTGGCTACCGTCACGCCAGCCACCACCACATCAAGAAACCACAGAGTTGTTGTCATCGGAAATGGCTCAGCTGGTGTCGCAGTCAGCCATCAACTTCTACGGAAAGGACATTTCAATCAGGATGATATCGCGGTCATCGATCCAAGAACATGGCATCATTACCAACCGGGCTGGACATTAGTTGGAGGCGGTTTGAACGACAAACGAAGCTTCAAAAGACCAATGAAGGAACTTGTAGAGCCCCGGATACGGTTGTATGACCACCATGTCGCGGCCATTCACCCAGAAGACAACTGCCTGTCCCTAAGAACCGGTGACAGGATTCATTATGATCAACTCGTCATCGCACCAGGCATCAGGGTCGATTACGGTAGCATAAAAGGTCTTACCGAGGCTATGGACAACCCAGACAGTCTCGTGGCATCCATATACAGCTACAAACACTGCGACAAGGTCTTCCGGGATATACAGCGCTTAGAGAGAGGCTCAGCCATCTTCACTCAGCCTTCTGGCTTAGTGAAATGTGCGGGTGCGCCACAGAAGATCATGTGGCTCGCTTTGGATCACTGGAGACGAGCGGGTCTGTACAATAACGACTCGAAGAAGTCCGCGATCAAGACCATTTTCGCTACTGGACTTCCCACTATGTTCGGAGTACCGAAGTACAGCGCTAAGCTCAATCAATTGCGTGAAGAAAGAGGCGTCACAGGACTTTTTGAACATAATCTTATTGCTATCGATGGAAATATAGCGACGTTCGATCGACCACAGGGCCAGCAGCCGGTGAAGCAGCATTTCGACTTTCTTCATGTTGCGCCTAGGAATGTACCGTACTCGTTCGTCGAAGAAAGTGGACTCGGTAACGAAGCGGGCTTCGTGGATGTTGACCAGCATTCGCTTCAGCACAAGACATTCAGGAACATATGGTCACTCGGTGATGCGGCGAGTCTGCCGACTTCGAAGACTATAGCTGCAATCACATCTCAGGCGCCCATCCTTACGCAGAACCTCTTGCTCGGTCTGGAAGGCAAAGAACCGCAGTCTGAGTATGACGGCTATACATCATGTCCGCTGTTGACAGGCGACAAGAAGGTGCTTCTTGCGGAGTTCAAGTACGGCGGGGTGCCGAAGGAGACGTTCAAGAGTTGGTTTGGGGTTGACCAAGGGGCTCCTCGACGTGCTTTCTATCACTTGAAGAAAGACTTCTTCCCCTGGGTTTACGATAGATACCACGTGAAGGGACAATGGGGTGGACCGAAGGGCTGGATCAATTAGCTCGCGCAAATTTGCCTTGGATTTACCTGCTTATTGAGCCTTCTGATGATCGGCCACCCCCAAGACAGCCCCGAGATACCTGCTTTACGCGTTGATATGCTTTTGTTGATATCAAAAGTGGTGGCGCTAACTCTTGTTTGGGTGGTTCGCGAACTAAGCACGTCGCAAAAGTCCGACAGCTCGTCGAAGACCCGACATACGCAAATGCAGGAATGTCTGAATCTGACTATGGCAGATTGTGAGAAGTATGCTACATACCCCATAATAAAAGGCGTAATGCTTGATTGACCTCGTAGTTCAAAAGTCTCAGCGTGCATCATGTGTACCAGGTTCACAGATGACTGTGGTAACAGGTGTAAAGGCCACTGACATCACGACAGCTATGTCAACGGCAGCGTAAATAAATTCATCGAGGAAGAGCTCATCCCCAAGCTTTCGGAGAATTATGGAAGGAACAATTGCGCCTCAGTTCTTCTCATGCTTGTTATGTTGAGCCTTATTGACGCTGGTGTGGGTGCGAAGGAGAAACTCGCAGTAGCTGTCCTGATGTCAATTCGCGTCGGAACACTGGCCGCCTATCTTCTTTCTAGCGGATGGGAAACGGAACGATAGTGTCGGTATATGATTCCTGGCATTGGATGTAAACGTCGCGAAAGTCGCATCATTGGGGCAGATATGTACGCTAAACCCTGAAAAAGCATAGCGCACATCATGACGTAGCTGCATGCCTCACAGTGGGGATCAGAAGTACAATAGGGCGCGCGACATTGATATATTTATATGTCGAGGGATCTCCTCCGCGTTATCGCGAAGGACATGTTCTATCCCACTCCTGAAATTATGAAACGATCTCATTATTCAAAGTCATGACTACGACACGCCTCGGATCTTTTGCCGGACTTTCATCGGTCATGCTTTTGTTATTTGGAAGGCCTCTTATCACGGCACGTCCGAGTCTTGGAGAACAGGAACGAGCGGCACATGGTGCTCAGCGCTTGCGTTCCCTTGCTTCTGTTCGGCAGGATATCGAGATGAATTTCTCTTGGCCGTTCGGAATTACAGAAGCGCGACGAACTCGTCAAACCCTAAGCTACGGTTTTGGGCCGGATGGACGCACCCGCGATGAGCTTGTCTGCGTGTCTACATTCCTCTATCTTGTACCCACCTCGATATGTGCAGTGAGAATCCACCCAAGCTGAACAAGACTCTGTATCAGGACGTGGAGGTGCCGCTTTATCCGATCTCATCTTGGCAGCCAAGGCGCGCCTCCGCCCCCGTGGGACATCTCCACCTACCAAGTCCCTGAACAGGTGCCCGGATGTTGGTATTAGGAGCTGCAGACGGGTATCATGCCGGGAAAGCTGTCCTGGCACGCGACATGCCTATCAAGAAGGCGTCGAGTCGTTGCTATCGATGGCTGCGCAATGACGCGTGCCATGAGTATGATCTAAAATCAAGAGTACAGGGGGGTGCGACGACATCATTAGAAGGCTGAGTGCTACCCAGATCGTTGTGCTTCCACTGCACCCATTTCTAGCTTCGTCTTCCTGGCCTCTTTATGCAGACTTCTATATCGAACTACTTCATTGCCTCATCTCCTTGAGGGCTTCAACATATTTGCCCGCGATGAACGCCGTCCGCAAAGTTACTCGTGCAATATTTCCCCCGCCTCGCGTCGCCCCTGATGGTCGCGCAGAGTGGCCTTCGCGAACGCCATACGTACTGGCGTCCATGGGCGGAGCCATGGGATTTGGAAACCTGCTGCGTTTCCCCTCGCAGGTCTTCAACAACAACGGCATACAATGGTTCATTCCATACTTGATGGCCGTCTGCCTTCTTGCAATTCCAGTGCTTATATTGGAGGTGGCCATTGGACAGGCCTACCGTAGTGGCTGTGTCATAGCTTACAACGGCCTTGATCGGCGCTTCACTGGTGTTGGTCTCGGTATGGTCTGTGTTGGGTACGCTGTGGCTATCTATTACATCCCCATCCTTTCTTGGGTCATGGTGTACTTCCGCAGCTCATTCCGGTCGGCAGACGACTTCCCCTGGAGAGAGAATCCACAGGATTACTTCACGCACGTGGTGAACCAGGTTCCTGCCATCCCCGCAGTCTACAGCGATGACGGCAGCAAGGTCCTCCAATATGCTTCTTATCCCGGTGTTAACCTCGATGGGGAGCTCGTTGGCTGGGTTCTGTTTTCTTGGTTCATTGTTTGGATCTGCCTGTACAAAGGCATCGCCATCACAGCTCGCGTTGTCTACATTACCATCGTCTTACCCATCTTCATGACCGTCATCCTAGTTGGTCGTGGTGCTTCGCTACCCAATGCTGGCCGAGGAATCAAACTATACTTTGGCGAGTTCAACGGTGATCAGCTCGCTGCTGGCAAGATTTGGCAAGCTGCGACAAGTCAGGTTTTCTACTCTACAGGCGTCGGTTTTGGCTACTATACTGCCTACGCCTCGTACAACTCCAAGTTCTCCGATGCGGTGCAGGATGCCATGATGATTTGCAGTGCAAATGCCTTGTTCGAGTCCTTCGCTGCCTTCGCAGTCTTTGGCGTTGTTGGATACCTTGGTTTGCAGCCGGGTGTTGGTGACCCAGTTGGAACCTACACGCTTGGTTTCTACACCCTTCCCAGCGCCATTCAGGAAATGCCCGGCGCCCCGTTCTGGGCAGTCTTGTTCTTTTTGACCCTCTTCCTGCTCGGTATCAGTTCATCTTACGCACTCCTCGATGCCATGATCACAACGATTTGCGACACTCACTGGGGAAGAAAATACAAGCACTCGACCATCGCCACTATCATCACTGTCATCTCGGCGTTGACCTCGTTGTTCTACTCTACCGGGTTTGGTTACGAAGCCACCAACGCTGTCGACGCACAGATCAGTAATATCTCTCTGATCTTCGTTGTATGGGCTGAATGCGTTTGTGCTACTTCCTTCTATCGCTTTGTCGATGTCATTGGTCAAGTAGGCGCACCGTCATTTTGGCTTTACCAATGCTCGTACATTGGCGCTCAGATCATTGGCAATGCCGTTGCACATAGCGTCTCTGACAAAATTGGTGCTGGTGTTGGTTTCGGATTTTACATTGCAGGTACAATCATTGCTGTCGCTCTCGCAAAAGACCCTACGGTTCCAGCGCCACGCTTCTGGGGCCGTAACAAGCTTTTGAACCGTATCTGGTGGTTCGCCCTTTACTCTGTAAGTAAACTGCTTCACCTCGAACGTATATCTCCACTGATACAACGTAGGGCAACCAACTTGCGCGCGACCTCAACTATGTTGTGTGCGTCGGCAAGCAATGGCGACTACCTGTATTCTGGGCTCCTATCCTGCGATACTTTGCCGCTCCCGTCTTGTCCATTGTCTTTTGCTTCGCATATCCCACTTTCTACGCCACACGTGGCGATCCCTTACAAATCTTCGCTTTCATGGTCGCCCATCTCATCGTCCTGGTTGTCTTCGTTGGCTTCATCATACCGAAGAGCTTAAATGTCTTCGTGCCTCCAGAGCGACGCGATGAGGGAAACAGGCAGTACGCTCCGATGACCGTGCTCGGCAAAGACGACACAAACATTGTCGGTGGTGTTGCACCGGGGCAGGAATACGAAGCTGGTTTGCCGCCGTCTTACGACACTGACAAGGCGACAGACAAGAAGTGAGTATCGTCAGAATGGCATCTGAACGTGTTACATGTGCATTATTAGTGGAGCGGCCAATTGCAACCCCGCCTATACGTCTAGCCTAGCAGCAAAAATCTGTGTACCTGATCGCGAGATCTTTCCATTGCGCCAAATTCGCCCATCGCACTTTCATTCTTCGGTGTTACCCTTCCTCTCTCACGATCATCAGATGAGTCCATTGCGTGTCGTCAAAATTTCGTTTCAATTAGCTTGCTTCGTTCATTTGTGAATCTCGATACCCAGTATTGCGACACGCGCCTTCGACAGTGCTAGACAGCCTCCGTACTAGCTTCCATCGCTATCAAGCCAAATAGCTACTCCGTTGTAGATCTAATTGAAGTGGAATCGCCAATATCTTAGGCACGCTTTCATTCCGATACTCAAAATGCCCAAGCCGCTCCACCAATCGCTGCTGCTCCACCGATCACCAGCATCGCGCCAGTTGGCAGTGACGCACTAGGCGCCTTCCCTTCACTTCCATCAGCCTGTGTCCCGGCTTCGAGGGCCCCGTCTAGATCTTCAGTGTTTGCTGGTGTGGGTGAAGTCGTAGCTTCCACAACTGTAGCAACAGCATATAAGGGTGACGGCCACTCCCTCAACTCTGACTGCTGTATGACATTCGTAACACTAGCATATATAGTCTCTGTTCCATTGAAGAACTCGCCGTGTACTGTGATTGGAACCTCAGTCATCACGCCAGTCCATGTAGCATCAGCTTTACTAGTATACTCGGAGACAGTCTTGTGGAACGCCCATGTCTCGGGACCTTGAATCATAGTGAAGGGATCGCAGGACTTTGGTCCTGTTGTAGGCGTTTGAGCCGGCAATGCAGTTTCATAGTACGATATCCAAGCGGCAAGGGCGCTTGAGTATGAGGCAGATTTTGAGGACTGTTCGGCTGGGGCTGTTGAATCAAAATGAGCAATTTGGCTAGCAAGAAATGAGTACATGGAACATACAGTCATAGTACCATGCATCATCGGTCGACGAAGGTGCAGGAGTTGTAGTTGTTGTTTCGGGGCAGATCTTCTCGTAGGTGGTGGCTGTATCGTCAGAGCCCATCGATGTGAGGGTTGGCTCTATGTTATAGAAGAGGCGCAAATAGGTGAGATTATATTGCGCTTTAATCGTGCTCGCTAATAGCGACGCTACCAGGAGCTTGTTCATCATCACTCACGCGAGCCGACGTTCTCGTCTGAAGTGTTGCTTGGAATACTTCAGCACCACGTAAGGCGCGTGCAGTCGCAAAGCCTTCATTATATCAGATTTCTATTTATAAGGCCAAAGCCAGAGTAGGCAGCTGCCAAGGTGTTCTCGACCGGTTGGATGATGAAAGGATGCCGTCTAACCGGAAGCTTGACAAGCTTAGTTTTGAGGCGCCGGGTAAGAATAATGACATTGGAGTTCTGGCGCTAACGCGCAGTTGTTCCTACGTCCCTGGGAGGCCTAAGCGGAACAACAATTAACGGATCGCGTGCCAGCCGTATCCATGGCTTGTAATCATTTCGGCTATCAACTTCGTAAACGGACCTATCCCCGTAGTCTCTGATAATGTACTTATTTGTAACCATCGGCAGTACTGTACGCGCCCACTTTTCCTGGAATTTTCTATCAGCCCTCGACTCGACGGCTACCTTCTGGTGGGAACCGAGAGAGCAGCAATACGACGAAGCCAAGCAATGCGACAGCTGCGTTACACACGAAAGTTAGATGACTTTGACCAATCTCAGCAAGTGCAGCGAAAGCCAGTCCGAACACTGCTGTAGTCGACAAACGCGCAATATTCTCCACGAGCGTGATGCCGCTGAGCGCATCGACGCGCTCGCTGTTCGGTAACATCTGGAGGATTGATCCTTTGGACGCAGCACCCGTACCTGCAGCAAAAGGTAACAGCACAGCGACAAGGTACATTTGCCAACCTTTTGATACAAATACAGCCAGCCCAGTAAGTATTCCATCGAGCAAGAGACTGAAGCGCGCATAGAACAAATCGAATGCAAACGTCTCCTGTTCATCCGTCGGCTCCGGGTTTGGCGGCTCTTCGTTTTCCAGAGGATCAACAGTTTCCGTTACTGCGGGTGTTGGTGGTATGATATGAACCTGCACGGGTGGCTCTCTTTCTTCTTCCTCCATTTTCCTCTTCTCGCCGTCACAAAGCCACTTTCGCCCAGCAGCGACGACGCGAGGGAATATCAGCGAGAGGAAGCCACCTCTCAACGATGAATACAGGAATATCAATGCTCCATTCTCCTTGGTCCCAAAGTTGAACTCAGCGGTCGCGTACATCTGGAGGAGTACGGGAATGTAACCAGTCGCGAGAATACCTAGGAAAACGCCGATACCAAGAGTCAAGGCCCCAAATTGCATGCGCGGGCGACCATCGGGTAGTGACCATTTTTGTGGTGCAAATATACGAAGAGGGCCGAAGAATCGCGCGATGCCAGTGCTCTTGCGAGGTTTCGCATCTTCGTCTTCTTCGGGTGGTGCCATGGCCGGGAGCGAGACTGCAACGTACACGCAGCATAGCAGGAACAATGCCAAAGTCATACGGAAGGGTGTAAGTATGCCGAAGTAATCGCCAACAACACCTCCAACCAGGAAACCAATGGCACTCCCAAAGTACATGCAGCCCTGGAGTCTGCCCAACGCACCTGTCCGCCCTTCATGCTCAACCACATCCGCCACCAGAGAGTTGAGACAAAGAACGTAGCCATTGGGGCCACCAACTACTGTGATGATCTGCGAGCATTGTACGATCATGATACCCACTTTGCCGCCGTGCATAATACCGATGTTCTGAACAAGCAGACGAACAGCAGGCCAAAAGATCTGTATGATGAGAGCCGACTTGACGCCCAGGCGTTTGATGGTCCATCCAGCTACAAGTAAATTGACGAGGCCGAAAACCGTTGTTGATGATGCAAGAAGGGCAAAAGCTCGAGCCGCTCCAGCCTCAATTTCCCGTCTGGCACATATATCGGCAGCGTTAGGGTCCGGCTCATGGTGTTCGTAATACGCATCGCAAGTCAAGATTCGAAAAGCGTACAACAGGGGAACTTGGGTGATGCCGAATGTTAACGATACGAGGAACGCGCACAATAAAGCGCGGAATAGCACCGAGATGCTCTGCTTTCCTTCTCTTTCTTTTGGCTCGTCGTGTGGCAAAAGGGGTGTCGTCTCTTCAATGGCAGTGGTAGGCCTCATAACCTGAGTAACAGCCATCTTGACATCTGCTTGGAACAGTGAGGGAAAAGCTTGGTGTTGGGAAAAGTCTTATCGAGATGCGCAAGGCGAATTGACTAACGCACTGCGGAAGCTGCATCCGGGTATCGGCGGTATCGCCGCCACGCGCATCTCCAGAAATCCCTCTCCACACCGACATTATGAAGCGGGGAATGTTGCATGCCTATCGCAACGAAAAGCAGCGCGTTTTAAGAGCTCAAAGTCTGATGTCGCTGTAGATTCACATTGGACAGGTATAGGAATCAGCAATGACGTCAGCCAGCGGAATAATTCCATTCCATCCTGGATATGTCCTTATATCCAAGAAACCTACCTAACGTCGCGCGCGAACGGTACTCTTCAACGTCTCTATCATTAAAGCAGATCGATGGTACTATTCAATACCTTCCTGGTTGCTCTTCTCATCGATGCTTCTCTACCATCCTCCTTTGACAACCATGACCGAGAAACTTACCTAGGTAGCCTTTTATCTGCCGTGGTGGAGTGATAAGATCGGGGGACATCAGAGGCATCAGAGCGCTGTGTATTCAGACCATCTGTTCGCGTGTATAGTCTAATCTCCGAAGAGATGGTTCCTAATGATAGCGAGGGCATGGTAGTTATGGTTGGGAGATTTCCATGAGGTCACTCGAAATGTGAAATCGCGATAGTGAAGATTCGATTGAGATGCGATATAATGCATCTTGCATGTTGGTATACATCGCTCAAAGTGGGGTATGCCGATGCTAGTTGTGTCCACCATTTCCAAACAAAACGCCGCCTATGCCGTTCATATATACACCCAGTTCCATGCCGAAAAATGTGAAAGTCGTAGCCCCTGTCCTAGCACGCTAGCAGCCGCCGACGACCTAGACGAGGGTTCTGATAAAGGCCGATGCGAGAAAGTATTCCCATCTTCGGCAACAGTTTCGTTGTTGCAGTGCGCTTAAGCGAATTCGAAGCGCTCGTTGCAGTGAGACATCTCACGGAAGCAGTGAGGGCAGAGGTCCAAGCCTTGCGAGGTCAAGCCAAGCGCGGCTGATGCGGCGTGGAGAGTTTCGCGGGTTGATGTGGGTGCCGCGGAAGAGGCTGGGGTAGGGGCGCCAGAGGCACCAGCTGGGGTGGAAGAGACGGAGTCTGGGGATCTTGTTAACATGGACCGATGAATTGAATTTAGAGGGGAGACATACCCTTGAAAGAAGGCATTTTGATGTTAATGATGGATTGAAATTGGAAATGTGGAAGAATCACGTGTGTTGTACTGTTGGTGTTGGATGCGGTATGAGATGGACGCAGATGTGGATGATGGATCATATTCCCCAGAGCCACACATTCCTCTTATACAACTCCGCCTTCGCCATCCCTTCCCAACATGACCCTGAAAACAGTCACCAAAGAAAAATTGGCGAGCAAAAATCGTGTGCAACAAGCACCATCCCGACTTGTCCCGGGCACGTTTCGAGAATTTGCGTCGAACGACATCAAGATGATGCGCCGCGCTCGCCTCACGCGCTAAGTGGAGTGATGATAACGCGTGTGACCCACTATTAGCCGCTAGCGCGGCTGAGATTTTCAGGGCCGCAAGCTTGAGGCTCGCCATAGTGCATTTAGACATCGGCTAGAATGTAATTTTGCTTCGAAAGGGCTTCTTGTTGACCGATCTGGTGCTGGCTGAGACACGCTTGCGAAATCTTTGACTCTCGCGATACAGCGATTAGTGGCCCGGACAGATGGAAGATGAAGTTTTGCGGTCAACAGAGGTGCATCGGGAGATAGTCGGTGTAGCCACACTGGGCCTGTCGGATTTTCACATGTCAGACGTCTGCTATGGGTCGCTACGGTTTCAGACGACGTCATCGCGTTATCGTCATCGGCTGTCGCGATCTTCAGGTGCGATGCATCCACCAGCCTCGCCAACCCCTGACACTTCGCATCGCAATTAGATCACGTTAAGGTCGTATGCTACGGGCTGACCCGCTAATGTGTCTTTCCGACTTCTTTATTACACGTACTGCTTCAGGGACTTCCCTGATTAGACGAGCGCTGTGCAGTTTCCAGTCTGTTGAAGCCGGAACTGACGACGTTGGATGTTTCGTATACGGCGCAGATAGTCCCACGCCTATAACGCGGCATATGTAGGCTGTGTGTCAAGAAGAAGATGAAAACTATGCTCATTAAGGCCGCAGAAGCTTTTGAAAAGAGACCTTAATGGACAGGCATGACCGAGCGAATGTTGCATCCAAGAAAGTCTCCCACGTGATAATGCATGTGGTCAAAGATGATCGTGGGCTTAACGAGTGTCGAAATTGAGGTCGAGTTTGTTTACTTGAAGTAGTGGTTGTTCACACGCAGAGAGATGGGCACTCCGCTTTTCTAGATTTCGGTCATTCGGTATAATGATTCAACGAGAAATACACCGCACCCCGAGTTTAAGAACACATGCGCATGTAAACACGAATGCTGCTTCAGTCACAGTATATATCCTTTATACACAATGACTCCTTCCAACCCTCTCAACGCAGATTACGCATGGCCACTATGGGACAACGAACCGATTGAAGACGCCTTTGAACTTGATACCACTGGGGGCATTGACAAAGCCGTCGCGAAGAGCGTTGCGCGACCATGGCTTTTCGGCTTCAAGCCCACTAGTGCCTCTTCGAACGATAAAGCTATCCTGATTCTGGGCGGAGGAGGATATGTCGAGCTTATGGTCGGAAGAGAAGGCATTCAGGTGGCGAGGTGGTTAGCAGGCTTAGGATTTCACGCTTTCGTGCTGATCCACCGCTTCCCCAATAAGGAGACGAAGAGTCAGGCGCCGGTAGATGATGCAAGGCGGGCGTTGAGTCTGATCGAAGAGAAGAACCTTGCGCGAGGAGGTCTGGCGATATGCGGTCTTTCTTCTGGCGGCCATCTCGCTGCATCCATACTTGCGCAATACCCCACAAGCTGGATCAATCCTGATGCGAAGGGCGACCTACCAAAGGTCGAATTTGCCATTATTGGCTACGCGCCAATCTCCACGAATGCGAAGGGTCGTCAAATCATTCCGAACAAGCCAGCCCTTGAGCCACGGGAGAAGCAGACGCTGTACGATGAGATGCAGCCAGATGAGCTTTTGAGACATCCCGCACCACCGACGTTCATTGTGTATGCTGGAAACGATCCGGTTGTGCCTGTGATCAATGCATACCGGCTTGCTGAAGCTATGACAAAAGGTGGTGCGGCTGTTGAGCTTCACGTTTTCTCGGACGCGCCGCATGGATTTGCCCTGGACACTCCAGGAATGCCGGTAAGCGATTGGCCCGTTATATGTGAGAAATGGATGAAGCAGTGCGGGTTTCTTATTTGACCAACCGAAGCTGCGTAGATGGGTTCGTGTCTTATTCACCAGCATTCATTGAGGTTACATCGTACGCCTTCTTCCAAGATGGTTAGTGGACGCTATGGCGCGGACTTCCGGGGCATGGTCTTTGGGAAGGCGGTAGCTGCTATCGAGCAGAACCAATATCCAAGCCCCAAGATCGGGTTCAGCCGTTTGAACTTTGCTGTGCTCTTCGAGAGTTTGCCATATCCACTTCAGTAATTCGAAACGTTTACCACGGTCAACATAAACATTTGCAAGGAGTAAAGCGATGACACATGCGCTGAATCTGAATCTGGCGCTGTGAAGTATGTTCGACTCAAGCTGATATAGAAATCCGCATACGTGACCGAAGATAGCAATGCGATCTGCGACAACCAGGTTTTCGCAGTCTTGAATTGCCCTGAATATGGGGTAACAGCCGTACTGGGACGTGGCACGGTCCCAAGAGGTAGTGTAGTTCCTGTGTATGTCGTCTGTGAGTTGGTAGAAATCGTAACCCTGGTAATGATTATCCTCACGATGCGTTTTCGTCAAGCGGTTGAAGTGTGCCACTTCAAAACATAAATCGGTACCTATCGTATGAAGGCGCAATTGTTGCGATAGCTTGGTAGATTCCTCGATCGGGACCAGAAGAAACAAGGTCGAGGCGCACCGTTTCTCTTGATATGCCCATGTTCGACTGAACCACATATCTTGTGTGATATAGTGTAGTAGAGTGGTGGCTCCTTGAACACGCTGGTCGAAAGCACTGGTATGATCGCTTGTTTCTCTTGATATCTTAGCAAGATTCCTTTCCGTCTCTCTTTCTGCCTCTTCGAAATAGATATAAGTTACGAAACATTCAACGAGAGAATGATCGGTTATCGTGACTGACAGGATTGCGACTGTCCATTTGCTCTCTTCGTAGATGCGATGCATAATCTTCAGGTGTGACTGAATATCGGCAGAACTGCTCTGATCGATACACTCCTGATCGATCCAGAGGAACTGGCATTTACGAGATCGTGCGAATAGCATAGCACGATGGAAGACAAGTTCTGGACAGCTGATAGGTCTGGGTTCGCACATCGTATCTTCTGAGGATTTCGATATACAATATTGTGGTATTCGAGACAGACCCTTTGTAGATTGGGTATGCTTCCAGCAGTAAGACACGGTGACAAAGTCCATATCATCCTGGTGCTCTTCCGGAGTGGTAAGCCGGTAGTCGTTGTAGTTTTCATCCCCAAGCCATTGGTCGCGAGACACGGGTGTAATGAACCGAAGTCTGAGTGGTGAGTCGTAGGATACTTCGTAAAGTGCTAGGTCGATGATCCGCTCCACCTTTTCGCGAAGAGCTTCCGGAGTTTCATATACCTCTTTGAGGGGAACACGGTCGTCGCGCTGCATGTTCGAAATTGACAAGGACTGTCTGAGAGTGGATACAACGAAGAGTGTTAAAGCGTCCAGCTGGATGTACCCCTCAGCATCCCGCACTTATTGTGGCAAGTGGTAGCGTGCGGCCAGCGACAGTTGTGGTTTTCGGTGGATATTCAGCGGCTGACTTATCGAGGGGAAGTGGCATTAGTGTCGCATCAATGTTCCTGCTGCTCAGCAACGTGAAGGGGAAGGGAGTCCAGATTTGTAGACACCCACGTGCAAAGCGGGGTAGCGATATAGCGAATAAAGTGATCACATGGCTAAAGAATGCTGCTACTGGACATCTTGAAGCTACCAAAAAACGGTACATACAAAAATGTCTGTCTGCAACAGCTATCAAGTTTGTTTATTTGCTGAAAGATATGATATTCAGGATTTCATTATCTTCAATATGATATCGCAAACCTTACAATACATTACACATATTTGCATACCCGTATCTAATATTACGCCCATCTTAAAGTATCAACCCTATAAACCCAATGGAAATGTTCTTCGAGTCATCGATCCAGAAAGCATCAACTCATGTGCACTGGATATCGCGAAATCCCATTTTGAACGCCGGAATATAAATGCAACACCATGTTTGTTATCATCATCAGTACAATGATCGTCGTTTGAGTTTGTTCCTGATCTTTGTTAGCATTCTCCTGTTACAGAATCACAGTTCGCTAAAGGAATGGACTTACGTAGAACCCCAGCTCAACCGGCTCTTTGGTCTTGCCGGCTCACCACCCATCGCACTGCGCGGTCTCTCCTTCTTCTCCACGTCCTCCGTCTCAGCTGGCTTTGTTGCCTGGTTCGTCGCGCTCTGGGTAGCGTAGTACCGTGGGGTAGCTGGAGAATTACGTCTCGGGTTCGGCGGACGCACAGCCTGAGGTAGTGGCGAGGTCTTGGGTGTAGCAAAAGGTTGAGCACCGACAGGCTTAGACGCAATGGCTGATGCAGCGGTAGAAGGACGAATAGACAGGTTCTTGTCCTTGGGTGCAAGCACGCGCCTCAATTTAGACTCTTCCCTCTTGAGAGGCTCTTCAGCCCGTGTCTTCAGAGCCTCGGTGGATGTAGAATCAGCCTCCTGGTTCTTCCTGACCATCTTCTGCATCATAACCTTAAGACCCAGGCTCCTCCTACGGTTGCTCTTCAGCTCTCTCAGCTCAGCAGGTGGGACGTCGTGCGACATCAAGCTCCAGCGGTTCGATGATTCCTTTGGCGAACTCTTGCTGCGGAGGTGTCGTTGGGGTGTTTCTTGGATACTTCCTTCCCGTTCTGGTACTACCGGCATGGTTGGTAGAGTCTCCACGGGTGGCGCCTCCTCTGCATGCTTCGTCAGCGGTGGACTCAATTCTTGGATGAGTGTCGCACCACTTGAGCGAGCGGATGAACGATCAGTACGCTCCGTGGAGATGACGCGCTGCCGGGTACGTTGCGATCCAAGGCGTTCGTGATCGAGCATGAGCTGGTACTTTGTCGCTTGCAGCTCGTCGATCGATTGCTTCAAGCGTTCGATTTCGTCTTGATCTTGCGTGTGAAAGCTGGCAGCCGCATCGAGTTCGCCCTGTATGTCCTTGACGTAATGGTCTTTCTCCGCAATGGTGTTTCTGAGTAACTCCATCTCTTCGTCCTTGCTAGCGAGCGCTTCCCGTAGCTCGGACACTTGACCCTCCATGCGCTGGAAGTGTACACGGTGTACTACGCTGGGACGCGCAGTTTCCATGTCTTCAGTGACCTCTTTCTCTTGATTTAGCTGCACCCTGAAGGACTCAACTTCCTGCATTGCTGCAAACAAACGTGCATTGGCGTCGCTCAATCGCTTTTCTAGAGCAGCCACTTCAGCATATAGTCGGAGGTTATCCTGCTGAGTAGTATTGAACATGGCTTCGAGCTCGTCCTTGTCGTGTTCGTCCTCATCGATCGTTGGTAGTCGTCCTACAACGGAACCGGCCCGACTCCTGGGCTGTGGCTCCGCTTCCGCAAGTTTGACTGTGGCCTCTTCTAGCTGTTCTCGCGTCTGTGTATGCCTCTCCCGCTCCTCCTTTAAGGCCTTCTGAATTTTCTTGGCCATCTCCCATGCTCTTTGTAGCTCAGCTTGCTGGTTGACGACTTCTTCGTTGCTCTTAGTATTGGAGGCCAGTTGTTGTTGCAGCTTTGCAATGACCACGTCCTTGTCTTCTTCAACCTCCGGCGATGTTCTGCCTTTCTTGACTCGAAGCAGTCTCACTTCGAGTGCATTCTCCCCATCCTCTGATTCCCGTGGGCTTGACTGTCGCTCCATGGAGATCAGCCGCTCCCTCATCAATTTCAACTGGGCGTCTTTGACTTCCATGATAGTCTTGTGTTGCCTGGCCATCTCTTCCAGCTGGTTGTCGCGATCTTGGATGTTCTTGTCTTTCTGCTCGTTGCCCTTTCGAAGTGCAAAGAGCTCAATGTCTTTCCGATATACTACAGCTTGATGGTCCCGGCCCAAGTTTTGTTTGATAATCTTCAGCTGTTCGCGGAGGCTGGAGTATTCCGCGAAGGTCTGGTTGAGCGCATCGCGTGCGTTATGAAGCTCTTCCTTGGTGACACGGAGTTGGACTTCACGAGCCTTATGTGCTGTTTTGGATTCAGTAAGCGACCGTTGCAGTCGCAGGATCTCGCTATCTTTGGGGTCCACGGTGGTTGTTTTTGTATCGCATGCCCCTGATTGAGATGACACAGATGGCTCAATTGGCTCGAAATCTCCATCCTCGACGGCCGCTGTATTGAGATCGGGCACGATACTCGCATTGGCCTGATCAGAGCGCGTTTGGCTGCGGAGAGTTTCGGAAGGCGAGGGCGAGCGGGGTTGGAGATCTGATTCGCCGTCAGGGTTGGTAGCGCCCGCCGCTAAAACCCGCTGAAACACGTCAAACGCAACCATGACAAAAACCAGTACTAACAAGTCTCCGGCTTCGAATTGATGATTCGTGCAGCTGGCAAGTGCGACGAAGTGCAACGCGTTTGCAATAGACGTTTGATGTCTGCTCGCCCAGGTATCTGGAAGCTGGCGTGCAACGAGGAGAAATGTGCCTGGTAAGGCTGTGACGATGATCGTAGAAAGGGGCGAGTCAAAAGCAAAATCCAACACCCTGCGGCGAACGTCGATCGCAGAATCTACACCCGATGTGACCCTGAAAGCTCCGGTGTTGCGTGTGCTGCGGAGAAGTTGGTAGACGCCACTTGTGACTGGTCTGTCGCCTTGATCGACGTTAGTTGGCCGTTGTGGCGTTGGAGACGCGCAATAAAGACAAATAGACTGGAAACATACCTGATGTGGTTGTTGGCCACGCAAGCTCAGATGGGTTGCTGGCGGAACACACAGTTGACGCAGTTATTGAGCCAAGGGCGGATGACAATGTCGAAGACAAGGCAGATGGCTCCGAAGATGTTGATATAGTCTCTCCTGTGACTAAAAGAAAGCTTTGTGGTAAAGCAGGGATAGGTCCTGTATCCGTGGACAACGGGTAACGTTGATCAGTATGTTGGGCTTCGTCAAACGCTCTCAGCATTCTGGCACGAGCCAAGCTATGGAACGGTTCGGAGGTGAGACGTGAAATCGAGAGTTTGAATTAGGCGAGTCGAAGAGTGAAGCGGGGTGAGATGCCTGGGTCGCGGTGATAATAGAGTTCATTAAGGTTGACGTCAAATGCTATACGTTGGGTGTACCAGATGCAATCGCCGTAAAGATCATACCACCAGACTCCAAAAAAGACAAGAACAGACAAAAGACGAACAAGACGGGGCATTGGTGAGATAAAGGGGAAGCCCGCATAAATGCGCAGATAACATGAGGGGTTGCAGGTGCCCTGTGACGCCGTGCTCAACTCCATCTGTGATGGATATCGCAGCAAAAGTAATGGGATTCAACAGGGATCCCCGCAACTGCAGCTCACACAGCTAAATTTCGAACTGCTTAAAGCCTTCGACCAAGCCATCGCTAATCTTGGACGGTATTGCCCATACGGGCAGATAGTGCTGCACCTCATCGAAAGCAGGGATGTCGCCTGTGTTGGCGTCCGACCAGAGGCACACAACCCTTCCAGAAAGTTTCGATTGTTCTTTGGCGTTCCAAGCTACGCTAACGTTCCAGGGCTGACCGAATTCGCGATGCCACAGTCGCACTTCCCGGGCCCCGTCCGCACCGACGGGTTTAAAGCGAGAATCTGAAACCGCGCCGGCGACGCTCAATGCTGTTATGGGCGAGTCGAAAACAATGCGGCATGCGCGCGTATTATGGCCAACAACGCGTATTGTCGCTTTGTTGGAGCTGTTGCCCTTCTGGATCGAATAATCGAGCCATTTGCTGATGTATGTGTTGTTGCGGGATGACGATGTATGCGCTGGCTTCGGCACGACTTTAGCGTCAAGACCTTGCCATTCGCACTGCTTTAGCTCCTTACGCGTCGCGACCTCGGGTGTCGTGCAAATAAGCTGCTTGCCTTGCGCACTGGGTAACTCGCCAACAATGCGTTGGACATAGCCGTCCAAGCCGGTCAAGGACACAATGTTGTCGCCAGTCTCGCAATTGACCCGCTGAACGAAATACACCTTCAAGCGATGATCCCTGCTGAACGGGAACGCCACAAGGTTGTAAATGACAGTTGCCACGCAAACCAGGAACAGAAAGGTGGGGATGTGGTACGTGAAGCGGTGGATAAAAGGACCGGTTGGCGCGAGCAGCAGCACCGTAAGCCCTGCGAATGCGAGGTAGATGAACAAGGTCGAATTACCATCTGATGGCGTCTGGTAAAGGGCCGAGGTGAGAAGCAGACCAACTTGTCCAACTAAGATGATCACGATAGGCGCCAACAGCAGAAGTTGAACGATCCAGATCCAGCTCGGTAATTTGCCGCTCCACTCTTGTTCTCCAGGATACACGTTGCCGAGATCTATTTGCCGGGGTCCTTGTGCATGATCTTCACCTCCCTCGCTGATGGAGTCTCGCCTGTTGCCGCCATATCTTGTGAATCCGCGTCGATCGCCTCGTAAGAGTGAGGTGGTCTCTGTGGCGTCATCGTCTCCCACAGGACGATCATCAGACCGTGCTGCAGTGGTGCTGCCCGTAAGAGGCCTGCTTGCGGACTCTGAATTGCGTCGCGATTCACTCTCTTGCTCGAAGTGGCGAGCATATGCTGATTTGCTTGGGGCAAGGAAGAGCTCAAGGTAGGAAAGGAGGATGGCTGCGAACACTGCCGCAAAGTAGAAGAGCGCGGGGTAACCGGCAGCAATCTGGTAGTCATTCACGAACACCGTGATGATGGTGAGAAAGACAAAGGAGCCGACGAAGAGCCAAATCAAAGCGTACATACGCTGAAGTGCAGATGGTCGCATAGCATCGGCTCCTCGGGCAAGGAACCATGCGACAAAGACCCATGCCGAGAGCATCATACTATCGAGTTCGTCAGTACAAGATGAACCGGCAGTATGAACGACTTACCTCCAAACAGCAAAAGGGCTGCTATACACAATGAAAGCATTGAATCTGACTATGAGATATGCCAATGCAATAACAACAGCGGATGCGGAGACAAATATGATAGGAAAGCGAAAGAAGCCGCGCCAGCCGTAGAGGTGCACCGGATTGTCGTCGTCTGATGAATGCACGTAGGCCTTACGTGCTAATAGGTAGTTCTTGTCGGCCTTGGAAAGACCAAAAGTCAGAGCAATTAGTGTAAGAGGTGCAACAACTAGCAAAGTAACACACAAAGCGAACAGAGTATGCAGTTTGAATACAACGAAAACCCTTCCGAAGAGATCAAACCACACACCGTCACTACCAGTTCCAGCATTGACCCTGCCATTGTCGAGACTTTCTGGGCCAGTGAACTCGTCACCAGTGATGGAAGCCAGTCCAGATGTCGTGGCTAGAGCTGCGGAAAGCATGTGCCAGACCGAGTTCATTGACGTTTCGCGTGAAGAATCTTCAATCGTGTGATATCGTGCCCTTGGCTCCAAGAACGCAAAGTCCAGACCTCGCATCCCGAGTTCGCCATGGAAGACTTTGTAGTCAGTCTCGCTCCTGACCAAGCCCCTCTTGAAACCATCACCGCTCACGACTGTCCCGAAGGGATACTTGGACTTTTTGTAGAATCTAGTAACCTCGGTATCAGTGCTTCTAAATAAAGCAGCTCTGCCGCCGGCTCCCACCCCCTCAAGGTTCACGAACGTGTGGGGGATTTGAGATATCGGGTTTCGCATGAAAGCTTTGGCGCCATTTAGATAGTCTTCTTCGCCGTTGTTGAGCAGCAGTACCACAGTTCTCTTGGGCCAGTTTTTGGACTCTGTAAAGTATGAGAGAAGTTGCAAGATCGTCACGACACCGACGCCATCGTCAGTTGCACCATAGCCACTGCTCACAGAATCGTAGTGAGCATTCACAAGCACACCGCCATTTTCTGAACTACGATCAGTAGAGTTGAAGGGTTCGTCATCGTCGGATCCGCGGATAGCGACGATGAGATTGGTGCCTTCAAAGTAGACAGAGGTACTCCCGGACGAAAAGGTCGCATTGGAGGTCAAGTCATTGAACAGCTCGACTTGGCCCTCTCCCAGATCCTTGGAGCTGACGATGCTCTTGATGCGCGTAAGTAGATAATCGCGTACATCGTCGTTGGCCTGGCTGTTATAGGGATGGAAGCGGCGGGTAATGTGCTGGAGGTCGCCCCAAGCTTCGGTGAGGTTGATGCCGGCTGGCGGATTAGATGGGTAGTTTGGTACCGTCAGGTGGGTAACGAGCAGGCCAGCAAAGAGGCCCACGTAGACAACGGTGGTAAAGAAGATGACTGGCCCCGGGGTAAACGAGAAGGGATTAAGGCGGGCCATGGCAGCTCTCGTGGAGCCACGTATCTTCCAAAAGCTCTCGGTAGACGAAGATGACGCAAGACGCGGTGGATTCGGTTGTTGTAGCTATGGCGGGGCGCGTCTTGTGCATTGCATGTGATGGATCATAGCTCCAAGACGCTAGCCGCATACGTGCTTAGCAGAGAAGGAGACGCCAAGCATTATGTCACCACCATCACACTGATATTGGTCAAAGTCGGAAATGCGATACGCGCATTCTCTCGTGCACAGTTGGTCTTGGTATCTGCGAGGAACCACCTCTTGCTTTGTCATGGGCCTCGAGGCTCGCATGCCCCCGGTCCAGCCGGATGTGGATGCTCTAGACCATGAGGCATCCCTAACAGTAGGAGCCGCCGCCGAACTGCCAGTACTGACGGCAACGCCTACAGCCTACTCGGGATGTTGTCTGGCTCTTAGCAAACCCCTCATCGCATACTTCGCGTCGCTCCTTCCTCAACCCCCATCGCTTGCTCTTTCCATCGGAAGCGGCTTTGGCCTGCTCGAGACTCACCTCATCGTCAAACCTCACGCGCACCACGTCGTCGGCGTCGAAGTAGAGCCAAGCTCCAACCAGTATCTGCCTCACTCAAACCATCGTGTCGTTCACGGTTCGCGCTTCCTCGAGCCGCTCGCTGCGGAAGCCACGACTTGGCTCTTTGTTTACCCGCGACGCGTGGGGCTGGTGCGCGAATATATGGCAGAATATGGTCAAGGCAGTGTGACGCGGGTCATATGGGCCGGTCCCAAGGCTGACTGGGATGACTACAAGACTTGCTTCGCAGATTGGCATGTCCAGGAGCAGAGCGCCGAGCTGGTTGGGGGAAGAGCATGGGAATTGATCGCTGTCGCAGACAAAGCTACGCCCTGAGACGATGCATTCCAAGGTCAAAGGATAGAACACTGTCACTACTGAGTATTCCGACATCTGCGCAACTCGCACGTCATCCTCAGGTGCAAGCGATGTTCATGCCACAATGCTGCGTCGAGTAATTGTTTGCGCACTCTTTGTCTTGTTGACCACAACAATGAGGTGGTCTTCTTTCTGCGGACAACAAAAGTGTGAGCTCGATTTTGATGTCAGGTTATCATCCTTTGACTTGTGTCTTTGCTTGTCTGCCACGACTCAGGCAGGTTGCTTTGTGCCCCTGGATACATGTGTGGCATCCTCTCGACTTCTGTGCATGCCAAATGTTGCTTGTCTTGGTAAGACATTTCCTCATAGTACAGTATCACAGGCGTGCATACTGACGATATTTTAAAGTCGATACACATACTTTCTGGATCACGCGAGATCACAAATCATGGCTGCTGCTCTTCCTGGCCTCGCATTGCAAGCTTTTGCAGATCTATGGGGTCAACAACCCGAACTAGCAGCCGGTCTCTATGCCGTGGGTGCAGTTGCTGCTGCAGTGCCGCGCTACGTCCCAACGTTTGAGCAAGCCAAGTTCTGGTGTCAAAAGCCAAGGCAGTCGACTAGACCTGTCGCTGAATCCATGCCCATCGCTAGCGAAGCACTTAGCACAGTCAGTACGACATTCTCTCGAAATCGCCCGCCACCTGTCGTTGTCATAACGCGATCTGCTTCTCCTCCGCTGACTTCCGAAACAATCCTGGTGGTCGAAGACCGTGTGGAACCTGAAGTATCGGATTCTTCCGCGCCAATCAATTCCGCCTATATTGACTCAGACTCTCCAGCTGTACGTTCTGTCACATCAACAGAGAGAAGCTCCTTGCAAGCCCAACTTGCATCCAGTGCTACGGTTGAGACATTGCCGGATGTAGTCAACAAGGTCTTGAGAGCCGTGCCGACGGAAACACCAAACATGTCTTCGCATGGAATACCCACTCACGAAAATTTCACTCCGGACGACCCACGGCTCTCCAACGAAGCGACAAAACAGACTACTGGTATTGCATCCAGCAGTGTTACATCTATAGACTCTGGTGAACTTGGGCAGAAGCTTTCTCGGACATTATTCCAGGTGGCCACCAATAAATTGCCTGTTATGCCCAAGTCTTACAAGACTGAGTCTCCCTCAGATGATGACAAGGACCGTAAACCTTCGTCAAAGACGGCCTCTAGTCGATTACCATTTGAGCACTTCCTGTCTGAGACTTTGGATGATCTCTCCAGGCTCGGAGAACATCGCCCAGTGTTCACTACGTCAATAGAGAGACAGTCCAGCGAACCATTCCACGCTTCGCCATTACTAGCGGAATCAGAAAGCCTGTCCAGTTACAAAAGCCGACTTGCGTCTGAAGAGAGTCATGTGGCATATCGTGCGGAACGAGAGCCTACTGCCTCATCCAACCACAACGACTTTATCAGCTGGTTAGACATTGTGCTGATTTTAGTGCCTTCGATTCTCATCGCCACAAGCATAGGTCTTGCGGGCAATGATCCCTTAGACCAGGATCTCTATGCCACTCTAGTGGCTACATTGTGTACAGTTGTCGTTGGGTGTCTCCCTTACCTCGATTTCCGTTGGCCGACCTTGCGGTACTCATTCCTTGCCATGTACAGACACTCTCTGGAGTCCATCTCCTCCTTCATGGTATATCTTACAGGATTTATTCGTCAATGGCAGGGAACTCTATCCGGAGTTTTGAGAAAGCAACATGCCGACCACGTCATCGCCGACCGGGTACCATGTGCTGTACTCATTGGATTGGTGTTCGCTGTCCTGTCGATCACAATGAGCCATATGATAAATCGACTACTCCAGCGTGCAGAACTAAGTCAACGGGAAGCAAACCGTCTTCATCTGTACATGGCCTTCGCTGGAACCATTGTCGCCTTGAATGTAGTTTGGTTTAGCGTTTACGTCCAGGATTTCATCTTGGTCTTCACCACGACAGGTTTTATATACGTGTTTCATTCGTACTGCGGACAGATACTGGGCTTTGCCTCTCGCTCGGTGTTCGAAAGTTGTAGGTTGGTAAAGGAGGCGATGTGGCCATATGTAGCAGTTCACGCCGCTGTCACCGCTACGGCATACCTTGCCAGCCATCCACAGCAAGTCTTCGAGTGCTTCAAAAGTATCAATGGCGGCGTGTCTCTGCCCATCGACCATTGTGCTATCGTGGTGAAATACGGGACCCTCTCGATTGCTGTGCTTCTCATGCACATACCAATTGGTTCCTGTGGTCTTCGGGTTATTCGAGCTTGGATTCGAGAGAGGTACAACCGCATCGTGCACGATCGTCCTGTTGCTCCATGGCACCCTACAGTCAGAGGAGACCGCTTCTGGTTGTCGCTTACTCTCATCGTTCTAGGCGCCGAGAAAGTGTCTGAGGTTATGACAGAATGGGCTGTTCCCACTCTCAAGATTGGTGCTATATTGATCGTCACACTGACTTTGGCACGTGTATTGATGCCATTGTATCCTGTGCTTCTCGGCCACATTTGGAACACTGTACAACCTTGCACTGCAGAACTATCGATGACGACCATTTACGCAATTAGAGAGACGATGCTGATGATTTCCAAACGTGCTCCAACATTCCAAAAATGGTCAGTAAAACTACTGAAGCGCATGATATCCGACTCCGTTTCAAACACTTCGGCGATGGTCTCGCTGGTCCTTGGAAAACTTTCAACGGATTTAAGATTCTTTTACAATGCAAATATTGAACCTGTCGTGGTTTATATTGGTCTGAGCTGCCATAGCAACTGGTGTCAAGGTCGAATTTGGCGGTGGGTTCCGCGCGCGATAGCCATTGTCTTGGCCACTGTCCTTTGCACCTTGGGATGGGTCATCGCCGCCAGAGCATACCCCGAACATAAGGTTCGTTCATGTCTAGGCTTCGCTGTTAGCTTCATGGCGGTTTATATCTTAGGCACTTTTGGAGCCCTGGGTTGCACGCAAGACTATATCATCGTTCTGATAACCATTTTTGCCATACTAATAAACCTCCCGCTTGAGATTCAAGCACATACCAACGGAACACCTGCTAACGTAGCACTCGTCGATGAAACACCTATCGACGAAGTACTTGCTCCTGATGAGCTATTTCCCGATGTCATGCCGGCGGACGAAGACCCGGCTGTGGAAGAACCACCTAACCCCCCAGCCAGACTGGCGATGAGTGTGCCTGGGTCTGTCGCTCTCCCTTTGCCTTCAGGATGGTGGTGGTGGCCAATGATAGATTGGTTCAACATTAACAATGCAGCGCGAGCAGCAAAAGAGAAGACCATAGCAGAGGCCAGGGTCGTTGCAGAGCAAGAAAATGCGAATCTTCGATCGCAAGTTCGATTCACAAGGCAAGATCAGCCCTTAAATTCCATTGATATTGAGTATTTACAGAGGCTTAGAGACTTGACATCTGAAACGAATACTACTCAGTCGCCGAGCAACGGGGATGAAACACAGACAGCCAAAAGATCGTGGAACACCACCCAGCCTTTTCGACCTATGTACATGTATACTGAGCGGGAATATCAAACTGCTTTGCGCGGAGAGATGCCTACGACGGCAATATCAGAGGCTACCTTGGAGCCGCTTGTTGAGTCCGTTCCGACCCCTCTCGCTCAAGATTCAGCAGTTTCTGTGGCTACCGATCTGTCGATTCTCGCTTCAGCACCTTCATCTGCAACTACATCCGTACCTGCTCCTCCCTTCACTCCTGCTACGCCTGCCGCACCTGCTCCTCAGACCACAACTATTCTTTCGACCACGTCTTCTCCAGTCAGAGCCTATTCATCATACCCAGGGACTTCTTCCAGTTCCCTGTTTGCATCTGCTCAACCGGCAACACCTGATGCTACGCAAGAGCGCATTGCGAGTATAAATGAAGTGCCAGCAGAGGTTGATAATCAAGATACATTGCCTATCCTCATGACAAGCTCGTCAAGCTGCAGACCGCAAGAGGATCGTAACCATGAGACGAGTACCCCAATGGCAACCACGACGACGCCTGCGGTCCTAGACAGAACACGTTCTCACGAGTTTGCCTTCGCGCCCTTGACTGGGTTGGCTGAACCTGGTATGCCGGCCATGGATTCGGGTAGCGAGCATGGACCATCAAGTCTTCCAAACCCTACGGTCTCAGCACCTATCATCAAGAGTGCTGAGCCATCTCCCGGTCCAAGCAAGTCACTGGATGAAGACAAGCTTGCTGGCGAACTGGAGCATCCCGGTACAGAAGATAGGATTGGTTTTGTGGAGAACGCTTCGGCGGACGGTCAACAGCAAGACCAACAACGCAATGAGGGAGACAGCAACGATGAAGAAGACTTTAGCTCAAGCGGTGGCGTGACTGGTCTCGATGACCAAATGTTTGAGGAAGAGCCTGTAGACGAAACTGAAGGACTAGATGAAGAAGATTTGGCAGCAGCTGAACAGCTGCGCGAGGAGATGGAGAGTGGAGTTAAACGAAATAAAGTCATTACTTCGGTACAGGCGGCTTTCGATGAAGCACATCTGCTTGCCGATAACTGCGATGACAACGAACAGACAGGAACTAAAAAGGAACAACCGATTGAGGGGACTCTCATGGATGTGGATCTGGTTATAGTATCCTCAACTGCTGGAGACGGCTTTCAAGACGAGCATGGTAATGTGATAGACACACCTATGGGTGGTGTTCCGAAAAATGGTGCTGATATGCTGGAGCTGAAAGTCTTGTCAGCAAATTCTGAAGACGATATAACAATGGGAGGTACAGATAATGAAGAGGCGTCTGATCGGGGCGGAGGAAACGGTGATGAACCTGAGAAAGAAGATGGAGGAACCAGTGGAAACCGGCCTACTTCTGACGAATCATCTGAAGATGGTGGAAAAAATGATACCAATGAACCATCACCTGTAGCCGATCCGTCGATATCGATGGGTGACATGGTGGGGGGTTCTTCGAGTAGAGAGGGCTTTCACGGTGAGATCGTTCTCGACACCCAGATCAGCAATGACGTTCATACCTCCGACAAACTCGAATCAAACAACCCGAAGGATGAAGATGGCGGCGATGATAGCAGCGATCGTTCTGAGCCACATGGACGTCTTCAGTCATCGACGTTTGGTGGAACTGCTTCAGCGGCACCATTCTCGAACGCTGGCGGAGCCATCGCTGCCGCTGCGAATACCACCATGACGGACAACGACGAAGACAGTGAAATGATTGATGTAGCTATCATAGGCGCAGCCGAAATCGGCAATGCTGGTTGCAACGCATCTGCACCGGCGCAATTCAACAATAATGAATTGCCTAAAGCGATTCAAGCCGCTCAGAGTGCAGACAGTCAACCAAATGAGAGTCTCACGACTCCATCTGATGTGGAGGGAGGGCAAGATCACAACACTGACGATGATGATGACTGGGACAGCATTTACGCTAGTGCCGATGGCCATCTTTCCTCTCCCAACGTGCCGAGATCTCCGACTACGCAAGAACCTCCTATCGATCCATCAGGTACATACAGCCCATTTTCGAATGTAAGCTCCAGTGACTCAAGCGGAAACGTCTCTCTATCTCATCAGATCGATGACTTCGGAACCGAAGAGCTTGCACAGATTGAGGCTACAAAGAAAGATAAGCAGATGCGAATAGATGCACAAAGAGATCTTGGTTTGCCTTTGGATGGATATGTGCAACTACCAGGCATCAGAAACCAGAGTCACGATGACATTCGTAGAGCCGATGACAAGCACGGAGATTTGATCGCAGGTATCATGGGGATCGATTCCAACAACCATGACACCGACTATCAACAGACACACGGTGTCGACCACGACTTTGAGACCTCACAAGATAATTCCCCAGGCGATGCTCAGCTCCCGATTACGGTTGACCATGAAACCATTACCGATGCCGATGGTCTCAGTTGGACGGACATCAGGCCCAAAACGCGCCTGGTGCAGCTCTGGGAAGACAGACAGATCGTCGACAACCCCGATTACCCACCTCATCGATCCGCGGGCATGAGGTCACTGGAGGCAACATATGGGCAACCATGCCAAATCTTTCGAGAAGTCGACATGGCAGCATATGAGTCTTTCGGCGAAAATCACGAGAACTTCCAATATGCCCAAGAAGGCGTCGATTGGTTCCATCCTGAAGCCGAAGGTGCCGAACCCCGAGAAGAATTTGAAGGGGAAGTTGGGGAAGAGAGCAATGTTGCTGCAAATGAAGTAGAAGGTCGCGTGGATGGCGATCTCAGCGCAAGAGTCGCTGCTTCCAAAACTGAATCCAATGCCGCTTTCCGTTTCGACTACTCTGATAGTGAATCAACTTTGTCGGATCCACCTGAAAGCACCGACCTTGATACGACTGGAGCGACCTTGCTAATGGAAGAGGTGAATCGCAAGATACCGGTACTGAAGAATGGAGGTAGAGAGCTTATCGACAACTCTGCGCTAGTCAGCGAAGAAGCCTACCCCAGCAAAAAGGGGAACAGCGTTAGCGCATCCTTATCTGACGACGACGGTGCTGAATCCCATCTGATGATCACTGACGCGACAAGGGAAGAAGCGGCGAGATTCGGCTGCACAACTGACAGTCGGATTCTGGACTTTATGGAGAGCATCGATCGACCAGAAAAGCGAGAGGACGGTAGGATCTTGACACCGAAGTCTCGGAAAGATCGGAAAGGCATAAGTACGAGGTCTTCCACGTCCCCAGCCGTCATGTTCTCGCCTCCACAAGCTCCAGCACAGCAATCGATGCCGAAAAAGCGCTACAACGGCCCAGTATCCTTCAACTTTGACGAAGGTGACGTCCAGCCTCAACTCGAACCAGCACCTCCTATGACCAAATACCTTCTCGAAAAGATGGCGGACTTCAACTCGGATCCGGTAAAGCGGGCTGCATTACAAGATATGGCAAACAAGGTTGATGATACGTCGAAGATTCCATCACCGGCTCGGACGTCTCTAGTCGCTACTAGTAACAGTCCCTTCGCATCGAACCTCCAAGGTGCATCAAACGCGCCCCGGTTACCGAAGTCAAATTCCGCTTCGCCATCGTCCGATCCCAGACCATCGATATCATCTGCTGGTTACGACAGCATCCGCGCTTCGTCGCTCCCTTTTGATCCGTCAAAGCCACGTCCGTACGTACCAGAAGGCTTCGATCCAAGCGTTTTGGATAGATTGAACAGCACGAATCCTTTCCGTCGATCATCGAGTACCAAAGCGTCGACGCCATCCTATCCTCAACGTGGTGCTATTGTCTCTCCGACCAGGAGGCTAGGATATCGACCCATGAGGTTACCAGAGGCCACATTATCGACGTCAGATGATCCGTTGATAAGGCGTTCCGCTCACAATCCTCTAGGTACCTCGATAGGAGTGGTTGCTCCACCAGTAAACCCACCAAGTTATGATCCTCCTCAGCCTACAGTAGGCATGGCATCTGAAACCTCGTCAGCAGGTTCGGTGTCTTATGACCACATGGAGCCTTCTGCAGGTTACACTGTCCAGCCAGCTATGAGCGATGCAAACGAATTATCAGATGATTCTCCGAGAAGCGCACGCCAATCATCAGCCCCGCCAGCTAGTACAACAACAGATCCAAACAGGATGATTGACATCGATAGTGACCTATGAGCTCTGCTGCCAGCCATGAAGGATGGTACTATGGAACATGATTATGCAGACCTGACTCGATCTCACGAGGATGTAGCATCGCCTCTAGTTGAAACTACTGAAAGTGAAAACCTGAATATGGAGCGAGCTTCAAGCATTGCGTCGACGCGATCTAATGTGAAGAGCGATGGCGCAAGCAATCGTGCTAGCAACCTTAGCAGTGATCATAACGGCAGTCGCAGAAGAAACAATGATCGCATCTACGTCGACGAAGGAAACGAAGACGAGGAGTGCTGTGATAGCAATGACAGCTACTATGACGGCGATGATGACGATATGCCTCAAGATGAAGCCACATCGATCATTTCGGAGAGGATTCGCAGCCGAACGATCAAGCGGTACGATTGTGGGATGACGAGTGAATGGAGGCTGAAGGCCAAATTCGAGAGGACCAGCGTGTTGCAGGTGACAACAACGATATGTAAATGAACGACTGTAGCCTACTCATAGACATGAATAGCCCTCTCCAGTCTCTATTTCATGAGTGTAAGCCAGATAGTCTATGTTTGATAACCGAGTGACGCTAGTCTCCTTAGTGGTAGCTGCCTAATTCCAGTTCAGAAAACCACTAGAGGAACGACCAATGCTTCAATGGACCAGCCTACTTTTTTGGATTATATAACTTCTTCAGTAACCAGCCGCACACCATCCGCTACAGCCAAACACGGTGGAATCAGTTATAAACTTACCCGAGAACAGGAAATAAAAGGTTCTCAGAAACGATACAGACTATGACGACTCCATAAAAAGACAAGATGATGTAAAGGGCTTGCACCACGTTATAATAATAGGCTGCGAAAGCGACAATTGTAGAGAACTTGCGTTTGGAGCTCTTTCAATTCTCGCGGCAGAAGAGAAGAAGTAAAGAGACAACCATTCAGATAGCTGATTAAACAAAGATCAAAGATCAGCCAGTTAAAGGTAGACCACTCGACGACGTGGCACAATAGAAGCTACCAATCAAACCCCCGACAAGACGGGCACCTCGGAATCAAAGTCATGTCGCGCTTGTCGACCAGAAGAACGCATTACACAGCCCATTAACGTTCCTTCCGGTATCGGCGCCCCGGTACGAGATCTGGTACCGAGGTCTGGCTACTCAGTATCTCCATACTTGAAGTGCACGTCCATAGATTCATGGAGCGGTTGGCCTGATGATGAGGATAACATGTGGGAAGGCGAAGGTAGCCTTCACCCTCACAAACATCAAATGGTTCCAGCGTCTGCTTACTATTCTTCGTCCAAGGAGAGTGTATGGGTCAAGCTGGATTCTATGGCACAGCCAGTCTACGGTGACCCACTGCTCCCAAATTCGGGACAGCAGCATCATAATGACGACTCAGCGCGAGACGGTGTGCATTCGGGTGGCGCAGAAAAGACGGTACGAACTAAAAGTTAAAAGAGTATTTCGAAACACAAAGTTGTAAGACCCAGGTTGACTATTACCTTATGCTTGCACTTTTTTATGGATAAAGTGGGCTCTTTGTTAGTGGTTTGGTATCCTTTGGCAATTTTTGAGATCTGTTGGTCGCAAAAATGTGGTCCGCTTGCGGGATTAATTTTACACCTTATTGCTCTTTCCCGTCGAGCTGACAAAATTGGAGGAGAGGCTAGCCCATGTGGTAGTACCGTTGACCTTGGAGATAGAACCATCTCATTTCGTTATTGGTGCCTGCCACAACCCTTGGCATACATACTATATAGTCAGCATCCTCCGTAGCATCAATCCATCACTCTTATACTCCAACAGCCTTCCACCCATCAACAGCATCATAGCTTTGTATTCACCTTTTCCGTTGAGATCGATTACCATTTCGCAATGATATCCACACTCCTCCTCAGCCTCTTCGCGCTCTTCGCTACTATTGCTGTTGGTACAGATCGTCCATGGAATCGTGCGTAAATACCGACGTGTCTCCTAGCTAGTGGCTGTTCTGATCAAACAACAGATTGGAAATACCAAGAGGGTGGTAAGCAGCATGACAGAGGATACAGAAAAGGGGATTGGCGCGAATGCTGGCAATGCCATCGACACTACTGGGCGTGCTACACAGTGCGTATCTAGTCTTCTTCTGGAGCCTTTCGTGTTCGAAGGTTGTTAACCATACCTAATAGGACTGCACCAACGGACAGGAGTTTGGAAACGAGCATGGGAACGACATCCGTTATCCCAACCAGGAATGCCGCTTACTCTGCCAGCAATGGGCAGAGTCGAGCGTACAGTGGTGCACGAAGCATCAATGCAAGCTCCATACCGGAAAATGGGGAGAGGACGAATGGCATAGCCAGGTACGTGATCACCAGAAAGCAACAGTGTGGAGGGTTTGGCTAACTCCGACGTTCCTCTAGCTACATGGATAATGAGTACAAAGACCACCGGCAATTCGAAGCCACCAATACAAAGAGACAGGGATGCAACATGTTTCACAAGGTTATTCACCTAGATATGCTTGAAGAGAGTCTATGACCAAGAAGCATGCACGTATTAATCGACATGGGCGGGATGTACTAGCTCTTGCTTTCTTCACGATTCATCTTCGATGGTCTTCTGTATCCAGTGATGCGACTTGAGAATTAGATCAAGGCGCTCTCTCAGTCCTTAAGAATAATGCGCGCATCTGGTGACGGTCATTTGCAATGACGAGAAGTCTTGGAACTATCGGTCACACGAGTCTTTCACATCCAATCTCTCTTTGAAACCAATTCTACATAGACAGCTTACTATTGCCACAACTGCTGCAAGCAAATACCACAGTGATCAGAATAGCGATACCATCATATCACTCACTGTCTTTGCATTCAAGGGTAAGCCGCCTATACCAATAAGATAAACTTGTCGGAGGTTCTGCTGCAGATTCTGTTATCGATCGACAAAAGAACAGGTGCTAGTGGACGTTTTCGAAATCTGGATGAGTGGTCTTACAAGCTCACAACTTCGAGGCTTATGAATCAAAATTATTGAAATCGTTTCGAATGCTCAACGAATGCTTTCTAAATGTGGACAACGAGTCTATCATGATATATATGACATAAGCGACCTTACGTGCCTTACGTTATCGAGAAGCAGAAAGTAACTATGACGCGTCTGATACGCAGACGATAACATGTTGTTGATGTAAAACCCCACAATAAATTATTGATTTGTGAAAATTCCAGGGCATCCGTATGATAGTACTCATCCATGGCCGATTTCCAGTATGGTGGTACAAACCAATCAGTATTGAATTCAGCTTCATGTCATTTGGCGCAAGGGAGCACAAGTATTATCTCAACATCTTCGAGATACATCACTGCTTAGATATACGTCGACATTACTAGTTCTATGTCTCTATCTGGCCACTTGTAGTTCAATCAGTCGCCGCTACTGTGTTTACGAATTTTTGCCCACTATGGAAACCACTCCTGAAGAAAGAGCCAATATCATGTGTTGTTATTGGTACCTTCTGTACCCACTAGCGTACTGCCTATATATTCAGAATCCCCCTTAGAATCAATCCATCACTCGTATACTCCATCAAGTCCACCTACAAAGCCAATCGACTTCGAACCATCTCTCTATCTCTGCCTATCCTCATTGCTTCTGAGATCACCAAAAGCTCATTCTCGTTATCCAACGGCACGTCAGAGGCCGACATAGATCAACAAAAGCCCATTCTCGTTACCCAAAGGCACCTCGGAGCAGACATGAAGCTCATCACCGTTCTCATGGCGGCGCTTGGCTCCACAGTCCTTGCCAACAAAGATCCTCTCGATAAGGCGCCCTTCTGGCATAGTTGCAACCAGTGCCAATACGAGTGGAACGATTGCATGCTCGTAAGCACCCCTCACACATACTCACCCACTATGTCCATAACTCACTAATTATTATCAAGCGACATAACCCTACTCGTTCACCATTCCTCGGTTCACTTTGGGATGCCGCTTGTGCGGAAGAGCTCTGCAACAACGACGACGACCATCTAGGCTGGTGGTGCTGGCACAATTGCTATTTCCGTTATGGTTCCTGTTTTGCATCTCTCCGAGAGACTGAGTCAGGGAGAGGACATCAAAAATATTGGGATGGTGAATGGTAGACTTCTCACGCTGTAGGTGCATAGGTAGATGTTGTAAAAGCGTGCCAATCACAAATAGCTGACCTGATATATCTACCAAAGAGGCAGCCTTGAGTACAGGTGACCGCAAACAATACAAATGAAACCCATTCTCTAGGCAACCACCGGCAACTTACCGCTCACTCACCTTGTTGTGCTTTTCTCAGTAAAGCCTCGTCGGCAACGCTACGAGCCCGTTTGCTTGCCTAGCGCGTCGCTGCTCTCTCTCACTCATACACCAAGTATATATTTCTGCGGTCTTGCCTTCCATTTTTTTTCCCTCCAACTCCACCACCAACTCGATATTCAGGACACAGTTTACACTTTATCACAACCAAATCAACATCAACCACAACAACAAGCTTGCCAACATGAAGCTCACTGTCCTCGTTCTAACAGCCGTCGCCGCTGTCGCTATTGCCGGTGGCGGCAGTAAAAAGAGCGACGACGCTCTCTGCGCCGCGTGCAGGGAGGTGTACGTGCCTTGCAAGCATGTGAGTAAACGCTGTTACATGAAAGCACTAGTGCATATCCTACACAGAAAGCTAATCGTATAAAAGAAATGCGATACCTCCGATCGTACCGTGCTTTGCGAAACCTACTGCGAACTTCAGGTGTGCGATTACAAGCCTCCTGGTTTCGATAAGCCGTGTCACCCAACCTGCATCTATCCCAAGTGCAAGAACAGGCCGTAAGTTCTTCTGGACAACCATGACGCACTCGCTGACTTCAAGGTTAGCGGCCATGACGAGAACTAGAGTACTCAGCGATCAACATTCACCTCCAAACGATAACGATTGGTGCGCACGGAACTGGCCAATACGGAGGGTGCAATGAACAACGATGGATGCTGAATACGTTCCGCGATTGCGGGTATGAGAACAGGAACAAGGACTAGACTAAGGAACACGATACTTGGTCGTCTGTAACGGTAGATTGAATGATTTATCAATCATGACTTTCCAATGACTGAGCTCTTGACTTTTAAAGTGACTGAGTCAACTGATTGAGAAAGATGCCTCTTGCTGATTTGGCAAGGCCGCTTTGGTTTCCGCTTACTGCGAGCTTCAACTCATTCAGCTTACAATCCAGTTGGTAGCTCACTCATCCTGTTGCATTCATCGTCAGAATATCCTCTAATATCCGGTTTTTGACATTGGAGGACAAGACTTGCGCGCTACTATCACATTCCCCTTACCGCAAAAGTGTACCGCTGAACATTCACTGAGTACTACTTGCTAAAACGTCGCCGTTTGCAGATCCAGCCGCTGATGCCGCGGTAATTAGGGATCAGGGTTGAGTACGTAGTGTCCAAAAGCAGTCACATATCCTCTTTCTCTTTTGTGCCACTGCTCAAATTCCTTTTCTGAAATGTAATCTGCAAGTCAGCTTCGCTTTGATAGCATATGGTTTGACTCTAGGTAGCTCATTGTAGCTGATCATCACCGCCTTCGTCCTCTCTGCTAGCAATCTGTCAGGATATCCGAACATTGAATCCGTGATCAGCTTGTTTCGAGCAAATCTCACAGCTATCCTTACTCGATGCTGTTTAAACCATTTGAGTCAGCCGCGCTTCGACCGCTAGCAACCGTTTCACTATGTACGCTCAGATCTCGCGCCGACAAGGCAAGCTCCAATGATTACGAACTCCAGATCTCCCCCTCTTCCAGTGTTTGCAGATCGACGCACAGATCACTATCCTTCCACTGTTGTGTAACAATTCTTTCACCTGCTCGATGCCTAATCGCAGTCTCACCTCTTCCAGTATACATCTACCACTACTTTATCTTCTCTCCTTTCTTCTAATCCACGCCAGTCTATCTCTTCAATTCCGTCGAACAGCCACCATATCACACACAACCGAATTACTTCATCAACTTCAACACCATGAGATTTGCAACTACCATCCTCACGCTCGCCCTCGCTGCCCTCACCATGGCCACTCCCCTCGCCAACCCCAGCCCGGTTGCCGATCCCGTCGCTGCACCCCAAGTCACCCCTCCACCAGTCGACAAGCCCAACTGCCGGGACTGCGACAAGAACTTTACCAAGTGCCGTCTTGTAGGCTCGTCCTTTTCATATCCCCCTCTCTGCTCCACTTTGTACTTGTTACTAATAGAAACTTGCCAAATAGTCCAAGTTTTGCTTCTTCCACCCTCAGGCTTGTGACCAGACTTGCCGTGCGAATACCTGCCGCCTGTTTGACGGATTCTGCAAGGCCAACTGCGGCTACACAAACTGCTAGACAGCTGGTCAAACTGCCGGTACCGCGTGACTACAAGCTGCTAAAGGTCGGAGATTCAACAGCTGGTACGATTGCCATCTAGGAAAGATAATGTACTTGACAAGAGTCCTTAGTGACGGCTTTTGGTCAGAGGTAGATGGTGGTGATTCTGTCCTTGGGGAATTAAATATGGCATTGACGTTCATGGAGCACTTGAATGAATATGAGACAGAGATTGGCGTTTTCTGACAGGTCCTCGCTACGGCGGGTAGACCTATATGGAGGCATTAGACCAATTCTCACAAATAGTCCAAAGATATCCAACGATGCTTCCGTCTACAAAATTGCGATGTGCTGCTTCCTTTTCACCATACGTCATGACGTGACCATTCTTGTCATAATTGTATCGTGTTCATTAATTCAAGCTCCCCACCTTCCAGACCCCGACCCACGATATCGACATCTCGCTCATGGCAACACAACGACTTAACAAGGAACCTCAGCAAAGCGCCTTTCCCGCGCTGATCACCCTAAATTAGCCACCATTGGCCTCCAAGGAACAAGACCGAATACGAAGATTGACCTGCAGTGCCAAGAAAAATTGGGCTCTTCGCGGCCCGCAGATGATCACCCGCTAAACCAGATTACCGCATGGGTGAGGTCTCCGTCCGCCTTGGTCCATCTTGCAAGTTGTATGCGCAGTCTTGGCTGCTAATATGTACTGGTACCTTGCCGGTGTGGTTGCACCCATTTTGCTTGGACAATGCTTCATCCAAGACTACCAAGGTAACCTAGTTATACGCCTATAATTGTGACGGTGTGCTAGGTCTGGCGGTGATGTCGATAGCGATGTCTGTAGATCAATATTTCGAATAGTATTTAAGCTGCTCATGTCTTGAGCAAATGTTGCCAGTATTCTGTTTGACTCTCCTATCGCCATCATGAAGCTCACTCTTGTTACCCTCTCCGCTGTCGTGGCGTCCACTACCACCGCATCTCCTCTGGTCCTCGAACCCCGCCAACAATGCAGTACATCGTGGAGCTACCCCTACACTGGCCGTGCACCTCCTGGCAACTACAAAGCGTTCAACTTAGCTAGCTGCACCGCACAACTCAGCTTCAACAAAGACCAATACGTCGGCGTCCAATGGGCCTTTGAAGCCACCTACGCCGACGGCAGCCGTGCAGAACTCAAGCCCTTCCGCGAATTCAACAGCTTCGGCGTCAGCGATACCTTCTACCCTTACCTAGGAAACAACTTCCTCACCCGGTACCCGGGGAACTCGGCGTTCACGGCTGTGCATGAGTTTAGTAATGTGTGCAAGAACGGACAGGCGCCGGTCTCGTGGCGGTTCTACACAACATCAGGGACAGCGAATGGCTGCTACACAACGGGTCAGATCCGTGCTGTTGGTGGGGCCTCGCGTCCGGCCAAGGTCACAGGCGTTTCTTTGCGGAGGAGCAACGATGCTGGGGATTTCGAGGTTACCTGGTCGCCGGTGTCCAGAGCAGCTGCGTACTCAGTGATTGTGCAGTACCCAACCGGTACAGATGAAGTTGGGAATCCATATACGAATGTGAGGGGTGCACGTGTGCAGGTAGGTTATTGTTGATATACGTCAGTGAGCACCTGCTAATGGCCATTTTAGGGAAGTTGGACGAGCGTCGCGACGACTACGCGCAGGCAGGATGTACAGAGAAAAGCTATTGTACACGCTGTGAACTCGCAGGGTGTGTGGTCATTGACGAGCGATGTGCAAGCAGTTGCTGCTAGCTGGTAGACGTCATGTAGGATGTGAGATGGATGCGGAAGAAATTGCCCGATCGGTCGAGCGGATCCCTGCTTGGGAAGAGTGAATATCCACACGCTTGATAGCGCGCATAGTTTTTTTGTCTCTCGAGTGCGAAGACAGTGCAGGCTGTGGTGCAGGATATCAGCAAAGGAACTAAAGTACGGTGAAGAGGAACCAATGTGTCTTGACACGTGAAACACGTCGTCGCACTGCCACATGGCAAGCGCGCAGCTCGCCCCGAAACAGCCGAGGCCCAAGCGCCAGGGTCGCGCGACAACGAATGCCATCTCCACACGGCTCCGCATTGTCATCGCATCATGCACGCCGGCTGCCCTCGATTGCCTCGCTGTATATTACCTCTGCTTGTGCTTCTGCCTGGCTGAATACTTTGTGCCTGTTGTCGAGGCACTCTCACGCGCTACCTTGATCAATGCGCCGCTCCCCTCTTATGGGGGCGCGACATCCACGCTCATAATGGCAGACTCGGTTGGTACGTCCAAGGATACATGCGCCGCCAAAGGGATGCTGCTGACGCCGACTCTATAGACCGAGTATTTAGCCATGCGCTCAACACAGTGAACAAGATACGGACGGGGTCGCAGAAACCACCCTCTGCGACCAGGTTACGCCTGTATGGATTGTACAAGCAAGCCATGGGTACGTTGGATACGGGAAATCATGTTGACATGACGGTGCTGACGCAGCACAGAGGGCGACGTCGACGGCATCATGGAGTGTCCGAGAGGGAGCGACGAGCAGTCGCAACGAGCGCGGGAGAAATGGTACGCCACGCACCCGTCACGTACAGCGCAGACCGAGGAATAACAACCACAGGGACGCTTGGAAACAGCAAAACGGCCTCTCCCGCACTGAAGCAAAACGCCGCTACATCACCACCCTCATCGACACCATGCACAAATACGCCTCGCCCTCGCCCGACTCCCGCGAACTAGTTGCCGAGCTCGAGTTTGTCTGGGACCAAGTCAAGTCAAACGTACCTTCCTCATCGTCCTCGTCGCCCCTGCGCACCGCCGACCACATAACCCCCGGATACACTTCACAGCACGAGCTCGGCCAAAGCGGACGGGCAGCCATGGATACCAGCGCCGACATGGACCAAGACACGCCCGGCCAGATGCGAGGCCAGGAACAGCGCGACATACCCCTGCGCGTCAAATCGCCCATGTCGCAATCCGAAGAAGAGCTCGAGGAAGAAGAAGCGGAAATCGACCGCGGCGAAGTCTTTGTTGATGCCCCAGACAGCCAATACAATCCTACATCCTACCCGGACGATGACCAGCCCGAACTAGAAGACGCAGGTGTCCAGACCGATCTCCAGCAATTGATACGAGCGGAACCCATACCCATACAAACACCCACGCCCGCCCCACGAAATAGAGGCATGGGCGTGCTGGGGAAACCAATACAGATGAACATACCGGGTCTCGGCGGAACACCAGCCGCCGGGAACGCCGTCGACGCAGCAGCATCAAAAGAATCTCCCAAGGAATCCGCCGCAGACCAGAAGTGGAGAAAGCGCGTGGAGCAGTCGTTGATGAAAATGACGGCCGAAGTTGCAGCACTACGTGAACAGCTTGAGGCGAGGAGGTTGTTCGCTCATTCGGCGCATTATCGCCTGTTCAGAGGGATATGGAGGTGGGTGTGGGCTTGTCTCAAGCACGTGGCTGTTGATGTGTTTATATTGGGTATTGTGCTGCTCTGGATGCGGAGGAAGAAGGATAGGAGGTTGGAAGGCGCGATAAGGGTTCTGCTGGGAGATGCGGTGGCGCAGATGCAAAGGGGTGGGGGAGCCGTGTTTGGCAGGGTTAGGATACCACTGCTACGAGGGGGCGGCAGGAAGCCAGTCACGGCGTCGTGAAGTGAAGGGGTACGATGGTACCGCGAGCCATACCTTACGATATACGTCAGTCTAATGCTAACATGTACATAATAGCGACATGGCGCTTCAAAGTCTTTCTCTCTCTTCTCTTGCGCACCAATTCCCTCAGTCCATATCCCCTATATCTCTCATCCTTAACACCCTCTCTTTTCGACCTTCACATTCCCCAAGCTTCTCAGGAAACCATTGCCGAACCAACACTTCCCCATATCCCTCCAACCTGCTTTCCACCTCCCTCAATGCCCCGACCACACTACTCTTCCCTACAATCACGTCCACAGACTCCAACTTCATACCTCCTACCGTTGGCTCCCTCGGTAAAGCAGCAATAGCCACGTTACTAATGGTACCACAGAACATGATGGCTAGCATGCCTACCGCCGCGGCATCCGAGAGTTGCGTGCAAAGAAGTGCTTGACTGAGAAAACCACCTGATATGAGGATAAATATTGGGATTGATACAGCGGGCGTCTGATGGTCGTATGGCACTCGTAGCGCGGCTGTGTCTTGGACATTGGATATATCAGGCTTTGCAGGTTGGATGATGAAGATATGATGTGGCGGTGTCTGTTTATCGCGCATCAACGCGTATGCGCCACCTCGGCGACCACCTGCGTGCGAAGAGAGTTTCTGTGCAGACCAGATAGGGAGGCTTGCCGTCGCTTCTACCAGTAGAATCGACGTGCTGAGAAGCAGGGGAACCGAGAGGTCACGGTAACAGTACCAGAACAACCCTGCGAGGCAGAATTGAAAGACGGCAGTAGCCATACTGTGGTTTTTCCTCAGGGTCCACAAGGATCGGTGTGTTTTTGATGGCTGACTGACAGACTCGAGGATCTCGACAATGGTATCCTTGTTGTCGCCCGTCTCGCGCACACAACTCGACTCCAGGTCTCTCAGCAATCGCCCGGGTCTCAATCTGCTGTTCCTCCCCAAGCTCTCTTTCTTCACATCCATACTTATAACCTTGACATTCTCTTCCTCTTCCGTTTTAGACAACAAACTCTCAATACCACGCGTCACCGGCACCAACGACCCCACGGTAAAAGCTAACCACCCAAACCCGAAACATGGGGACTCGTCCGGGACAGATGCAGTCGTCGCGGCGAAGGCTTCTTGTATGATATCGGGAGCGAGAAGCGTGAGAATAGCAACGAGTAGGCATATACGTCCTGAGTCGTTGGAGCGGTGGCGAAAACCCGGGCCGGAAGGAGAGAGGTAATAGTTTGTTACGTAGAGAGAGATGTATGCGGCCATGAGGGGGATTGTGGTGCTGAACTGGGTGCGAAAGGTGCTACTTTTGAGAATAGGTGTGTTGGTGTGAGGAGAGGGCGCAGAGTACTTGCTGTCGGTCATGGTGGCGCCTTTTTCGATGTCGAGTTGTGGCATTATTGTATCGGGCGGTTCAGGGAGCTTCATTTCTAGCTTGTTGTAGAGATTAGAAACCCAGTGTTATCGGTGCGATCACTTCTGTTGCCGACAGTGCTAGTCGTCACCTGTCGTTTGAATTCACAAGCTCAGTCGCGTATGTGTGAATTGTAAGTTTGCTAATTTTTCAGTTTATTGCATTGCACCTTCACAAAACATTGTAGCTTCCATGGTGAAGGACGTCGCTTAAAAGGAAGGTGCGATGCTGTAAGTAAAAGGAACGTCACGTCCGTGCATTTATGAGTGTGCGATTGGACCACTTCGTCGTAACGTAACAGACGTCACCTCGCTGGATGCGGAAGATGTTCTCGTCGCACTATCACACGCCTGTACTCATGGGATGGCCCTTCGCCGCAGCCCTGCGTACCGATTTCACTGCCTTCTAGCTGTGCACCTTCAACCTCGACTCACCTACAGAGTACCCCTCTGACTTACTTCATCCATCTCCCCACCCGAACTTCGCAATACCACCGTTCCAACAAGACCATAGATCGACCCCGCCATCCACATCATCATAACGATCAATGAACTTGAGCGACCGTATCGGATCATGTGTCGTCATCTTGCCATGCTTAGTGGCATGATCAGTCTTGATCTCCTTGACTGTCTTGCCCGTCCAAATATTGCTAATTCGAATCGCAGTGCCCGTCGTTCTATCTTGAGCGGCCGCTAGAAGACCCAGTCTGGGATGTACGTCGATATCAAGATCCAGCTCGTCTCGGTTCGCATGTTCAAAGGTCAAAACAGGCTGCGACCAATTCTTAAAAGCCTTGTGGTTGAGTTTACGACGCTTGTGTCCATCGCGGTGAGTAGGATACAAAGATCTAAAATATTCCTCGTTGTAGTGATGGTTTTCGTAGTTGAATGTCTTTCGTGATGCATTACGTGATAAGCGGGGTGCGCGGATGTCGTATAGAAAAAGCGTGTCTTGGAGTCCCGAGCAGATCAATCTGGTCTCATCGTCGGCATGCTTGAGCTTTGAAACGGGGGATGGATGGGTGAGAACATGACTTGAACCACCTGATCTTGTGTCGTATAGTCGGATATTTCCGTTACGGCAACCGAGAGCGACGGTGGTGTACGATATCCATTCCAATGCTAGCACGTCTGAGTCGAGTGATTTCACGGCAGTTTGCGAGTCCCATGCTCCTGCTTGTGAGCGGGCGAAGAGGAGCATTGAACTCGAAGCTGCGACTGCAAGATGCTCGGACCAGGTCGCTGCGACGGTATTTGCGACACCTGGTGAAGGCGTGAAGGCTGACGGTCTGGCTGCAGCACCCCATATCGCCGAACAGTCCTTTGGTGTAAATTTTTGACCCACGTACTGTGACCACGAAGTCAGCATGGGAATGAAACCACGGCTTTTGACAAGCTATATGCAAAACCAAAACCTACCCTGAATGGTACCTTACTGAAGAGGCCAGACTTCTATAGGCTTGAAATCCCAGAGAAACCCTCCAGTGTAGGCTTTAGTAATACGCATAGACAGGTAAGTGACTTACTGGATCATCGAGCCCTGGATCGCTGAGCCACAATTCTGGAGGTCGATCTGAGCCATATGTCGTTACTGCAAGGGCTCCAGTCTGCGGAAGGAAGGACAATGAAGAGACTGTAGACGTTGTTCTCGTTACCTCTGCCCAAGCATCGTGCGTGTAGGTTGCTTTTGGTGACGGCGTACGGAGATTTCCCCGAACATGATGGAAGTCAGCTTGCTGCATGCACACGCTGTTCGATTTCTGAACTGCATATATTGTGTGTTCGTTCGGATTCCTATCAAAGAATCGGATATTGTAAGGATGGTGGCTACCCAGCACCTCTTGTGCATCACTTTCGATGCCAGCGGCGCATGCATCAGGCCAAAAGCCATGCAGATAGCGCGAAGTTCGCCTAAGACCTACTTCTCTATCCAGATTGGTCTGCGCGAAAGTGTTTGGATTGCGCCTGACAACACGCTCTTTCCGGATCTTATTCGAGCGCGCAATGGCAACATTCTGGATGCGTTCTTTGCGCTCAGTTTTCCTGATATTTTCCGAGGAGTATTTGAGATTGGAGCCTTGTGCTGCAGTCTGGTTCTGGATCCTGAAGTATTTCTTCTTCTCTGCGTCCCAGAAATAGCCTGGTATTGCTTGGCCGTTCATATTGGAGGTAGAGAAAAGGTAGAAATGTCGACGCGTCTGAGTTAGCGCAGAAGATGCCAGGGCGAGTCAGGTACCATGATTCCGCGGTGGGCTATCGATAAGCAACTTCTCCGAGGCATGACGCCACCGCCGCTCATGGCATTCGCATCACTATGATCTGCACCCTCCTGCGCCCATAATTGCCGCCATCTCCCCCTCATTGTCCCCCTCCTCTTGTACATCATACTACACCCGTCAGCAGCTCATGCTTCGAATTTCACCTGCGCTGCAGCCCACTCGCAAAGCATTATCATCGACGAGATACATTTGCAAGAACCCGTTCCACACTTTTATGCGCCTCAACCAAGTCATGGCGCACCTCGACAACTCGCAGACGGCGAGCAACTCGCCCAACAAGCTACAGACGCTACAGTCCCTTCCCAAGTCAAACGTCTTCACGTCAAACCTCCCCGCCGACGACGCGTTTCCCAGGCCGAAAGACTCGCACGATGCGCCACGGCAGATGCTTGGACCGCGCATGGTCAAGGGAGCGCTGTACACATATGTCCGACCCGATTCACAAGGCGAGCCTGAATTACTAGCCGTCAGTCAGCGGGCGCTACAAGACATTGGTCTAAAGCCAGAGGAAGCCGAGACTGAAGAGTTCAAGGAAGTCGTTGCCGGCAAGAAGATCCTGACATGGGACGAATCGAATCCAGAGGCAGGCATATATCCCTGGGCGCAATGCTACGGAGGCTACCAGTTTGGGCAATGGGCAGGCCAACTCGGTGATGGTCGTGCCATCTCCCTATTCGAGTCTACAAACCCAGCAACAGGCACACGCTACGAGATCCAACTGAAGGGTGCTGGACGAACGCCATACTCGCGCTTCGCCGATGGCCGAGCAGTTCTTCGCTCTTCCATCCGTGAATTTGTCGTCTCAGAATACCTCAATGCCATCAACATCCCTAGTACGCGAGCGCTGGCGCTTACACTGAATAACGGGAGCAAAGTAATGCGCGAACGTACCGAGCCAGGTGCCATCGTCACCCGTTTCGCACAAAGCTGGATCCGCTTCGGCACATTCGACCTCCAGCGCATCCGCGGCGACCGAAAAACCCTCCGCATACTCGCAGACTACACAGCGGAGCACGTCTACGGCGGTTGGGACAAACTCCCGTCCAAGCTTCCCGCAGGCGACGCAAAGGACGTCCACAACCAGACATCTTCAGGCATATCAAGAGACACCGTCGAGGGCGAAGGCGCCGGAGAGGAGAACCGCTATGTCCGTCTTTACCGCGCAATCATCCGCCGCAACGCCGAGACAGTCGCAAAATGGCAAGCCTACGGCTTCATGAACGGTGTGCTAAACACAGATAATACTTCTATCCTCGGGTTAAGCATCGATTTCGGCCCCTTTGCCTTTTTGGATACCTTCGATCCGACGTACACACCCAACCACGACGATCACATGCTGAGGTACAGCTACCGCAACCAACCCACAATCATCTGGTGGAACCTTGTCCGTCTTGGCGAGGCATTGGGCGAGCTCATGGGCGCGGGTAGCAAAGTTGACGAGGCGCAGTTTGTGGAGAAGGGTGTTACGGAAGAAGAAGCAGATGGCATCGTCAAGTGTGCGGAGAGTGCTATCGATCGCGCAGGCGAAGAGTACAAGGCCGTTTTCCTGGCCGAGTACAGACGGCTCATGACCCTCCGTCTTGGACTCAAGACACAAAAGGACAGCGACTTTGAGGAACTAATGTCTGAGCTGCTGGACTCGCTCGAGATGTTTGAGTTGGACTTTCATCATGCCTTCCGGAGGTTGGGTGCTATTAAGTTGTCAGACGTCGAGACTGAAGATCAGAGGAAAGATGTTGCGGGACGGTTCTTCAAGAAAGACAGTGCACCGAGGCAGGAAAGCGATGGGCGTGAGCGTCTGGGCAAGTGGCTGGAGAAGTGGGCTGCGAGGGTCAAGGAAGACTGGGGTGAAGGCAAGGATGATGAGAGGAAGGCGGCTATGGATGCGGTCAACCCCAACGTAAGTATTCACTCCATTCGTTCACACAGACATGCGATGCTAACACTAAACACAGTTCATCCCCCGCTCCTGGATCCTAGACGAACTCATCGAGCGTGTAGAGAAACAGGGCGAGCGCGAAATCCTACCTCAGATTATGAAACTTGCCTTGAACCCATTCCAAGAAACCTGGGAGTGGAATGCAGATGAGGAAGAGAGGTTCTGTGGCGACGTGCCGAAGCACAAGGGCATGATGCAGTGTAGCTGTAGTTCTTAAAAGATCTCTGACATACACCTGGTAAGGTGATGTAGAGGGCATTGGAAAATTCAAGTCCTAATCTACACCGCCAACGAGATATTCGCCTACTTCCAAGTTGACGCTTCTACCCAGCGCGCGTGCATACTCCCATCCAAAGTTCACGCGCCATCTACCCCCTCCTTCTAGTGCATCGTTGCTTCCTGCTCCTGCTCTGACCAGTAGTCTCATACTGGTTAATGTCGCAATCTGTGTGTATAGATCCGCCACCTGTGGTACTGTTCCGTCAAGCAATGCTCGGAAGATTGCAAGCAGCCTGTCCAACGTGAATGGACTAGGCGTCAACAAATGTCGACTAATCTTTCGATGCTTAGCCCCCGTCCGCTTCCCTGTGACGCTGAAAGAAGCAGCGCTCGGTGCGCGTCGCTTGTTCTTCCGCTTATCGGTATGCTTCATGAAGTATGTAACATCGGTGCGCGAGGGATTGTAGGAGGCTAGGTACGCAGCGATGAGGATGTGTGTCGTAAAGTATGGAAGGCTGTGGGCCGTCATGTTCGCTAGCTTCTTCTTGCTGGGCGTTGCTGGTAAGACGCCTGCAGCTGCCGCGTCCTTTGTGGGTTCGGCCGTATCCGCAATGATTCGATCCAGAACCGAGTCTTCGAGCTGGAAGAGATGCCGTCTGTTTACCATCAAGCGCGAGAAGTCGCGTGTACCGAATTGTCCCGAAACTACTGGCTCAACGAATGGACGCCAAAGTCGCATTGCGCAGCTCTTAAAGCTGATGAGGTCTCGCCCGGTGTGTTTCGCAAGTGAGTCGTAGACTGCTTGTAGGAAACGACCCCATAGCCAGGCGTCATCTTCAGCAGCAAGATCGGGTGTGTAGTCCGGGAATTGTTCTAGCGAGGGAGGCTGCAGGAAGATCTTGGGCGAATTGGCGCCGAGGATTGCGAGGAGTTCGTTGCGTGTGTAGGATGGGAAGTGTAAAAAGGTTGCCGATGACGAGTGGAGTACAGAGGGGGTAAGCGGCAGGGTTGTCGTGAGTATCAGGGAAAGGTTTGGTATCTGGTCATAAAGTCAGTGTTATGCTTCCCATCGCAGACGGGTTGAGCCATACCATCTCGCCCAGTCTTGCTAGCGCAGCAATCAATGTCCCACCCCCTTCTCTCAACTTGTCCACCGCATCTAGCACCAGCACAAACTTGTCCCTACCCTCCAACAACTTCTCCATATTGACACATAGCGCACTTAAGTTCTCGGTACGCGCATAAGGTCGCCTATCGATCTTCTCATCGTTAAACACGTCGAGCGCATCCAGACTGGCTGCAACAATGCACTCCAGGAGATGCCTTGCGGTTATGCATTCGCGGACGTTGATTATCGTGTGTTGTATACGAGAAACATGGAAGAAGGAGCGCAATATCGACGATTTGCCAGTTGCTGTAAGACCGTGGATGTTCAGAAAGGGTGGTGATGGAAGATGCGCCTGGATCGTTGTTAGGAGTATGTTCATGAAGCCTAGAGAGATTACATACGCTATAGAGTACAGCTAGATGCCGTATTTGCTGATCGCGGCATGTAAATTCAGCCGTGAGCTGCGCGATGATCTCGTCCGGTAACATTGTCGCGGTGTTGTTTTGCATGTTCGCAACACCATTCATGTTTCGAAGGTTGAGGAAGTCGCGCTAGCTTGGCGCCGAACGCGGGTGCACGTGCACCGCGGTCCATGACTTCCATCCTTAAATGTCTGCTTCTTGAAAACTCACCAACATGCAACTTCACATTGCGTCCATGTGGCGGAATGAAAATTCATCTCCACAGATTTTCTTTCCAGGAGATAATGTAGGTTGTAAAGTAGAGCTTGTCGTTTCTGTAGCTGTCTAGTCTTTTTCCTTGTATGAGATGAGTGCGCTCGCTGCCTGTAGCTGCAGCGCAGCACAGCCTCGTCACCTTTGCCTGATTGGAGTCCTGTCAAACCCCACTTCCCATGCCATTTCACTCTGAACATCACACCAATCTTCCAATACACACATGGAGACGACCGCCAGCATCATAGCAGTGACCCAGCTGTGCGAAAAAGTGATCAAATATATCATCGCGGTGTCCGGTGCTAAGGACGAGAAAGCACGCCTTCGGTCGAAGATCCGAGGCTGCAGTAGCTTGTTACTGCAGCTGCAAGATGAAGCAGCGGACTCCGAAGAAGTCGAAGAATGGACTCAGACCCTGGAACTACTCTCTGCTCCTCTGGCGCGTCTTCACGAAGCATTGGGTCTGACAGCCGTTGCTTTATCCTCTCGAGATGGGGTTCGCGAGAAACTGCAATGGCCGTTCAAGGAAAAAGATGTAGGAATGCTTGTGGAGGCGATCGACAGTGAGATGGCAATGCTTTCCCTAGCTCTTGATGGAAATACAACACGACTACTTATCGGAACCAACGCTCGCTCTAAGCGCAACGAAGAGGATCTGAAGGAGTTGAAGGCAACCTTGAAACTGGACATGGGAACAACTATTTCGACTTTAGAGAGTCTTGGTGGAGACCTGGAAAAAATTCAGATCACTCAGAACGGCGTTCAGGGAGGAGTCGACAAACTGCATGAGCGTCACGATACGAAAGAAGCCATCGAACAGCGTGAAAGCATTTTAAAGTGGTTAACGCCTATTGACCATGCTTCACAACAGCGAGATGCTATCAGTCGGCGACAAGCTGGCACCGGCGGCTGGCTCCTGCACTCGCAAGTCTACCAAGACTGGCTCGGCACCAGCAATCGTACCCTGTTCTGCCCTGGCATTCCAGGCGCAGGCAAGACAGTGTCTGCCTCCATCATCAATGCCGATTTGAGGGAGCGATATGGTAGGGATAACACAATCGGCTTGGCTCATCTGTTCTGCAACTACAGACGCCAGGACGAGCAGACGTTAGACGCCCTGCTGTCGGGTCTCTTGCGACAACTCGTGGAACCACAAGCATCGCTACCAAAACATGTTGAAGAATTCTACGTCAGTCAAAAGGGATTTTCGGACAGGGCAGAGGCTACGGCCAGAACTCTACAACTGGTGGCATCGACTTACTCCAGGGTCTTCATCGTCATAGATGCCCTCGACGAATGTTCTGCGTCACATGGTTGTCGCATAGCGTTACTGTCGAGAATCCAAGAACTTCAAAACACGTGTGGTATCAACCTACTAGTCACTTCACGCTTCATACCTGAGATCGTTGAGAAGTTCAAGACAGCATCCATAATAGAGATTCAAGCAGATAGAGATGATGTGCGGAGATACCTCTCCGAGAACATGTCACGCCTGCCAGGCTTTGTGCGCAATAAAGTGGAATTGCAAGAGGAAATCATCTCCAAAATTGTGGAGGCGGTTCGCGGAATGTGAGTGCTTTTGCCTCGGATCTACGTACCCTATTAATGAAGTCTTAGGTTTCTCTTGGCTAAGCTACACCTTGATTCTCTACTCGGCAAGAGATCACCGAAGGCAGTTCGTATTGCCTTGGACAAGCTTCCTACTGGTACTGATGCTTATGATTCTGCGTATGATTCTGCAATGGAAAGGATTGAAGGCCAAATGGCCGAACAGACGGAGCTAGCAAAGCAAGCTCTCGCTTTCCTCACTTGCGCCAGAGAGCCTCTCTCGACCATGAAACTTCAAGAAGCGATGTGCGTCGAGATCGATGAGCCCGAAATGGACCCTGATAATTATCCGGATGTCAAAGATATCATAGCCTCATGTCTTGGTCTAGTCACCGTAGACGATGACAGAAGCATTATTCGACTTGTTCACTACACAACGCAAGAGTACCTCGAGCGAACATTAGACCGATGGTTTCCAGCCGCAGAGGCTATGATAGCGGACGTTTGTCTATCATACCTATGTTTGAATCGTTACGCTGACCCCGCTTACTTGGACCCTGATAAGGATGGTAATTGGTACCAATATGCTGCGATGTACTGGGTTCACCATGCTCGCCAAGCTCCGTCGAGCTTGGAGCGAGTGGTCGACTTTCTTACACAAGAAATCTCTCTTATAAGAAGTTATATCTCTTGGCGAGTTCCATTATTCACACCCGAATATATCAAAGAACTATGGATCACTGGACTTCATTTCGCAGCTGAATATGATCTCGAGGACGTTATTGCTCCATTGCTCCAGCGAGGATCTGATCTAAGCCGAAGAGACGTATATGGCCAAACACCCCTTCTCACTGCTGCACGACATGGGAGTAAAGCTGCCGCCGAGCAGCTGCTCAGACATGGGTCTTCCACTGATGAGCGTATGGACAAAGGCAATGGTGCTCAAACAGGAGATACCGCCCTGCACCTTGCTTCAGAAATTGGACATGTCCCTATCGTTAGACTTCTTCTGGAAGCTGGAGCAGCGACCAACTCACAAGGCGAAAATTCTAACACGCCTCTAAGTATTTCTGTCTACAGTGGGCGCACTGAGGTCGTCCAGGTCTTACTCGACGCAAAAGCTGATGTGACATTCCATAACACGGGGAAATTGGATTCGAAGTCAATAACACTACTAGGCATTGCGAGCTTCAGAGGGCATATGGATATAGTTCAGCTTCTCATCGCGGCTGGCGTTGATGTCAACGAACGCGATAAGAGGAACCATGCGACAGCCTTGTTTTATGCTGCAGCAGATCACTCAATCGACTGTGTTCGGATCTTGCTTGAAGCCGGCGCAGATCCCAACCTGCCTGCTGGCAATTCAGAACAATCTCTACTCATGACGGTGTGTCATAGGCATCAAAAACACTCCATCTCCATAATCAAGATGTTGCTTGATGCGGGGGCGGATGTCAATTATGTCGACTCAGAAGGATTGACCGCATACTACATTGCTAAACGAAAGGATTCCCATATCGCCCAGTATCTTCTGGAGCGTGGAGCCGATCCAGAGCTAGGCTTGAATGGCCGGCCTTACCCACCCAACAGTTAACGAGATATGTTTGCGTAAAACAAAAAGGAACATTTTTCCTTTTGAGCAGCAAGCGGAAGGTTTATGAGGGACCACGATGCATACGGCTTCTCCTGGATACTGAGATAGAGGACTGGGTTGACGTTGTTCAAATTGTTCTCCATATTTCCACTATTACATACTCAAACTCTGTCTAAGCCTTACCAAGACCTTTCCCCTCATCTTCGCTCTCGTGTTCAACAGTCGCCTCCACATGCTCAGTCATCAAATGCTTGATTCCCTTCATTGAAATCACCGCAATCGTCGCAAGCGCTACGAACGGCACCACGCTCCAATAACCCAGTCTATAAGCATGCGCATACGACCAATGGCTTGCATCCCAGGCAGCCTTGATAATAGTTTCATTCATTCCAGGCACACCTGCGCCTCTGAACTTGGTCACTGAGCTGCCCTTCATACCTTTCAAGAGTGCAGGCACTGATGACTCGGGTAAACCAGCTGCGATGGCGGCAGATCCAACATCCCCAGCGAGATGCGAAGCAATGCGAGAGTTGACAATGGCGTAGATGACGGCGGTACCGAAGGCGCCACCGATGGCTCGTGCGGAGAAGGCAAGACCAGTAGCTGTTGACAGGAAGGCGTGAGGTGCTGTGAATTGGATGCAAGCGACGAGGAGTGTGAGTGGACCAGAGCAGCCGATGCCTGTCAGGGCTGTGAAGATGATTTGTTCGGTACCCCAGCTAGGTCTGATGAAGGCGAAACATATGGATGCGATGAACATGATGGCGAATGTGACAGCCAGAGGCGTTTCTGTATATGGTGTTAGTTGGTGTATTGGAGAAGAAGACGATTTTGCTTACTCAGATCTTTGAACCTGGTCGCATACCACGTCACACCCAACGAAGTGATGATTGACGCAATCTTGTAGGACAACTGGCGGATAGCAATATCCCACGAATTATCCTCGAATCCCACGTTGAGAATGAGCTGTGGTGTAACGGCATTAATGGCAGAGTAGTAGATCCAACCTTCGATCGCGAAAGCAAACGTCGATAGCCAGAAGTTTGGCCCAGTAGAGAAGAAAACGTGCGCGACGATACCGTCAGATCGACCCTTCCACTCTGTATTACGTCAGCCTTTAGCTCTGGATTGATTCATGAGAGAGTCATTACCATAGAGACAGAATGCAATGAACAGAACGATACCAACAACGAGATTGGCACAAACGTGCGGATTGCTCCACGGATACGCTCCACCTGCCCAGTTGAGCGCCAAAAGCATCAGCGTAGCAGCAGCAACGAGCAGAAGAGAGCCGATAGGATCGCAAGCCCACATCCATTCTTTGAAGCTCATTCTAGGATAGTCGGTGCGTTTCTTAGGCCAGTAGAACGCGAATAGACCGATGGATGTGATGCCATGTAGTCCGACTTGAATCCAGAAGATGTAGCGCCAGCCAGAAGCGCTGAGATTGGTAACAGCGCCGGCTGCTAGACTTCCAACACTGCGAACATGTCAGTGTCTTGCGCCTTACCATATACTGATCAGCAATCTCAAAACTTACGTGCCGCCCAGAACTCCCGCGACTCCTGCCAATCCATTTGCCAGAGGTCGGTACTTCAATGGTAGAATCTCCGAAGGTATTGACTGAACGATGGAGATGGTCGCAAGCGTCGTTCCGATGAGAATGCCACCGCCAATCAACATGGACATACTTGTCGCTTTCGCACAAATGATAGCACCGACACAAGCGATTAGTGGAGGTATGGAAGCGAACAGTTTGCGATCTAGGACATCTGACAAGCGACCGACAGGAGGAGAGAGGACCGATTGCATGAGCAGAGGACCCTGATTGACGTCAGAATCCTGACTACACACTCGAGCTATAGCGATCGTACCTGAATAATCCAACTCGCAATAGCAGGTTGCCCAAGCTCACGGATGATGAAAGACAGGACTGATCCCGCAGCTACTACCACAAAGACTTGCGACATGACGCTGTGTAGTGGGTTAGTCAAGTCTACGGATCCAATCTTATTGAACGTACGCAAAACAACAACAGAAGACAACCATCCATGACCGCCAGGAGAGATTGACATGATGGATATCATCGTTGGCTTCCTGATCGATGGGGACGATGTGAGCCTCGCGGGCGTGAGTGGCCTCGATATGGGTAGCTCCCGTTTTGCTGTCCATGACTACTCACGGTAGACGACAAGTTGCTACGAGGAAAGAGGTGGGAGAGAGAGCAAGGTCTATATTCAACATGATCAGGTATATACTACAGTGGGGCATCGCGCAGCGGATGCTTGGCCTGGGCATTTTGACATGGAGATGAGCGGTAGCGACGTCGTTCTCCAACGCCATACATATCGGCAGATCAGGATGCTGGGGGATGAGCGACTCTGGAGGCCTGTTTGGATGAAGTTTACCGAATGGGCGGGATGTATGCATGCGAGGCCCCAGATTGGGTGATGATTGGCGCCCCTTCGCTGTAATGTGATGCGGGGAGGTGCGCCTACAACTCGGTTGTCGCCTGCATCACCCCGAGACGTGTTCCTTCTCTTCTCCTCATGACTCCATAGTTGGAGTTTCCATGGCGACATGTTGTCGCTACTCGAAGGCGCCGGGAGAGGAGTTGGTGAGGGTGGAAGAGGAAGGGAGAGTCGGAGTTAAGCAGGACCGCCCCGCTGGACCCTGAGACTTTTGTTGTGCACTTCTTTTGCGCGACCGTCACCCTCGACCACTCCAACATCCCAACGCTCGACTCAATACCGAACCTCTTAGCCCATATCCGACGCATAGTAAACTTTTCCGACGCACTTAGACTAATCCCCACCAGGCTATGCTATGAGCAGCCCACGTCCCCTCGCAGGGCGTCTTGTCCCCCTCAGAACCAAAGACGAGGTGCGCGCCAGCCTAGAGACTCACAGCGTCTATGTCGTTGAGGTGCCGGCCAAATTTGCCAATGTTATCAAGGAGTGAGGCATTCACTCCTGGTGCACCAGCTTGATCTCTGCTAACCTTGGACCGCGCCAGTGCCGTGCAAGCAGCCCTCCCCGACTTCAAGACGTCGGAAATCTCTCATCTGCGACGCGTAGTGCAGTTCAAGTACCTGCCGCCGCATCTGCAGAAACAGTTCTATCCGCCCGCGAGGCTCCCCAGAGGTGAAGAAGATGATCCTGCCTCTGCATTATTATCTTCCTCTGCTTCCTCGTCCTCGGCCGTTGATGGCAGTGAGGCTGCTCATGGTGTGACTGTTACTGAAGATTTTGATCTAGTTCGCTACTTCCTCTTGTGTCCGACGCGCCATATCGCCCACGCCAACCTCGCAGCTATCATACGTACCTGTCCGCCTTTCGACGGCAAGACTGCACCGCCTCGTATCTTCTACGTGACGGTCCCGTCGCTAGCACCCATATCTGCCGAGCAGGCTACGGAATGGAGCGACAAGTACTGGCCCATCTCGTACAAGAACACCAACCCCTACGGTCCGCATCCAAGTCTCGTACAGCGCAATCAGGACGAGATACAACCCGAGGCGGGCAACTGGCTGGCCCTGGCACGAGCCGCTGGCGAGCAGATATCAGAGCAGTGCCTGGGTGAGAAGATTGGCGTCGTCGTGGTCGACCGCACAAGGAGCACACCAGAAATCGTCGCTGTCGCAGGCGACTGTCGCTGGAGATCCTTCACCGGCACCGCCGAACCGGCCACCGGCACTGGCAACGTCATGGCCCACGCCGTCCACCGCGCCATCGCCATGGTAGCGAAGAAGCGACTCCGCGTTGCTGGTACCGACCCCGCATATCTCGACCGCTCCCTCTTCTGCGACAATCCCCTCACCGACCTTGAGAAGCTATATTACGAGAAAGACAACATCTCGTCGAGCGGCTACCTGTGCGTCGACCTCGACATCTACCTCACCAACGAGCCCTGCGTCATGTGCTCCATGGCCATTCTACACTCGCGCTTCCGCCGTTGCATCTTCAGCAAGCGGATGCCATACACCGGCGGCATGACGGCAGATGGCCCTGGTGACTCTTCGTCAGCCGGCAGCGGACTGAAGAACGGATTGTTCTGGCGACCGAGCGAACTCAACTGGAAGTTCCTGGCTTGGGAGTTCAAGGAGGAAGGCAAAGCTGCGGATGCGGATATCGGTTTCAAGGATACACTGCATGCATAAGCATGCACACAGCGGTTTCAACTGTATTGAATACATTGTATAAACACGGCGCATTGGATTAAACGCTCGGTACAATTAACGGGGGAGATTATACCAGTATGGATTAGAGACAATATTGGGCCAAAAGGAGAGCATTCTGTACTATACTCAATGGAACGCAACGTCAACATCCAACGTTGGTCGAATGAGTTGCGATACTGTTGTAGCGAATAAGTCTTGTCATTGACTTCCCAGCTCATACCGTGGCCCTATCCCTTCCTACTGTCTCCATCCATCTTCCCAACACTGCCCAATATCTCCATAAATCGACTCTTCCTCACATTCTTTCCCTCACCTTTTCTCAAGCCAAACCCTTGCGTTCCTTGTAGCGCAAATAACGTGTACTGTTGCTCTAGCCAGTCTGTTCCGCGCGATGGTGCAGGCTTTCGTTTGACCAGCGGGCGGAAATGTGGAAGGGAGGGAGAGGTGGCGGATATATGATAAGGTCGCTGGACTGGCGGTATTGGGGTGTGTGGACTTGTGGACCGAGGGATCATGGTTCGAGTCTCGATATCGGGTAGCAACGGTATGCAAGACGCGGTGTTGTGGAGTTGTTCATTCTGCGAAGATGAATTGCGTGGACTCTGGATTGTAGAGTCTGGTGTGGTTAGAGGTGCGAGAGTCAAGTTTTTTGTTGACATGTGAGTGTGCAGCGTATACCCGGGGCGGAGAGACGATGGAATGTCCTCTTCGAATGAGAAAGAGTGAGTTGCAGAGTCATCAGAGGTGGGTGGTGAAGGTAAGGACTGAGTTGCTGCAGGAAAGAAAGACTCTGTTGACGTAATTGACGATGTGTGGTTGCGTGGTGGATCAATGGGTCTAACGCCGTAAGAGGCCGAGCAAGTGGTGTCTTCCTTGATTGGGTCTTGAGTAAAAGTGCGAGATAGTGTTGGTGAAAGACGTCCAAGACACTCGAGTACTAGGTCTTGAGTGCTGGGTGTTGGGAGGGCTCCTTTATCAAAGGTATACATGTCTCTGAACGTTGGTTCTGGGAAACTGAAAGATAGCGGCAAGGGTGGTTGATGTGGCGATGGTGTAGGCGGTAATGGTTTATCGATGTCTAGGTTGGCAGTCAACGCTTGAAGTGATAGAGGGGGACTAAGAAGGCTTCTGGGAAGGACTGTATGGGCTTGATGGTGCAGCTCTGATGAGAGTGTGATGTGCAAAGATGGCCTTTTCGACTGCGATGCGCGAGTATGGTTTCGATCTTGATGCTTATCTATGAAGCTGCGATGCTTGGTATTTACCATACTTGTCGATTTTGGCGGAATGTGGGACGTTTTTCCCGTTGTGACAGCGGATATCATATTATTTCTACCGGAGTATTGTGCAGCCATCGCATTCAATTCCGGGTCGTCATCAACACTCCACTTCTTTGCGGGTACCTCAACATCCCCAGCGATGTCTTTACCCTTCTCATCCTTTCCTTGTTTATAGCACACCCCGTCTTGATGTATATGATATTCACAGCCTTTGACATCACTGTGTGCGGTCACAATATCCTCCACAGAATTTCTCATCATGCCCAGCATCCGTCTATCGTGCCCAAACATCTTGTCAGTGATGAATTGTCTCAGCACGCTTGACGCGTGCTTTTCCAAGAACAGCAATTCGAGAACCCCTTGATCGAAAGCTTGCGCTGGATCGAGAACGGAAGCTAGCGTATCGATGATATAATCTTGGAAGTGCGGTTGCGAGAATGTTGATCCGACGATGTGCGCGTAGATGAGGTCGATGCAAGAGTCGAGGCGCATTGATCTCTGAGTTGAGCAACTGACGAAGCCGTTGGTGAGCCACTCGATGTAGAGCTTGAAGCCAGCGGGATCAACGTCGCCAAGCTGGATGGGTAGTAAAGGTCGATCATCTCGCACGTGTTGTGGAAGGTAGATTTGAAGATACGGCGAACGTTCGGCTATAGCGTAAGTCACGTCGATGTGCTCTGTAGGGCAATGCTCCGAGAGTGTTGTTCGGCCTGCGAGTACGAACGTTACTGACTTGAAGATTGAGACACCCAGAACCATCGCGAATACTCGTCGAAGCTTTGACTGTAAAACTTAATGGCACAGAATCGCGAAAGTGGTTGCGACATGATGCGCGAGTCCGACGTTTGTTGACTTTGCTGCAAGCTCACCAACTACGTTGTTGGAAGGATTACTGCGAGTGAATACTCTCCATGCTCCGAGGATTGACCCCCTCCAGTCACGGTTAATCACAGGGGACGATGATCAGTATGTCTGTTTGGTACCGGTAATGTGACAGATGTGTCGATGATAAACGCATGAGCCCTTCACGATAATATTATTCCATATGACCACTCGTGCCCCAGTATAGTTGTCCACGTTACACGGCGTCAGCACACGATTGAAACCCAGAATATCAATCTGACCAGACTCAACCAAGGCAGTTACTGGCTCCACCAATGAGATTGGAAAACATCTTCGCCGAGAAGATGTCCTCATCAGACAAGCGCGAGATACAGAGACGGCTCGAGCGTGTCAGCATGCCTCCGCGCATTTCCACCAGCTTTCCAGGAGTCAACCAAGAAGGGTATCTGGCTCCTGAGCAGTCACGACTGTTGCCTTCTCCCAGCAAAGTTCCGAATTCTAGTCCAAGAAGACGGAAGAACAAGAAGGTGGACCAGATCTTCTATGGAAGTGAGAATACTCAGGATACTAATCAGAAGCCCCGCCGTAGAGCAGACATCGAAGAGCAATTAAGGCAAGATCCATACCACACATTTCTCGAAGGTGGAAATTTGCCCGGAGACCTTGACTTTATCGACGAAGTTGACACCAACGTGCAAAGACCGGTGCGGTCAGAGTACCTCAACGACGAGTCGCCCAACACGCAACAGTCACGGATTGTCGCACCAGAATCAGTCCGAGACAAGCTTGTAAAGACACCTAGGCCACCCATGGTAAGTGTCCTATGCGGTCGGCAGGATCCAGGGTCATGGTACTTGACGCGACGTTTGGTTCGTATGCCAGGGAACGATGGCGATGACGTAGTGTCACTGCTCAAACGCCGAAACATTGACTCAGATGCAGCGGAACTACATCGACTGTGGCGACACACTGGCATCATTCCGACGCGTTATCGCGATATCAACTTTGATACGGATGGCATCAATCCGCAGCATACGTGGATCGCATGCTGGCCACTGATGAATGCAGCCATATATGGGTACATGATAGAGGACATTGAGTTCGTTGACCGAGTGATGGATCTTCTGGAAAAGAATATAGTGAAGGGTGTGCGTCCAGACGTTGACACGGTTTCCCATATTTTTGGCGAGAAGCGACAGCATATGCCGATGATGTTGCAGCATTTCCTGGTTGATCGCTGGGTCGATCATAGTACCAGAGGCTTTGAGGATGTCGATCCGCATAGTTTACCGGAGTTCTTCATCTGCGCTGCACTCGATACGGCCACGCGACGCCTCTCGCACATGGCGAGACATTCGTCGTCATCTGGCTGTCAGTATCATACGCATCCGAAGTCAGTGGAGTGCTACAGGGATAGAAATAGCCAAGCAGAGGCAATGAGACAAGGACGCTACAAATATCGTCGTGAAAAAGCGAGTCGAGAGGCTGAAAAGGCTGCCGCAGATTCTATCAAGTACGGTATTGCGACAGTTGACTGGGAGGCGCGAAGAGCGGAGGCGCATCGAGCGCTTCACGACCAGGTCGATGATTACTCACCTACTACCAGCAGCTGGATGGAGACTTCAGGCCAAGGCGTTGAAGGGAATGCATCGGAGCAGGTTGATTGGACGTACGGTGCTCCTGCGCCAGAAAGAGAGAATCCAGAATTCTACCTCAACTTTGGGTCTTCGTCCATGTTCGGGACCACGCGGGCAGATGGCGCTCTCGATGAGGTGAAGGTCGCCCCACCAGCGGGTGAGCCACCGCTGCCGCCACCAACAGACATGCCTGTCGATGACCCTGATAGTACGATCGAAAGCAACCAGTACGCTGCAGTACCGACAGGAGATAAGAAGAGTGAGAAATCTGCGTACGATGACGCGATGCCCTTCGTAAAGAATGAGGGAGACTTTGAGTCGATACCCTCAAACGCGACTGCTGTCGCGCCTGAAGTCCACGCGTGCGCACAGGCCACATCACCAGAGAGCACACGCCGGAAGAAGCGCGCCACATGTCCCGGATCGTTTCCGGAATCTAGGTCTGAAGTTTGAAGGAAAAGGTTACAATGTAGTGAGCATTCTCATGTAGTTTGCGATTGATATGATCTCAGTTGCAGAACGCTTTACCTTGTGTGGTCGCATAACAGAGACTGGTCAGCGAAATGGGCCATTCGATCATTCTCATAGACCTTCAATAATGTACCTAAGTCCAATAGCATGTCCAGATGCTGTTGCATTACTCAGAAAATTGCGGTACCGTTCACATGTGAGCTGACGCCGCCTGTCGCATGATTAGTATACTGAATAGCCACATGACACGTGTGGATTACGTACCAGGGCAGTTAGCTGGCGCAGAGGTGAAGAAAAAGAACCATCTGTTCTTCTCGCGGCACGTCTGCGCAAGCTTCTCAAGGTCAAGCATCTCGCCGAGGGGCATTCCCCAAAGAGCAAGGATGTACTCGTGAAGATGGTAATCTATAGATTTCAGTCAAAGCTGTTCAATGAGAGATCAAGAGAACGTACTCTCGTGTGTAGGCCACGCCTCAAAAGCAGGTGCATCACCAGCAACCAGCGCGAAGTAGGAATCGTGAAGCCAGTCGAGAATCTTCTCTTCCTGGCTCACTCCAGCAAACCGCGGACCGTCTTCACCGTCCTTGCCGCTGCCGTGTCGTAGCGCAGCCTTGGTTCGGTCTTCATCGCTCTTGTTGTCGTACGCTTCCTTCCAACCACTGCGAATGAATAGCATGTCTCCAGGCTTGATATCGCCACCCTGGGCGGCTGGGCGGATATCTACTCCTTGATCTTGACCGCACTGATAAAGGTCCTGCCATGAGATAGGGTAGTAGTCAAAGGGGTCATAGTTGATGCCTTTCTTGTGCGCGTAACCGCGATAGTCCAGTAAAATACCCCGACCTGCAACACCGTGCTCGGCCCAGTGATGGATTGAGCATTTGTGATTTGCGTTAGGGCCCGTGATATCGCTTCCTTTAGTCTGCGTCGTCTGTTAGCAGCTTCTTCAAAGACGCGAATCTTGCACATACGCCATTGTAGAATGAACCGCTAGCCATGTGAGCAAAGTGCCGGAAACCGTCCCATTGGGTACCGGATTGTGTGTTCATGTGGTAAACATCATCGTAAGCAAGTCCTTCCGCCAGGGTCTTGATCTCATGTTGGAACGGCTCGCGGCCAAATGCCGGCACGTTCGGCACGTTGAGAGGCAAGCTGCGTCGCGATTAGCTGGAGCGCACGAGACGCATCAGGGCGACACGCACTTCACAGGCACGATCTCGCCGCTTCTGATCTCTTTTGCAGCCGCCGCCACACGTGTGGGTGTCAAGAGATTGAGACGGCCGATCTGGCATTGGTGAGTATAGCTCGTGATAAGCTTAGAGTTTGGTCGCACGCACGTAGTCGTTGTCACCCCAAACCCAAGCAGCTTCTGGCGGAGCACCAGGGATCTGCGGCAGCTCTTTTCTGGTCGGAAATTTGGTAGAATCCGGGTCCCAGGGTATGGTAGTCGCGGTCTTATTCATGGTGAGAAAATCTTTGATTTGCGTCAAGCGCTGGCTCGCGGTATTGTTTCTGGGGTCGGTCATCTTAATTTGGCGCCAGATCCTTGTTATTGTTCAGTACGTGGGTCACAAAAATTGCAATGCTTCGATGGATCTTTCTCGATGATTCTCAGCACATCCGCGACGTTCCTAATTACTATGACGTTTACCCCGCATTTTCGAGAGATGGTGGAGCCGCATATGTGGGGTCGTGATTCCGACTCCGATGACTATTGTGAAGCGACTCGTTCCTCCAACTTTCGTATTACACTATCGAACATCGCGCCCGTATAACTTCTCCTGAACTCGAATTGCCGTTTCAGACAGATTGTATCGCGTGTAAATATTGGAGGGTTTCGTGGCGCTAGGGCGGGCTCACAGTTGGTGGAAGTTTTGGGGAATGATGACGTAACGCGGTTAATGAGTCCAACCGTGGCGTTTATGGGATCCGGGGATTGCCACCTTGGACTCTCTTGGCCAGAAGCTTGTCCTTTGTTCAAGAAAGTCTTGTTCGCTCCACAGAGTCTTGTTCTTAACGTCAAAGAAGATTGAGCATAAAGACGAGTCAATGAAGAGTTTCACATCCACCGGTTGATGAGCACTGGCAGCTTTAGTAGCACCATCTCATGCACTAAGCTCCGACCGTCCCGGTGCTACGACGGTTCCGGGGGAATGGACAGGTCGCCACACAATGGATCCTGCTGCTATACAATAGAGCAATAGATACATGCTGACCATACGCCTGGCTCTTCCCCACACAGCACAACGCATCTAGATCAAATGGTACGAGCCCAACTCACTTTCAATAGGCCCTGATACCACCCTCGGTCTCTCGAAGTCCGAGCCGTTAGTCCAGGTCACAGCGCGACCTTCCTGCGGACGATTGGCGTATCACGAGTACCTCTCCGTGGTTCGATTTAGCCGGTTGCTGTCAAGGTGTCTCCTTAGGCCGGCTCATTGGTTACAACAAACTCGCATGCTCCGGAGTAAGCACAGCTCGCGAGCAGGCGCAATTCCAGTAATACTCCCTCTAGTGCGCGCAGAATCGTTGGAGGAAAAATGTCGTCCGCTGCGCCGTTGAACCGGCTCCCGCTGGCGTCCCTGGCGTCGCGTTAATGAAAGCATATAAACGCCTACCCCAGACTGATACCCCAGACTGCACCCCATCCCCGGATCACCTCTTCACTCCATCTTTGTGACGACTGACTTTGCAGTATGGCTACAGTCGAGAAGCCGAGCGCTCATGAGGCGGAGCACATTTCCGATACCTCAATCGACCACGCTGTGGCTTACGAGGGGGGCAAGGAGACAGGCCTAAGCGATGCTCACCTCTGTTCCGACGCAGACAACAAACGCATTCTCCGTAAGACGGATATTTGGATGTTATCGCTTCTTTGCATGGTTTACTTCCTGCAATCGGCCGACAAAGGAATCATCGGATTAACAGCTGTTTATGGTCTCAAAGAAGACGCGCATCTTGTTGGCAACGACTACTCAAACATCGGCAACATTGGATACTACGCGCAACTTGGTGTGCAACCCTTGGCAGCATGGATACTCGTCAAGCTTCGATACCGCCACGTCCTACCCGTCATCATTACCTGCTGGGGTATTTCAGTTGCCGGCGGTCTTGGTGGTTCCAGGAACTACGCCGGGTTGCTCGCATCGCGTTTCTTCCTCGGTGCATTTGAGGCTGCAGTCATTCCGCTGTTCTCGATGATCACCATTGCATTTTACAGGCGTTCCGAGCAGCCGTTCCGCGTAGCTTGCTGGTATAGCTGCTATGGTCTTAGCACCCTGATTAGTGCACCCATCGTCTATGGCTTCGGTCGCATCCACTCATCTACGCTTTACCGGTATCAGATCGTCTACCTTTTCTTCGGACTCCTGACCATCGTTATCGGCCTCATCACATACTGGTGGGCCCACGACAGTCCTGGAGAGGCTCGATTCTTGTCGCCAGAGGATCGCCTGAAGGCCGTCGACCGATTGAAGGCCAATCAACAGGGTATCGTCTCGCACAAGTTCAACTGGAAGCACGTCATTGAGGCTGTTACTGAACTCAAGTACTGGCTGTACATGATTATGGTTATTGCCGTCAACGCGGGCGCTTCAGTCTCTTCGGTGTTTGGTTCCATCATCCTCCGGAACCTGGCCGGGTTTAGTGCGGATGAAGCCGTTCTACTGAATATGCCCTTTGGAGCACTTCAGTTTGTGTCCATTCTTGCTGCGTCATATCTGGCATACCGATTCAAGCGAAAGTCCCCCTTCTTGCTCGGCCTTGTCACCATCGTCATTGTCGGTGTCGCTTTGATGGTGGCGCTTCCGAAAATCCCCTCCAACAAGGGCGGTCTACTTGCAGGCTACTACTTGATCGCCTTCGTATATGCAATTAACCCTCTTCTCATCTCCTGGATGGGTGCCAACTGTGCCGGACAGACCAAGAAGGCTATCTACTATACCTCATTCAACGCTGGCAACTCTATTGGCAACATCATCACCCCTTACATCTTCGATGCGAAGTTCGCGCCGCAATACGTAAGCAATACCCTGTTCCAACGTTCAGGTCGAAGCTCGTCGCTAACCATACGTCTTTCTAGGTCAATGCTCTCAAGGGTATCTTGGCAATCTGGTGCATTCTTTGGGGTGTCGTCATCGCTCAAATTGTCCTGATTGCCTGGATGCAGAAGAAGAAGTGCGATCAGCGTGAAGCAGCCGGTCTTCCTAGAGATCCTATCGACTATTCGATGAGCGGTCATTTCCATGAGGCTGGTGCCGAAGTTCATGGCGAGAACGGTCTGCAGGATATGACTGACAAGGAGAACATCTACTTCCAGTATTTGCTGTAGCCTTATCAGCACTGTGGGCGTACCTAAATTTTTTGTTAATAGAAGATATCAATCATGTCATTCTGATCAATGAAAATAGCCCTACCGGGCCATACGTGATTGTTTCACGAGCCTGGACTTCTGTCGATGCTCAGTCGGCGCTGTTGTTCAGAGCTTCATTCAGAGATGGACTCTCGGAAATGATGACAGCTTTGTGGAGGTTCAATTGCGAGAGGTTTGAATGTCGCTCGAAAAGTGTCAGGCTACAAGACGAGCAAGATAAGTATCGGCTGGAGCCTGATTCAGAAGTGACACTTATGTAAGCTACGCATGACTAACGTGTCGCGTCGCGTCGTCGGAACATCGACTTTTGACGTGCCCCTCGGACTGCGATCTGGACCGCCTATGCTGGACGTCTGACTGTGTCCATGCCATACACATTCGCTACTTTCGACCTCTGCCGTTCGAATGATCACACGTACCCAGCGAACTATCGCCTACCTCCTCATTCCGTGCATTTCAGTCTTCCTATTGCCCCTCCTGTACGCTCGGCTGCGGCTGTCAACAAATCCAATGCCTGCTCGAACATCGCCAGATGAAGTAGCATCGGCTCTTCTAGCTGAGAATGGGCTGCAGCTGCACTCCCTACAAACCATTCAATCACTCTGGGCCGGCTACGGCGAGATATGTCGCGTGCTAGCTAATCCAATAGGCTCGCAAGATGCGCCGAAACCCTACATACTGAAGCTCGTCAATCCTCCACCGACCAAGGCCAATGACGAAGGTCACTCTCGAAAAATCTTGAGCTACCAAGTCGAACAATACTTTTATAGCCACCTCGCCCTCCAGTTGCCAGCAACACTACCGGTCGCCAAATGCCTGGCTAGCATCAACAAGCACAATACTGATGGGACCTCAATGACTGCAATGCTGTTGAGCGATCTCCGGCAACAGTATCCCGTGGCTGGAGAGAAGCGCAACGTGCTCACGACAATCCAGGCTCATGCAGCACTGGACTGGTTGTCTGGGTTTCACGGCTTCTGGTGGTCTCGCGTCAAGTCCCTAAACTCTTCTTCGCTCGTACTGCCCCCACTTGAGGAGGTGAAGCGCGACGGACAAGACGCGTCGAACAAGTCGGTCTGGCTGAACGGTGGGTATACGTATTTGGCGACGCGCCGGAAGGAGTATGACAGCCTGGCGGCAGATTACGACTCAGAATGGAACGAACCACTAACTGAGTGGGCTGATGACGAAGATGTCTCCATATCCGAGATAGCAGCTGCGTTCCTCTCGCCGAAAGCTGTCGGTTGGACACCAATTGAAGGTTATCAAACTCTTATACATGGTGACGTGAAGTCTGAAAACATGTTCACAAGCAGCTCCGGTGAAGAGGTCGCATTTTACGACTTCCAATATGTTGGACTTGGTCTTGGAGTCTGCGATCTAGCAAAGTTCTTCACCTGCTCCGTTCCACTGAACATGCTCGTTGCCGACAGCCATATTCCATCGGAGCTATCCATGCAGGAAGGCGAGAGGCAGTTGTTGGAGCGATATTGGAAGAGACTGGTAGAGGTCGGCAAACAAGAGTACACCTGGTCCATCTTCGTGCGACATTGGGAGACGGCCCTCGTGGATTGGTTGCGCTTCCAGGCCAGCTGGGGCTTCTGGGGAAACACCGACTGGTTGGAGGCCAGGGTACGGAGCATACTCAAAGACCAAGAATGGAGAGACGCGTTGATCAGTAACGTGGACAAGACGAGTATCAGCAATCAACGCGAAGCCTCCGGGTGAGGGTGGCTCTGTTTGCTGCCTCCATAGCGTGTAGACAGTCACACCTCGAAATCTCTGGTGAAGCTGGCCCTGCTCTGGTTTCCTCACTCTCAATGACTGTCTATATCATCTATCAATCCGCCGTCGGTAATAACTCGGGCTCAATTGGCCAAGTGGCAAGGCGTCGCACTCGTAGCTTATATGGTATGCGAAGATCTCCAGTTCGATCCTGGAATTGAGCTGCAGGTTCTATCTTGCCTTTACTTTTTGCCTTTTTCACATCATATTATGGCTTCCGTCGGTGGGTGCACGACATCTGCTTGAAATAAGCCAAATTCGATGCTCAGTTCAGAGCACTAGGCGCATACCCTTAAAGGTCGATGATTGGGTAAGACTGCTACCCTGGTCTGCATATTGTGGCTTGGGGACCCCGCAGGCGAAGAACAACACACATTGTCGCGCTGTAGAAGCAGCTCACAGCCTGGTCGGTTTCTGCGTCGACATTCTGCTTCACTGACAGAACTTTAACACCATATCCCCAATGTCAGTCTCCAACCACTCCACCCTTGCTCTTCCCCTGCCATCCGGTCCATCAAACATCACTGAACAGCGTCCTTGCGAGATTATCGATGGAGTACCGGTAGACTGGTCTGGCCACGGTACTTCTCACGTTGACTACAACAAGTCCGATGTGCTTCCTCTCAGACAGGGCAAATTCCTCGGGCATGGCATGCATGGCGGAGTGTATGAGACGAGCTGCGATGGCGTCAAGCTCGCTTGGAAGCGCAAATACTGTCGTCGCAAGATAGGCGAAAGAGAAAGACGGGAGATTGAGGTCATCAAGAAACTCTCGCATCGTCATATCGTTCGGCTGATGGGTACCTATACGCACGGCCCGTTTCTCGGATTATTGTTGTGGCCAGTCGCCACTTGCGACCTTGCTGATCTACTTGAAGACGTGGATTGGTTGGAGAAGCGACACAAGTTGCAAACGGGTATGCCTCTCGAGCCGCCAGAAGACTGGATGGAACAAAAAGCCGACCGAGAGGCAAGACTTCAAGCACTTGGAATCCCAATCGGGGGCTCGATCACGTTGACCCGTGACTCCGCGGTAGTCCTTCTAAAGGGCGCGATCGGCTGTATAGCCAGCGCAGTGGCATACATTCATGAATCTGATATCAAGCACAAAGACCTGAAGCCATCCAATATCTTGCTCTCGAGGAACGGCTTATGGCTGACAGACTTTGGTACTGCAACAGACTTTTCGGTGCTAACCACCAGTGTCACGGACAACGGAGAACGAGGCACACCAAAATACTTCGCGCCAGAAGTTGCGAGATTCGAGCCTAGCGGACGTGCAGCAGATGTTTTCTCAATGGGTTGTATCTTCTTCGAGATTATGATAGTTTGTACTGGGCATACCCTAGACCTTAGCACAGAGCTAAGGCAGTCGAACGATAAATCCTTCCAGTCGAATTTGGACACGGTGGAATTTTGGTTCTTTGAAGAGAATTGGCTAGAACCTGATGAAACGGTGTGCATTGACGAGTATCTTCTAGTCCTGGTAAGATCAATGCTGGATGCAGAGGCAGACCAACGTCCGACCGCTAGTAAGGTGGAGTGGGAAATTGCCATGATAACTCAACTGTGCTCCACGTATAGTTCCATGCACGATTTGTCTCACCGGCCGGGGGTCTATCGAGATTGTTGCCATCAAGAAGCGGTCTGCAGCCAGGAAAACGATATCCAGCCAACACCAGATACCACAATCTATATCCAAATTGCGATAGGTAGAACAATGGTTCATGGCGGTTGGATAAACTGGATCGAACCTCTTGATGGAAATCTCATTGAGAGTGTCCATATGTTCGCCGTAAGTACTTCTGTGACTCCTGTCTTGCAAGGAAACATATTGAGCTCATATTATTAGGCCAAATCGAATTTCTACAGCCGTCGCATTCTCTACTCAACGCCTTACGAGATCTACACCTTGTATGCACATGGCGCCAGTGCATGTTTAGTTCTTCGCCCGGGCTTTATGTGGACTAGTCCGATAGCTGGATCGATGCCGAAAACCAATGATAAGAGGGTGATGCTATTGTATTGGTTGAGGACGTTTGACCCAAAAGACGATAAAGACACGCAGGTCTTTGGTGTGCAAAGAGTATCTTAGTGTATGCAATAACAGAAGCAAGGCAAAGAACCGCCTCAGTACTTCTAACAGGCAATTCTTTGTAGATTAGTCTGCGATTTTCCAGCTCAGACGATTGGCTAGCCTTGGATACACAGTGTCTCAGCCTCACGGTAAGCGCTAGCCGTTTCCAGCTTCACGAACCGCCAGATAACCAGCCCCGCACATGACGCTGACGCGAGAGCTAATGGTTTACTTAACGCCCTATGGCGCTGTCTCACCCTTCGTCTAGATTATCTACGACATGTGTACATATAGCTGGCAGAACCCCACTTACGCTGTGGTTGCGCCCACAGCAAATCAACTTTTGCGTCCACAATGGATCACCTCTCGGAACTATTTCGTCAGATCGGATTGAAGATGGTCGTCGCGTCTTTGTTCTGTATATGGCTACTGTACTGGTTGGCCATAGGCATATATCGGGTGTATTTCCATCCCCTGTCCAAGATTCCTGGGCCAAAGGTTCAAATCCCACGGTTTTACTAAGTGAAAACCTTCATTATGAGACTGACGACATGTAGTTGGCAGCATTCACCTTCTGGTACGAGTTCTACTATGAGATCTATCCGCATAGGTTCCAGTACCTCTGGAAGATCAAACAGCTACACGAAGAATATGGTAAATCTTCATCCCCATCACTTGGTGTGTCGTTCTCACAATATTGATAGGACCCATTATCCGTATCAACCCTCTGCAGGTTCATATCCACGATGCAGACTATTTCGACACCATCTACGCGTCCGGCGTCAACCACAAGCGTGACCGTTGTAGCTGGTCGCATCACACCGGCTCTAAAGCTTGGGCGGGCGCCATACTAGAAACGATGGACCACGATAAGCATAAGATGCGACGAAATGCTGTATCCCCCTTCTTCAGCAAGCGCTCCGTTCAGGCTCTCGAAGGGCTCGTTGTGAATAACATAAAGAAGCTTTTACGTCGCTTCGAAGGTGAAATAGAAAAGCAGGGCACGAACGCCGGCATTTTGAACCTCAATGATGCGTATGCCGCGTTCGCTATGGATGTCATCTCTGAATACTGCTTCGGCGAGTCAATGAAGAGCTTGGACAATGATGACTATGGTAAAGAGTGGCTGACCATCTTCCACGACGGGATGCAGTTAGAGCCTTTCGCTCGCCAGTTCCCCACGATTTTCAACTTCATCTTCGACCTTCCGCCGCACGTGGCTGCGAAGTTGGATGCTGGGGCGGGCAAATTGAATGGCTACCTTGACCAAATGCGGACCAGGATCGAGCGCATAATGAATCAGGAAGATGGTGTAAACGGAACAAAGGATCTTAGTCGAACTATATTTCACGACATAAGGGATGATGTGGGTGGTAAACTTCCGGAGGAAGAAAAGCATCCAGTAAGATTGATGGCGGATGCAGGTATTATTCTCGGTGCAGGAACAGAGACAACATCACGGACTATGGCAGTCACTACCTACTATCTGATTAAGAATCCAGATATAGGCGGGAAACTCAGACGGGAGCTAGAGACGGTGATGCCAACCGTAAATCACGAGGTCTTACTCCGGCAGTTGGAGACTTTGCCCTACCTAGTAAGCCACCTTCTCCATACAACAAGACCAGATATGCTAACATGTCATTGAGACCGCGGTGATAAATGAAGGCCTACGTTGCGCCCACGGTGTCTCTTCCCGTCAACCCCGCGTTGCTACTGGCGAAGACCTCACATACGCGCAGTATACCATCCCCAGAGGAACTCCCGTCACGCAATCTCCCTACCTTCTTCACATGGATCCCACCATATATCCCGACCCCTTCGCCTTTCGCCCAGAGCGTTGGATCGAAAATCCCAAACTTACGCGTTACCTCTTCGCTTTTGGGCGCGGGAGTCGCAACTGTTTGGGCATGAATTTAGCGACGTCGGAGCTATATCTTGGTCTGGCGATGATCTGGAGAAAGTTTCAGTTCGAAATTTATGATACTGTTGAAAGCAGAGATGTGTTGACGACCTATGATTGCTTTCTGGGAATGACGGACCTGAGAAGCGACGGAGTGAAGGTCAAGGTTGTGGCTGAGGCGGACGCGTAATCATGAACGTCAGTTTGCCGGCCAGTCAACTGGCGTCAAGAGCGATGGTTTGCGCATGAAGAAATTACCAAGCTGTGGAGTCGAGGTCCTGCTGTGCATGGTGTTTTGGCGGACTTTTGAGTATAAGCGGCTCTTTCAAAAAAGTGAAGTCGGGCGGTGCAGATCTTCCTCCGCACCACGTTAGTTGTCTCTGGCGTCTATCACCTATGCACAGCTGCGCAGAAAGAGCCTGAGATTGAATGGACATGAGATGAACAGAGAATAGATGGATCGCGAAACGGTTCGTAAATTATCATTCACCAGATGCGTAGAGTGCTACCGGAAGACGATTTGCTCAAGTACGCAGCTTGCCCGCCTCGTCGATGTGCCCACCATTACCCGTAAGCTTGATTATCGTTCTTGCGGCTTGCATGACATTCTTTACTGAATGAAGACTAGGTGTAAAGGCAGACTTGCTCGAATGCGGAAGCTCCATAACCGACATGTTGGACTGATGGTCGCCTTACCCAGCTTATCGGTTTTAGCTCATCATCAAGGCAGCAGTTCAGATTTATCTACCAAGAATATCATATTGACCATTTTGCTCAAATTTGCAAGCTCTCCAATATTGAACTTCCATCAGACACGATCAAGATGAGGTTTCGTGCTCCCATGATCGCGAGCGTAGCGAGCATCGTTGCATTTTCAGACGGCTTTGTTCTTCCTCCCCCAACAGGCTTGTTCAGCGTCGGCTCTAAAACACACGTTTTACCAAAGATCACTTTTGATGACCCTGTGGCACCTAATGGCACTGGGACCTCTATTCTACTCAACATCTTTTATCCGACCAAACAAAAGGCCTTACCTTCGAAGTACATCTGGAGTGGACTTTCTAGTCTCTACGATGCATATTACGGGCTTCCCAATGGTTCATTTCGCAACGTCACCGCTCGTACAGCCTACAAAGCCGAGCCACTCTCTTTGAAAGAATGGAAGACATTGAACCTACCGACACTCATCTTCAGTCCGCCCTTTGCTGGACCGCCGTCTCAAGTGTTCCATGCCCTTATCTCCGATCTGGTATCACATGGATATTCAGTGGTGACCATGGACCACCCATACGAGCAACCGTACCTCCAGTTACCCGACGGCACCAGCATACCAGGCTTGCCATTCGATTATGATACAAACACAGAAGAAGGATTTCAGCTCTTACAGCGCGTGCACGAATACCGCCTCACGGATGCAGACGCAGTCCTCGAAGCCATACCCGCTCTCTCGAAACATCTGTCGATACCCCTCAATCTTACATACTTCTCTTTCTTCGGTCACTCGCTCGGTGGCTCTGCAGCACTTAGTCAGATCTTATACGAACGTAATCACACATCCAAACGCAAGCATCGAATCCTTGGCGCTCTAAACATGGACGGAAGCCTCTTGGACCCTGCTGCTGCAAATGACTCTTCTGCAGACCTACGCATACCCAGCTTGATCTTGAGTTCGGCATATCACAAAGGTGATCCGCAATTTGCAGACTTCGATGCGCAGCAATCGACCTGGGCCAAAGAGATTAACGTTGGAGGGAAGTCTAATCACACTGACTTCTCCGATCTGATTGTATTGAAGCAGGGACTCGGAATCTCAGGTGGTGAGGGAGCAGTCAGTGCGGACAGAATGATCAAGATTACGCGAACACTTGTAGAAAGCTTCCAAGATTATCTATTGGGGAAAGGTGAAGGTATTCTAAGCGGCACAAATGAGATAAGAGCTACCTGGCCGGAACTGGACTGGCTGTACAACAAGACAGTCTCGGAATCCACTTAATAAGAGTCACACGAGTCTTAGACCATTCATATTATCAGTTCCTAATATCTGACTATTCCTCAACTTTTTCTTGATATCCTCTTTCCCTCTTCATTCGTATATTATGAGATATCTAAACATCGAAGCCTCGTCTACTATGATGCATGTGAGGCCTTGGCGGTACTACTGGCCCGTCTAGAAGCTTATACATCCTAGAAAGTCCGGACCCTGTCGATTTCCAATGCCGATACACTGTACGCTGTTCGTATGATTCCGGTCGCTGATCCGTCAGCTGTTGAACAGAGACCGTTGGCTGTTTGATCTTAGCTCTCTTGGTCATCTCTTGACTACATACTATATCTCACGGCTTGTTGATTCGAGGGAGAAATCGGTTCCACGTTCGACAACGGTCGGGGTAGATGTATATGTTGGCAATGTCGCACTGGTTCGTGAAAAGACAACAGGACCGTGACCCATGTGCAAAGATAGTCTAGGCATGGGCATCGAAAAAACACCTGGTGGAGTCGTTGTTGCAGATTCTGGAGGTACAAGCGCACTAGTAGCGGTCTTCGAGGGCCCTGACGAAAAGGAAGTTATGGCAATACCGCCAGCTACGGCGAACGGCATCAAGTGCATGGTTGTTGCTGCGAGTGCCACTGGGGAGATGGTTGTCTTTATTATTAATTCTATCGCATTGAAGCAACTTGCATGTCGTGACGAGGATAGGGAACAGAATTGCTCAACGATTCCAGCTTCTGATAAAAGGTTCAAGGGTTGAGAATAGATGACCCATAACTACTCGAAGATGAACCACGGATAGGAAATCTTGCTCATTTGTGTGCAAAGCGTAAGCATCATATCCATGTAACCTCGCTACCAAATTCTGTATCACTCGAGCCAAGGCTGGAATGAGAGTCTCCACGACAATGTAGAATGTGTCTTTGGGTCTGCTGAAGATTTGTTCTATTAGGAAACGATCTGATGGAAAGATTTTGGCTTGTTTCGCTGGAACCTACTTGCGATAGGGTCTCATACATACGCGGCGCAACCTTGCAAATGCTAGTAAATGAACAACACGCCATCAACATCGCTCATATTCTGAAGGCTTACCATCTTCTTTGCCTTATTTGGACACAGGGTCGAATTGCTTACTGAGCATCTTCACCATCCGCAACATCTCCAAGTCCATGGAAAAACATGTAATATGTTTCCACTACAAATTTTCCCAGAGGAAAGATGGACGTTGAAATGAGGATGGACCGTATGGAAAACATGATAGGACCGTTTCCGACTGCGAACTCGAGGCAGCAAAGGTGGTAAGCGGTTGCAAGGCTGTAGACGGCAAAGACGACGGTGATGACGCAGACTGCGTATGCAGAGAAGTAGTAAATGAGCGCGTGGCAGGTGTCTCTGCGTGTGGAAAGCACTGTTGCGGACAGAGTTGCGGGAGTCGAAAGGCGAGAATTTCCGTTTCGTGCAAAAAAAAAAAGGGATGTAAAAGTTCACAAGGTTACTAACTGACGCAAGGAAGTGTTATGGGTTCTGTAACTGCATTTCTCTGTCTTTGATGCAGAAGACTTTGCGTAGGTAGTGTGAGATTTGTGGTCGACTTGACTGGCTCCTCACTAGTCATTATGAATACGAGGAAATTGATCCTCGGTAGACGTGACTGAGAGTAGCTGTCAAGGACTTCCATGGTCTCAGTGCACAGGGTGAGCCAACTCATGACGCTCTGAAGGTTGGCAAGGGTCGATCAGATATCAGAAGGGATAGAATGATATTATTCGTGCTTGACGCGAAGTTGTTGAAGATCTGTGATCACTTGGCGCGTTATTGTAGCTGCCAGACACTCCACTGTTCAGGGAAGTCGTATCTGAGCGCACCAGCGTCCAGAACGATGGACAAGCCGCACCTTCCCTAGATCTCCAATTCCACCTTCTCCTTCGTCTTCGCCTCTTCTTTCAACGCCTCTTCCTCGATCTCTGCTGTCGTTACCTCCGAGCTCTGTTTCCCTTCCTCTGTTATAACTCCCCAGCCCGCCTTCTCCTTCTCGTCCCTCTTGCACATATTGCCCTTCTCGATATCGGCGTCTCCGCCATTCTCCATAATCTCTCTTGCTATCTTCTCATTCTTCCTCGCTACTCCCCAAGCCCACCAACACAAGAGACACGAGTTGACGACTGCAGCGGCGTCAAACATTGTATGCTTGCCTTCGATCCATTTCGAGATGAAAACGGATGTTTGCAGTACCGCAGCGACCACTAGCAACCAAAAACCGATACGGCCTTTTCTGAGGAGCCTGTCTACGGATTCGTTCGACATCCTACGGGATGGTAGACTTTGGCAAAGACAACAAAATGTGATGACCGTGAGGTTGTGTAAATTTAGAGTAAATGGTGATTGCATTTAGATGAGAATGCAAGACACGAAGGCAGACAGCGAAAAAGTGCGGAGTAAATGTAGGTATCAGTTATTATGTATAGTAGTGGGTGGCCTTATGGGTTGTCATGGCCGTCGCATCCGAGTGTGGGACTAGTCACTAGTGTGTGGCGAGCATCCCGGATCGTGATCCGAGATGTGCATTCATTTCTCAACTAAGTCAGACCCATCTTCCGGGAATACAGTCATGCTTAAATAGTTTGGTTGCCACATCACGGCCGCGTCAGGAGCCAGCCTCTCAAGGTGGTGCTTCACCACACCTTCCTATCCGTCCCTTATCGGCCATCTACTTATCGAGCATCGTATACGAGACTTCCAATACCAAGCACATGCAGACGTTCACGATAAACAAGCTCCAGATGACGACCCCCCACGATCCATTCTCAAACCATTGTTGTACAGTATGAGGATGTTTCCAGCTCATAATTGTGAGGAAGCTAGCGATGAATGTGGTTATGGCGGCGGAGACGTGGGCGCAGACGATTATGCAATATGATATCTTCTTGATCACGCTGTGGAACTTGGACTTTTGGCGGCTGCATTCACAGGCGCTCGTGCCGAGCTCGGGATCATATATCGTCGTGTGGTGTCTTTGAGTGTTGTATAGGTAGATGCACGTACCAGATTCGATAGCGGACGTCATTTTGTAGTGTTTGGAATCCTTGATAAGTGGGCAGACAAACGCGCCGATTGCGGGACTGGGTGACATGGGATAGTGTACTTGAGTGTGCGGTGTATGTAAGGCTGTAGTGTGGTATGATGGTAACCGAATCCGTGTGCGAGTGTGCAAGAGTTGCAGTATTGGAAAATACTTCAGTTTGTATCTTTGGAATATTCTGTCCCTCGCAATTGTACCGTGGTTGACTTTCTTGGCTCCAGCCAATCTTGTACCTGATACATGGTATGCTATCGTATGGGTTTCACGATGACCCAAGCTACCGTCGATGCCTGCACCCTGATGTTTTCTCAAGTAAAACCAGTCGTACAAATCCGTGAAGACGGTTTGCAGCGTCCTGTTATCGAGATTGGTGCCTCTACGTCATCCAATCTTATTCATGCTTGGTTTTCGACTCATGAAAATCGTCTAATTCGTGACTCCCAACTCCGGCTCTTTATGCTCGCCGTTCACATTCGAGGAGAGTTGTGGGTCATCAGGCCATGTACCTTCGATCTCCTGCGCAGCAGCTGCAACTCCCTGTTGTGGGAAATCGTTGGGCTGTGGATCATGTTGAGCTAGAGGATCGCCCTCAAACCCATTTGGATTTTCTTCTGCCATTTCACGGAACAAACCTTCGATCTCTTCCGCATCGTCGAATTCGTCTTTCGGATCGTTGGGGTTTCTGTACTTCGTCCTGAGGGTCTCTGACATATCAAAGACCTCTCCTGATGCAAGCTCAGTGGTCCACTTGTCCATGCCCTGGTTGGCCAGTGCATCTGCTGCGATATTGCCTTCGTCTATCGCGTGGGCCTTCACCCAGGTAATGAGAGTCTTAGCATTACACTTCTCACGTTCCCGTATCCTTGCCAAAATGGGTTGGATGATATCCTTGTTCACGACCTCTTTGTTCTTGCTGTTCCTCCAGCCATTCCTCTCCCAGCCCGCAACCCAGCTTGTAAGGCAGTTTTTGGAATATTCTGAATCGCTGATGATGTGAAGGTCGCGATCGATGGGAACGTGGTCAATTGCTCGGGCCATTGCGACTAGTTCGGCTCGGTTGTTGGTCTGGACATCGCCCTTGAGAGGTTCTTGGACGTTCCTGTGTTCAACGTCAGTAAATGCTCCAGGCTGCAGCACATGCTGTTGCCATGATACTGACCTAGGATCTCTTGGACCGAAGTAGACACCACAACCGGCTTTCGCACCTGCATTGCCATTGCCCCGCGAACCACCATCTGTGTATACAACAACGGGGCCTTTAAAATCCCCTGTCGGCTGTCTCTTCCTTTTCCCAAGTTCCTCGTCTGTCTTGACTCTGATGTTGCCTGTTTTGTCGTCGAGCTTGAGGCTCGGGTCGAAACCATCTACTGCGTTGAGCGGGAGGGGGCCGAGGCCAGGCTCGAACTTGATGTTTTGGTTGTCTATGAGGGGTGCTGGCGATGCATCCTCCTTCTTTTGGCGCTTGGGTGCACTCTCTGATACCTCCGTGCTCCTGTCCAGATGATCTGTCGCCGATGGGGACCTGGATGCAGACAGATCTCCTCGTAGACTGATGGGTGCGCTGATGCCACGAACAAAAGCCTCGGCCTCTTCTTTCGTCTTGAAGCTTTTGTGTTTGGCACCACTAAAACCGCTAATCTGCGCTTGCGTAGTCGGCCAATCTGTATACACGCCTGGTTTGCGTCCGGCGGCTACTCCATAGAACTTGGGCTTTCCTCCACCTGCCATCTTTCCCTCTTCGGTTATGTACGTGTCAGGATAATCGGTCCACGGCGGAAATGGGCGGCAGAACGTAGTCGATGACCTGGACGAGGGATGGATGAAATGGTCGCGGCAGATATTAGAGTACCTAATCGCCTCAGTCAGATTTGGTCTGTGTCATGGAAGGTTTGACGTGGTATTGAGTGCCTCTTTAGCGTGACAAACTTACCATACGTTTGTTCCAGGTGAAGAACATGTGCCGCGCCGAGTGAAGATTCGCGAGGCGCTAGGTAGCATGCGACAATGACACAGAGGGAAACTGGGAGTGTTACCGGCTACAAGTGTGAAGTGCAGTATGGAGCGTCGTTGAATTGGACTTCTCGCTGCATTGTTTGTGGTTGCGGCGACAGCTTCGGAGGTGCTTGGACCCTGCAGCAAGCAACCTGTCGAGCCTCATCTTGAGAAAGAGCTAACGTGCTTGAACAAGCCCGACAGCATCGTGAATCACAAGAGATTGATAGAGTATCGCAGGTTTTGCTTTTAGGTTATGCCATGAACCACACACATCATGACCACCAAAATGTCTATGTCCTAAGCCGTTGGACGCGCCGTGGTTGAACCTCGGAAGCTCTAACCCCACTACGTCACGCATCAAGCAATTGATCGAAGCGACATCACCACTAAACACGTTCATCTGCACTCTCGATAAACACGACAAAATAATCATGTTCGAAGTAGGACTCTGACGATGCGTGTCTATGAATGTTGCCGCTCACAATATCCAGGGCCGTCACGCGTCAGACAATTACCGCCTTCACCTGCATCGCGCGCGATCAGTCGTGTTGACGAGTGCAGAGCTGGTTGAGATTCGCGCAGCACAGCGAACATTTGAGGGCGCATACGTCCGTACAGCAATCGGCCAGTTTTCTTTTGCGCTCGTAGTACTCAAGATCTTCACCGCCGAATTCTATTCAATCGGTGCACTGTTCGCAGTTTACGGCGCTGGCATTCTGTTTATTAGTCTGTTCCGGCGACAGCAAGGTCAGTTGACAGTCATGGTGCAGATGTATGACGACGACGGAGGTGTGGCTGCTGACAACAGATAGGTAACAAACAGTTCTTCTCAGAAGTCGGTGAGGATGGCTTGCACAGGAAGAAGTTCCGAACATCCGGCAATGTGGTCACTGTGTTGACGGCATTAAGCGTCTCAGCATACATCTGTCTGTTGGTACTGACGCTCAAACTGGCGACATGAGCATCTCATCACTGACGTCTTTGAATCGTGATGAACGGTCACGTTATCTCGACGAGTGCCTTCAGCACAGGTGACGGCGTTACCTTGGTACCGTCCCAGACATACGGCAGGTGACCAAAGGGTCTCCACAATGCGGAGGTTTCATCTGGAAACTGCTTCTGGGAATCTGGGGAAATACATTGTCGTGTATGTATATGAGTGCCAAGGACTTTTGCCTATACAAGAAACAGTGGAGTGTGTAGCTGCACGCTGACGTTGCGCGATCCACCCAGGAACTGGTCAACATGGCACGGAATCGCCATGAGAGGAATGGAACATTGTGCAACGACCGAGACTGTCACCTCGCTCAGAGCTACTTTGGAATTTGTCTAGCCCGTGTCTGCGTGCAAAGGATCAGATCAGGGTAATCGTGTGCTATCTTGGTCGTCTCGAGGTGCAGCGGGAGGCGTGTGAGAATGATTGGCTTTCGTTTCGGTATCGGACTGTGGGGTTGTCCGCTTCCAGCAAGAAGACCTGCCAAGCGGTTTGTACTCGGACAGCGATGCGCAGACAAGTCGCGCCTTGTCCTCGCACAATCTCACCGTCGAGACTGGGGGATAAAAACTGCTCACCATGCACTGCTCAACTCGTTTGCGCGCGTTCCTGAAAACTCGCCCTCCGCTACCACCGGCGGCCTAGTCAAGCGGCGCACCCGTGGTTCCTAGCCTTCTCAACCAAAGGCCGACTCCGAACAGTCATATCGATCCCTTGATAAGGTCACCGGCCCGACAAGCCTGCACTCTCAAATTCACGCGACAATTTGACAGGAGCTCTTCTTCTACACAGCCTTTTCGACCGTCTCCCCAGCTCAACCCAGTCCCACGTAGTCTTGCAGCGGCAATAGCAACCTGCATCCAGAGCCTTGGGTCCTATCTTAGTGCAGCGGCCAAGCTAGCCTTTGATAAGTATTTCGACAGCTTGGCATGACGCCAAACATGGAAGCAGTCCCGACGCCGACTGTGACCGAGCTTGTACATCACAAGCATTCGCATCGCCGCCGATCCTCAGCTTCCTCAAATACCTCGACTTCAAACCGCCGCTTCAGCTCCCACTCCATATACGCCCGATCTGTAATGAGCAAACTCACCCTACCCCTCGACAACGCAAAGCAGCCAAACACCAACAAGGACAACGACCTCACGCCCCGCGCCGCATCCGCTGAGCCACATTTTCCTGCTGTTGCGCCTGCAAAGAACGTGCAGGCTCTCAAGGAGAGCGCCCTCCAAAATGGCCAGCTGAAAGCGGTCCCGAATCCAGTCAACCAACAGCACCACAATGGGAGTTTGGTCACAAAGGATGGCGTGGGCACTGCCTTGAGTGACACCCCACTGCCATCTGTTCCGGGAAGTCCGCGCGAGTATGGAAAACCGCCGTCGCAGAGCACTTCCTACTTCGCTGACCGTGACAGCGCCCTAACCCGCAATAGCTCCACCACATCGACCCCGCGGTTACGGCCTACCACGCTCGATATTCCCGGTCTGACCAAGTCCAAGGTCTCCCCCGACGGCAAGATCGCACAGCGAGATGTCGGCTCCAAGCTTGTCATTGTCATGGTTGGACTGCCCGCGCGAGGCAAATCATACATTACAAAGAAGATGGCACGGTATCTGAACTGGCTGCAGCACGATACCAAGATTTTCAACGTGGGAGAGAAGCGGAGAGTAGCTGCGAGTCACAGTGGATTCAGGCTCTCGCAAGCAAACCTCGAGCGCGTCTCTTCACACGTCAAGCAGGCCATTGAGGAACATCAAGACTCACTTCCGCAGATCGCGGCGAAAATTCTTATCAATGGCGACCCCGCGCACGATGGGCCCATAGACCCACAGAACATGCCGGACCCACGCCGGGGTAGCACGGCCATTGCGGAGGACGAGGACGGCCCACCATTACCACCACCACGAGTCGAGGTCACATCACCAGGTCCCAAGGCGCCTTCGCCAAACAATGAGACGGTAACGGAGGAGGAAGAGTCGATGGACCAGTCAGCCGACTTTTTCGACCCACAAAACCAACGGGCAGCAGCTTTGCGTGAGCAATGCGCTATGGAGACTCTGGACGATTTGCTGGATTACATTCTGAAGGGCAGTGGGTCGGTGGGCATATTCGATGCGACCAACAGTACGCTGGCCCGACGACAGCAAATCATGGAGCGGATACGAGATCGTGCGGGGCCAGAACTCAACGTTTTGTTCGTCGAGAGCGTTTGCCGTGATCAGAACCTCCTGGAATCCAACATGCGCCTGAAGCTATCGGGTCCAGACTACGCAGACAAGGATCCGGTCGCAGCCTTGGCAGACTTCAAGAAGCGCGTGGCCATATACGAGAAGAACTACGTTCCAATCGGCGATTACGAGGAGGACAACAACATGCCCTACGTCAAGATGGTGGATGTTGGCCGGAAGATGATCTCGCATCAAATCAAGGGTTTCCTTGCAGGCCAAGCTGTCTACTACCTCCTCAACTTCAACCTTGCACCGCGTATGATCTGGATAACGAGACACGGCGAATCAGAGGACAATGTTGCCGGAAAGATTGGCGGTGACTCCGACCTTAGCGAGAACGGGCAAAAGTACGCAAAGGCCATGACACGCTTCATTGCCGCACAGCGCAAAGACTGGGCCGTTCGACAAGCAGACAAGATGGCCAACACTCACTTCCCTCCGGTGGCAGGCGACCACACCCCTCCGAACCCCTACTACAGCCACGAGCTTGAACAACGCAACTTCTGCGTCTGGACCTCGATGCTCAAGCGCGGTATCCAAACTGGCCAATACTTTTGCGACGAAGAGTTCGAACTTAAACAAATGCGCATGCTGGACGAGCTGAATGCGGGTCTCATGGAGGGCCTCACCTACGAAGAAATCCGCAAAAAATATGCAGACGAATACCTCCAACGGCGCCGTGACAAGCTGGCTTACCGCTACCCCGGCCCCGGTGGTGAGGGCTACCTCGACGTCATCAACCGTATCCGCCCTGTCATCGTAGAGCTAGAGCGCATGACGGATCACTGCCTGCTCATCACCCATCGAAGTGTTGCCCGTGTATTGTTGGCGTACTTCCAGGGCCTGAAGCGTGAGGATGTGGCGGATTTGGATTGCCCGCTCGGCATGCTGTACCAGCTTGAGCCTAAGCCTTATGGCGTTGAGTTTAAGGCTTGGAGGTACAACAGTCAGACAGATGACTTTGATCATCTGCCGGATTACAAGCTGAGGAGGGGCGCGCCAATGGCAAACAACTAGGAGATGGAAAAATGGGCTTGGGGCTGGGATTAGATGGATGATGTGTATTATTATGCTTGGGTTTTAGACGTTGATGATGATGTGTGTATGGGGTAGGGGGGTTTACATTACTTTTTGGGATGTTTTGTGTTGGATGTTGGCTGGGTTTCTTTGACCTCCTCCTAATGCTCCTCCTCCCCCTTCGTAATGGTTTCTTTGATGCCCCTCGTATGGTTTGATGCAACGCTTCATGGCTATGAATCATGGTTGTTGGGCATTTACAGGCGTCTTTTTTCTCTTCTTTCTTCATCCTCTCTTCATCATTTCTTTTGCATGGGCAATGGGGCGGGCGTACGATAGATAGATAGAGGGGTAGTATGACGCAATGATGATTAGACAAGATGTCTTTACTTCACTCCAAAGACGGGTTTGTGGTCCATGTGATGGCGGTGATGTGTCCATGAGGAGGCGTCGTCTGATGATGGAGTGGGTGGTGATGAGGGTATATAAACCCTCCCTTGGTCGCTTTCTTCTCACTTTTCTATACCACATTTGTTCCTCCTATTCTTCAAAATGAAAGAGCAATCTTCAATGTTGGCCTGGTCTTTTTGTTCTTCAAAAAGTTCTATCGAACAAGCGATGTGCGCGTCGGCCAAATATCATTTTTCACCTTTTCCAAAAAGCTAACGTTCTTGCCGCATGGAAAGCTTCTGCCAGCGAGATCCAAACAAAATCCAATACCACATCTACATGGCAGCAACATTTCCTGTCTAGAGATCCTTAAGCCTCCGCACGTGGCTTTCGCAGACTGGCTATTTAAGACTCTCTGGTTTCCCTCCTAGTGCTCTATACTTTCGCCCAAATTTTACCGAAAATGATACCTAGAGCCCAATATGTGTGTTCCGGCTTTCTTCTTCCCAAAAAATGATGAGGCGATCGCATGTGTAGACTCTCTTCCCGGCTACCTCGCAAAACGGATACCGAAATCCGACATGTGAACGATTGCTATGTTTGGATCCAGGATCTTTAACGAGTGGAAAGATAAGAGGAAAACCTTTATCGAGCTCCAATACATACAAAACTAGTCTGGAACCAATGGCATGAGGCCTGGACAGTATAGGCGATGAGGGCATAAATACCTCCCTTCGATCTCCTGTTTTCCTTCCTCCTACATTATCCTGCTTCCAAATTTTGCCAAAATACTACAGTCAAGTCGAAAATGAGCTGCCGTTCTTCCTGCCTCAAAACGCATACGGGAGTCCTCCATGAGCTTCTGCTGCTCTTCCCTTCACTATTCTGAACTCGATTCGAATCAGATTCACGAAGCTGGACTTCGAATTACGCCTGAAAGGAAAATGCTGGCTGCATATTGGAAACTACTGCTGTGTTGCCCTTCGCATACAAAAACCATGGCTGCGGTGTCCTGATAGTGATTGAGGGAGCATGATGCGCATACAAAAGCCTTCCTTCCTGGGTCTTGCTTCGTCTCCTTCATCACTACACTTCCTCCATTTTCCTCAAAACTACAGTTAAAGGCGTGATGACGTGTGGAGTATCTGCTCTCATTCTCTTCAAAATATTATATGGAAGTCCAAGATGTGCTGTTGCGCCCTGCGTTCTTTTTTGCATCCGCTACAAAACCAGGTATCATCCAAGTCGATGGCTGATACCAGCTGCCCTCTTCTACTCAAAAATACAAGTACGAAGTACTGCATGTGCGGTTGCGCGGCCTTCTTCCATATTTTGATCTCATCCAACCAAGCTTCGACTCGCGATAAGCCATGTGAAGTTGCTGCGCTGTTCGAAATCATCTGGTAGCGCACGCATGAGTTTGCTATGATGCTTTCGGGAAAGCATAACAAAAGATGTGATGGCTGTCAGAGATGCAAGGCCGAGACTAGAATATAAAAGTTCATCTTGTGCCTCTTCTTGCTTCCCTCCACCACACCACCGCCGGAGTGTCTTACCAAAAATTGAACTCGGCATGCTCATGTGTGTTTCCCCGAGTCTTTTTTCCAAAATCGTCTTGTACCAAGCTGGATGTCTGTGGCTCGCTGACTCCCATTGTCTTCTATCCAAATAAAGGCTATCAAAACCTATGCATCGGACAGCTAGCCTGCTCATACGAGACCTTGAACCACCTCTCCTGTCAAAACACGAAGAACGACAACCTTAGCGTCTGCGAGCTGAAGAGCCAGCTCCAGGGCGTAGAAGACGATAAAGCATCATTCGTTCTACCTTGGCTGTCTTCCTCACTCTCACATTTCTCCTCTGGTTTTACTTCAAAAAAAAAAGAGAGAACAAGTACATTGTGGGTGTTCTCCGTTCCACAAAAGGTTTCGAAAAACCGATATGATGCACTTCTGCTCTTCGTTTTCCAAACGATACATGACACAGGATCCATGTGATTCTTCCGCGAAAAGAAAAACAATGGGTCATGGCGCATACGATGAAGGGTCTTACGAGAATATCGTACCCCTATCCATCTTGTGCTTCCGCACTAGGAGAGCGGCTATAAATCGAACTGTTGTCGGTCTCCTTACTTCCTGTCTATTCTACATCCTTTCAGCGGGATCCCAAAAGAAATCTCATTCGGAGACAAGATATGTGCTCTCTGCTCTTCGATTCAAAACAACACGCAACAAGATCATGCCTGTCTCGGTCGTCTGTTCGAATGAATGTATCGAAATATATTGAACTTGAAACTTTCCCACCGAAACGCAACAGTCAGCTTGATATGCGGATTTCCCTTCTCGAAAAACCCTTCGACAACGAGCTATGCTTACGCCGACATAGATTTGGGAGGTGCACATGGCAGACTAGGTATTAGAAGGATCTTTTTCAAAATCGCTTTTCAGCTTCCTGATACACCAATATTTGCATATATTCCAAAAACTTCGAAGAAAGACTTATGAGCGCGCGTGCGCTTCTCAAAATCCAACTTCATTCTTTGATGTCCTCGTCCTTGCCCTCTACAAACGAATTATCGTCAGTACTATTCGATAAATAGCAGAGTTGATCTAAGATACGAGTAAAGTAACACTGTAAGCCATGCTTACCAAGCCTTCACGGGTATGAAATGGTGGTGGACAAGGTATAAAAGATTTCGCACTTCTTCTGCCCTTTCTCCTCTGGATCAACATGATTCGCAGTATTTTTCAAAACAAAAAGGTTAACGACTTATGCCCTGCTCTGTCGAGCGGGGACTCTCATGGATTGCACCGATGCATCAATCGAACTTTGGAAGGAGCTAGTATATGCTTTCGAAAAACGATCTTCGACACAGCAACGACCGCTGCACTTGCTGTACAAAGGCTTTCTAACCTTTTCTCATGTTCAATGAGCTACTATAATGTCAAAGTATCATGATATAACGTCGGAATGCGGCGACTATGGTTAGCTCGGAGGTTGTGCATATAAAAGCTTCCACTTCGCTACTGTTTTTACTTTAAAACCATCAACGACATTATTGGCATTATCAAAAAACGTCAGATTTACGGTCAATGGCTTTCCTGGCTGCTTTTCGAAGATCGCAGACAAGAAGACGAGGACGGTCTGCGCCGTTGGTCCACCTCAAACATGAAAGTGAACGACATCTCACCCATGAGATGAAATGAATATTCTTACAAAGAGAGATCCTAAAGCAACTGAATCCCAAGAAAACTGCAAAATGACGTAGTCTTGTTTCTGCCCGGAGTAAACGCTGCAACTCTCCGCACACCATCCTGTCTTATCACTCATAAAGGCTGCGGATTGCATCATGACTGGACCAAAGGTGATCTACGCAGGCCACATGCTGGCAGCTTTTGTACGCTTCTGGTATGCTCCCAAGATCGACTACTTTCAAGTTCGATGTGACAAAATGTGTAAACTCATCGCTCGTATACTGCTAAGCTCCAAAATCCAACTTACGGCTGCGATGGAGTGCAGACTAGTCGCAGTACGATGATGGCTTTGCATGGCAGCAGCAAGTTGGTCCTTGGAACAATCAGACGCTTATTCTATCCCTGCCTGCTGTTACTCTCTCAGTACCCCAGTCGCAGCCTGCTGATGGCTGGAAAATAGAGTATGTGCAATTTATGGTTTTCCCGGCTTGCCTATTCCAAAACGGAACCTGAACCATGAAACATGCCGCTGTTCTCTCTGTTTTCTTTGTTTCTGGTCTCAAAAAGCTAGTAATGATTGAGTGACGACTACTTGCAGCATGATGCGCTCAGGATAGGGATTCGAGGGCGGAAGGCTGTGGAAAGCGTGCGTGGCATTCGACAAAGGGAATATTTGCGCTTATTGAGTAGGCGGAGTTGTGACGTTCGCCCATAGCGTATTGCACAGCTGCTGATACAAATTTATGATGACGACTACAGTCATACAAATGGCAGCCTGAATGAAGCATACTGGGGGCTGAAACGGCGATCGCGTGACATCACCATGCAGCCACCATCTAGTCGAGCAGCTATCACAGCTGAACAGTTAGCCAACACTAGCCTTACATAACTTCATCTTCTCTGTTGCCTGTCTTTGTTGCGGTTCTAGTTCGACTAACAGGAGGAAGGTTGGAAAGACCTACGGTTCCTACATGCTTTAATTAGTTCGAGAAGTGTTGCAAGTGCATTACGTATCACGAGGCCACATCGACTTGACACGATCAAACATGACTGACGTATCATAATATCTATATCATTCAGCTACTTTGCTCGTCTCCATATCATGTCCTCGCAATGATGGTACAAGGTTCTCTCATGTACCAAGTCCGTAGCTTCGGTTCACCCAAGACATTGCCCCCCTGCAGCAAAGTTTGGGTGTCGACATTCGCTTTTTGGTCCTCATCTCCACCACCGGCCTTGATGAACTCTGCTTCGTCGACCGTAGCACCAATCTCATACGTACCACCGCATAGCGCAACGATACCAAGCTCAGACTTCACAATCTCTCCGGGTTGTATGATCGGTAGCTTGCGTTGCAGTACTCCTGTCCATGAGAGGCGTTTGTCGAGATCCAACGCGATGTTGTGTGGAAGGCCAGCAACATGTGGCTGCAGTCTTAGTATAGGCGAGATGGGACGCGGACTTCGGTTACGGACGGACGTCTTCATTGTGAGAAAGTCATCGATTGGCACGTTGAACTTTGCGCGACCAATCTGTCGTACAGCATTTTCACCATCTGCTGTGGAATAGTCCGCGATGATGGTCGTAGTGATGGCAAGATCCTCGAGTTTGATGGCTTCAACCATGCGCGGTGTCAAACGAATGCCGCGCAATTCTAGTTCACCATGACGTCCATTGCCGTCTTCTGTCCACGTTCCTCGCACAATCTTGAGTAGCTCTTCACGGTACCAGAAAGCTTCCCTGCTCGCGCGTTCGGTTTCAGGGGAGATTTTGCTCGTGCTTACGACAAACTGACGTTGATTGGCGGGGTTCAGGGATGGCACAGCGGCGTGTGGGTCTTGCAGATAAACCTTTGGAAGAATCATGACGATCCTACTGACATGTCCTGGCTGTATGATTTCATTGACACCAAGCGCCTCGTTCCAGGACTCGTCGCTGTAGTTGCCATCGAGCATAGGCTTTCGGGCTTGGAGAGTTATCGACAATGGGTTCGGCCATGAGTTTCTTAGATCTAGAAGGAGCATGCAGTGCTCTTCGTCATTCTCGTGGCTTTGCTTCTGGTTCATGAAAGACCGAAGATGACTGTCAGCTTTCCCAGATGCCGGGGTAATTGATGACTCCTGGTCAGCTTGAGCTTGCGAACCCGACGATACGGTGTCAGACCAGCCGATGTTGCCGGATAGGGGTACTATGTCTGGGCGCTGAAGCTGCACACTTGCATTCACCGTGATGGATATGGGCGCCGACACCTGACGGGTAAAGAAGTGTTCCTCAACTTCAGACCTTCGCTTTCCAAGGTTAGCGTAGTCGATCTGGATGGTAGCATCCGTCAGTCTTGTCCGGCCGATAACCTCAATAGTAAATTCTGCTTCGGCGCCCGGCTTGATGCTCGGCGATTCTTCGGTCTCATTCTTACACCAACGTAATGAAGGATGATGGGCAAGCTGAACCTCTAATTCGTGCAGTTCAGCTGCGGGCAAGTCTTTGTTGGACGTCGCCGCTTGTATTGCAGTAGTCGCGGTATCCTGAAAAGAGATGTGAACGAAGTCGACAGTTGTTACAGCTGAGGTGTTCTTGACAGTAACGGTAAAACGTTTTCTTTCGCCTTCAAGCACCATGACCGCTGACTGTGGTAAAGACACTTTGGTGATAACAAGGACAGGCTGATCTGGTATTACAGAAAATGTCAATGACTCCGGCTTCGGCTGGAACGTTGCTCTATGGTCGATCGATGGCGCAATAGCTGTTGAGGGCCGTGATGCTGGAGCGCCTAGACAGGCCTTGAGACCCATGCGCTTCATCTTTGCTTCTCTTTTCGGCTTCCATGGTTCAGGGAATATAGGGAAAAGTCGCTCTCGACATCCGATGAGCTTGACATAGCAACCGATGATCTTCAATGACCCTGAGGATTGCGCTGTTCCTGTGATCTGGAACTTTTGAGTTCTGTAAGGACCAAGCAGGAAGTGCTCCTCTAGTGCAACAAACTCCACACCTTCAGCCGCAATCTTCAACGATTCTACCCCAAGCTCGAACTCGTATGGGTTCTGCATGGCAATGACAAAGCGATAGTGCTCGTTAGCAACTAGAACTGTTTGCGCAGCGTTCGTTTGTGGCTTCTTTAACCACGCATTGTGGAGGAATGGGCCATCTTTTCCTTGGCTATCTGATTTTAGTTCCGTACCTTGCCTCTGAGTTAGCCGCAGAGGTTCCATTTCCTCGAGTATAAACAACCCGCGGACGAGAAAGTCGTCCCAATATTCTGTTTCTACATGCTGTAGCCCAAGCTTCTTCGCAGCTGTGACTGTTCTCGAGATGTTCGAGTAGAGCCGGATCTGTTCATCTCGTGCAAGAGATACGAATACGTCGGTGCTGTTGGGCCTGGGCGCCGTACCCGGGCCTGCAACCCGCAGTAAGAGGGCAGTAAAATGGAGAACGCCATTGAAATCTGGCAACGCTTCGCAGAAACTCAGACATGTTCGCAATATCTCCAGCTTGAGGCTTAGACTGCCGAAAGTTCGTAACGAAGAGATTGCCAGAATAGCGTCGACTACACGTTGACTAGCAATGCTGTCCGCAGCACTTTCCGCGTTCTCGCTCCTCTGGCTGGATACAGTGATGTCGGGCATGTTTCCCTTCGAATTTGGTATCCCGTATATTCGGCCTAGTAGACCCAAAAATTCACCGATACCTTGCTCGACCTCGCCTTCGCCCAAGTTGAGGGCGCCAGTTCCCGAAGTGCCACCATTTGCGATGTTCAGAGCGGCAAGACCAGCAGCCGGGTGAACTCCCATCTCAGCGGCTCCCACTTTACGGGCCTGGATCAAGCCAGGAACGAGAGATGTGATGAACTCCTTCATGACGATGGCCTTCTTCCGTTGCAATCCCAATGATGACAAAATCGAAGCAACACCAGCCAGTACTACAACGCGGTCCGTAGGGTTCATTCCTGAGCTTTCTACAGGCCCAGGTAATGCGCGGAATAACATGGAAGCAATATCGTTGCGCGTGGGATGTACACTAAGCCTCGGAACTGAAAGCCGCGCCTTTTGCTTGTACGGTACGTTCTGTACAAGGTGTCGTAATGCGTCGTCGTCGAGAAAGCCTGCGGACAGATTGATTGCAGCCAATAACTTCGAAAATCGTATCACACATTCCGAGAACGCAAGAGGCGGCAAAGATTCTCCAGCAAAGTTGGCCGCGCGCGTATAGAGGTTCAGTATCATGCTGACCATGTCTGGCAGCAGCGAATTGAGGGCGTCCAATGAGTTGTCGTGTTTCTGGGGTTTAGCTGGGGTTGAGACGTCGGAGGCACTGTTAGATGGCGTATGCGTTGGTGTGATGCCTCCACCAGCTGGATAGCAGACTTCAGGTATCTGTGAGAGCTGGTGAGCAGTTGCAATAACGTTTGTGCCAAGGGAGAACGAACCTGGAACTCCATGCCGGACCAAGCGAAGAGAAGCATGCACACCATGATATGCTCGAGAGCTTTGGCATGCCATAGATGATCGCTTAGGGCCCGGGCTCTAGTCGCGCCTTCTGTGAGCTCTCGTACTGCCTCAACCCACTGCCCCGCACACATGTATAATGTACCGATCACGATTCCGATACGACCGCGTCCCTTGTTCCTGGCCCTCTCGCCAACCCCACCAGAACCGAAGCCATGGATTGAGACGCGGTCTGCCGCAGTCTTCTTGGTTGCAGTGCTAGGTCTACTAGAGTCACTATTCGTTTGATGCAGCGTGTTGGCTGCGTTGATGCCTGATATCTCATCAAATGTTGTTGGTGGTGTACGTGTACCTTGCGCACTCGAAGAAGCAGTTCTCGGATCCTCTGTGGACAACGGCCCCCCGGAGTTTGATGACAATACGGGCATTGACATTCGGTGGCTATCCTTCAGTGCATTGTTTACGGGCGACTCTGGTCTGCTGGCGGTCGGCGTCTGCGAATTGCGACGCGCGAATTGCGAAGTGGAGTCGGCTGCAGCCCAGCTGGGTGTGGCCTCCGCTGCTCCATTCTGAGAAGCAGGCGAGACCAGTGTAGGAAGAGCTTGTATAGACTTCGCCAAGGTTGTCATCTCTGCCAATAAGGTTGCAGTAAGATCGCACATGAAGGTCTTCATCGTAGTGGTCTTTAAATGTGATTTTGGCGGGATCAGGAGGGTTTCTTGAGGTAGACGTGGATGTCGAGATTGGGTTGTTGAATCAAACATCATGATGCTGTGAAGATACGCCCTGGGAAACTGTTCTCTGAGATCATCGATGCCGAACTGGATAGCGTTCGCTTCATCATCGCCGACTGGGGGATCCTCAAATGTCGGACTTGGTGTCCCTTCAGTCGCACGTGACGGCTGTAGCCAGGCATACTCGGACGCGTCTCCGATTCCAATGACAAGTAGGGGCTCTCTGAACTGCTCAAACGGCGAAAGAGATAGATGAGAGGCCGATGGCATAGAAGTTGACAAGTCATAAAGTAGAGTTCCGTCAGGCCACGCTAAAGGAGAAAACATATCTATTCGTCGCCAAGATCAGTAAACATCAGGACTAAGCTGGATCACGAGGGCTCGTACTCCGGTCAGGTCGTGGATCAGGGCTAATGTCGCCCAATCGAACCAATGACTCTTGCTGCAAGAGGTCGACAAAGGCTATGAAGCGCGAACGCTTGATGCGACCCACGGGGAGAAGCAAGGCCCTAATGCGCGCAGGCGCGATCGGGGACAGAGGATCGACTGCCATCGCAACATCTGGAGACTGGAGACCTGCCGGCCAAATACAATATACTGGTTCAAGAGGATAACGTCGTGCTGGCGGGCGCTTGCATGATGCGTGGAATACGGTGGACGGTGAAACGGTTGGCGATCCTCAAGCTTCGGCCCTCGTGGCAAGGCCCGATCCGGGCTAAACCACTTCCGTCGTTGGCCCCTGCGCCGGTGTCTGCAACATCAAGTGCCACACGAAACACGACATCTCACCGACAACCCTTCGCCTTCCACCAGGCTGCGCTGCTGTCTTTGATATGTTTCCTACGTTTTGCATAGCGTGAGCATATTCAGGAGTTTGGTTTTTGCTGCGCAAGAATATTCGACGGTCTGGCTCGTCCTCCTGGCTTTGCCACCGCCGCCCACTTCTTACCAGGACACTTAGTACAACCAGCACAATCACATTACAACTTCAACCACAATCCGGACATATTTCACACGGCACCAGGGGGGATATTGAGAAGAAATTTACGCACTTGAAGCACTTACTCTTCCTTCGCATACAGTCTTGCTGCGCTTAACTCCGAGATTGCAGCACAACTATTGCCACTCTGGCTTCAAACATCAACGGTACTCTATTAGGCATCTTCTCGTAGTCTTTACAAGATGGCTGCGATTGATTTTGCGCGGCTGCGCAACCAAACGATGGCCGATGGCTTCGATAGTGAGGTCACGGTCAACACTCGGGCGTTGATCGACAAGGTCCTTGCGCGTTACTCTAGCGAACATACAACATTACGAGAGTTGATACAGAATGCGGCAGATGCGAAAGCAGACCAAGTCATCATTAAGTTCGAGACGGACCCATCTCTGACTGTGCCCACACCACAGGCCGCCGAGGACCCCGTTCTACTGAAGCATATCATTCAAAATCACACACTCAAGCGACTCGTTGTAAGCAACAACGGTCAGCCATTTACACCCGCAGATTGGAGTCGTTTAAAAAGTATTGCGGACGGTAATCCAGACGAAACCAAGATTGGTGCTTTCGGCGTTGGGTTCTACAGCGTGTTTGCCGACTGCGATGAGCCTTTTGTAGTTTCGGGAGACAGGACTATGGCGTTTTACTGGAAGGGTAACATGCTTTCCACCAAGGCCGCCCCTGTACCGGCTGAACACGATACGAGGGACACTATTTTCATGCTTGAATACCGACAAGCAAATCCTGCATCCCCGTCGTACAATCCGTCGAAGCTACCGAACTTGCCCACTCTTTGTCAGTTCTTGGCAACTAGTCTCACGTTTGTCGGCTTACAGAGCATCGAGCTTCATGTTGACGATTATGTCGTCGCGTCGTTCACCAAGAAGATATCACCTCCGGACGCTGTCCGCGTGCCCAATGGACTGAAGACAGAGACCGAAGGTGGATTGATGCGAGTGACTGACGTTACTCAACAGCACTCTCAAATCGACGCTGCTTGGATGAACGTCATTGCCACTGCTCAGTTGCCCCCAAAGAAGGCGGCAGACCTCGTACAGCAAGAAGTTCGCAACGCTGGTACTTCGCTCCGAAGCTTCTTCTCAAAGTTTGCATCCGCACCTCCGCCTCCCACGAAAAGTGTCAAGCCTACGCCGGAGAAGATCATTTCCAACGAAGAAATAGCAGGCGACTCAACAGGCACGATCTTCCTACAAGTGTGTACTGTGGTTGCGGCTACAAAAGTCTCGCAAACTTTTACTAGAGAGATTGAGCGAGCGACTAAGAAATCACCACCCAAGACGATCAGAATCGCTCTTTTGACGAGTCCGTATCAGGACCCATCAGCCACTCTGGCAACAGGCTCCGGAAGTTCAGCTGCGCTTGCCGACAAGATCTTCGCAGAAGTCCTCCCAACCAAGTCTGGACGGATCTTCATCGGCTTTCCTACCGCTCAGACGACGGGTTATCTTGCTCACATCTCGGCACCATCGCTCATTCCTACGGTGGAGCGAGAGAATGTGGATATGAATGCTCGCTACATCTCTACCTGGAACATCGAGCTGCTGCGCGTTGCAGGGTTGGCGTGTCGCATCACCTACGCAGCAGAGCTGGCAGCGTTACAAACTCAATTTGGCAAGGAATCTATGGAGACTTTGATCGCGAAGACTGCGTACGTGTTCAAACAATACACATCCAAATCATCACATCCATCCACAGCTCTCGGTGACAAGATCGACGAGGCTTTCTGGAATTGTTCCAAGGACCGATCGATTGACATCCTCTCGACTAAAGGATTCTTGCCAAGTAAGCGCGTGCGTATGCCAGCAGAAACATTGAGCTTCCTTAACGAGGTTCCTATGGTTCCCCAAGAGCTAGCGAATGGAGCAGTTGACTTCATGCTCAACTTACACAATCGCGGTTTCATCACAGAGCTCACTATGCAGGACATTCGCCAGGGCCTTGAGTCACGGGCTCTGAACGAGGAAGAGCTTTCCGAGTTTCTCAAGTGGTGCGGAGCTAAGCTGGAAAGTGGTGAGATTGACGTTCCCGGCTCTCGCAGTCTATTCGAGAATACCGTCGCCAATATCGATGTTCAGCCAGAGAAGAACTCTGGAAGGATTCTCGCCTTGGGTGACATCAGTACATTCGTAAACCCAGCACGCATTGGTGCGCATCTGCCCCTCCCGCCAGATACGATACCTTTCGCTTTCACAAGAGGCATGTCGATGAAACAACTGCAGCTTTTTGGTTGGGTGGAGCTGTCGATGGTTCGTTGGCTCCGGCATATGACGACACGCCCACAACTGGACGATTTCACCAAGGACGAGAATCTGGCGCTTTCTGTACTGACGTTGACTTCCAAGTGCTGGGAACAATTGGATGGAACTTCCAAGGAAACAGTCGTCAAGATCTTGACTCCTCACACGATCTTGCCAACAAAGATGGGCATGCGGCGACCAGCTGAGTCATACTTCCCTACTGTCAAGCTTTTCGACGACCTGCCGACCGTCACGCCATTCCCAGGCTCCAAGGAGAAGTTCCTTTTAGCGCTGGGGGTACGAAAGACTATCGATCTCCCCATGGTGTTTGATAGAATGCGCAGCCGTGACGCGCAGCAGTCTGAGAAGTCTGAGAAGCCGACCTGGAATCACGTTGACCTTATTCGCTACTTCGCATCCGTCATCAACGAGATTCCTGCGAAGGATCTCAATCGCCTACAACAGACAGCGTTTTTGCCGGGAAACGGTGCTTTAGTAAAGCCGGGCGAGCAATTCAAGGCCTCGGATCTATATGCTCCTGACCCGGCTATTGTAGCTCTGGGTTTAACTCAGATCAACCTGCCGTTCGAGTTCAAGCCTACTACCCGGGAAGGTGTACTACTCTTGCGTCTCGGACTACGACAATGGCCAGATTCAATCACGATCGCAAACGTTCTCCATCGCGCTGGTCAAGCCAAAGATCTCCAGCTCTACACGCGTGCGATGGAATACTTCTTGACAAACTACTACAAGAACAACTACGCCGTAGAGCACCAGAAGTTTGCTGCCTTGACCCTCCCGATCTTGCCAACCGAACAGGCTCCTTTTCCGGCATTAGTAGGCCCTTTCCAATGCTACACTAATGAGCATGCAGCCTGCCTAGGATTTCCTATCCTACGAAGCGACCTTCGCAGTCATGCCGAGAAGCTGGCGGTCCAGCGTGATCCAAGCATAGGCCCATGTGTTCAGTATCTCATGAAGACACCACCCAAGACCAAGCTTGATGCAGAAATGCAGTTTGCTTACCTTGCTTCGCGTGGATCTGAGCTTGATCAATACAAAGGTCTCATACAGAATATTGCGACTTCCAACATCGTACCAATCTTCAGGAAATACTACCTCGATCCTACTTGCAGTGGTTTTGAGGATAGATCGAAGAATCAAACCGGCAAAACTGAGATGCGCATTCATCACTACGATCCACCCGAGCATGTCTTTGTTGGTCGTGATCAAGAGTATCGTGGTATCCTTGATTACGTTCACTATGGTGCGGAAGCCACAGTCTTCCTTCTTAAGGTCGGTGCGAAGCATGAGCCTACTACGCATGATCTTGCATATCTCCTAGCTAAGAACCCTGCTCGCTTCCTCAATACCATCGGCCAGGAGAAATATCTCGATCTCCTCAGAAAGCTGGCCGAGCATGCGGCAAATCTTTGGAAGGATAAGGAGCTGGTCAAAGCACTCGTGGCTTCAAGGCTACTTCTCGGCTACCGCGATATCAAAGAGGACACCAAAAAGGTCGCCGATGCTGGTGACGAAGAGATGGATGACCTTGACGAAGACAATGTCCATCGTGAATGGTCTCTCAATAAGGCTGGCGAGATCGTGATCATCGACAACGTCAACTATATGACGAGATTTCGTGACTTCATCATCGCAGCCCCGCAGGAAGAACTCCTCGAGGAATTTTACGCCCGTTTCGGTGTTCAGAAGGTCTCAGAGCTAGTCAAGACCGATCAACGCATCGGCACAGTGGCACGCGACCAGGCACCCGCCCAAGATCTTCGAAGAGACATCCTGGAACGTGTGCGTCTCTTCCTCCACGAGTACGAACGAGATGCTTCATCAAAGGCTATCAGACACGACGCCAAATGGCTGGGTTCTAACTTGACGGTCCAATGTGTGTCAGATATATCCATCCGCTACTCACTAGCAGAACGCAACGTTGCGACATCTTCACGAAAATCTGCTGTGATCATCAAGGTGCGTGGTACAGGATACGTGCTGAGTATCACACCGAAATACGATCTCTATGAGGTGTCTAGCGAACTAGTCAGATTGCTGGTATCGCGGCCGAAACGCAACGATGCGATCGCGCTTGAGCGCATCTTGACTGAGCCTTTGCGCCGACTGCAGCAAAAGGGTATCAATGTCGAGCGTATCCTACGAAGGAAAGAGCATGAGGCACGCATCGCCAAACAGGCCGAACAAGAACGTGAAGAAGAAGAGCAGCAGCGAGCCGTTGAAAGAGCCAAGTCTGGTCATGGAAAGCATGAGGACAGAGAGAACGTTCCACCCGAGACGCCAGAGAAGGCCAAAGAGATGCCTGGTGCGTTTGGTAGTCCAGACACCGGCATGGAAATCGCCAACCGCGGCCGTCAACCGGAGGAGGATCAGGGCCTCATCAACAACTGGGCAAAGAAGCTTGGGTTCAAGAATGCACCAAGCACACCGCGTGAAGGCACGCGTGGCACAGACGGGCCTCAGATCAGCCGCGACATTCAAGCTACGAAATCGAACATCCAGAATGCTATCAAGGAATGTCGACCTACCGGTATGGACAATATCAACACAAAGCATCACCAAGACCCGACAGAGCTTGACCGAGGAGGTTACTGTAATGGCGAGCAATGGGAGAACTTGCACAAAGCCTTTTCCGTACCCTTCTCCGGTCGACATGTCGATATCTACTACGGTCGCGACGAGACTGCGCCGCTCACCGATTTGCAATCTCACCTGCAAGCATTTCTACCACTCATTTTCGGTCTTACCTCGATCTTTAGCGTCAATCCAGCCGCAGTGAACATCTTCCTCGATAAGAAGTCGAACACAGTGGCCTTCAACATGAACGGTAGTCTGTTCTTCAATCTGGCTTGGTTCATTGCTCTACACAGCGATGGCTGTCAGACCAAGGAAGGAAAGCTGAGGGCGCTGGACAGTTGGTTTTGCACGTACTGCCACGAGCTCGCACACAACCTCGTGGCCGACCACAATGCGCGCCATAGTTGGTACCAGCAGCAGATTATCATCGAGTATAGTCAACAGTATCGCGCCGCATTACCCAACTTTACACATGGTCTTTTGATATAGACGGGATCTTTTTTGTCTGAACATCGCATCGGTAGAGTGATAGACATCGGCGTCTCAGCAGCATTGTATTATCATTATCTCTAGAGTATAAGTTCTATTCATTTCCATTTGACTGCATGTAAAGTCATATCACTCCCTCTTGTCTACCCATCACGTCCATCACGTCACTACACCGCAAGCTCGGTATTCACGTTTACTGTGATCTCCCTGCAAACGGTTGCCTCGACGCCCAAGGCCCCACTCGATATCCGTAAACCGCTCACCTCGACTGTTTTACCGGCTCGTTATCTCAAGGTAAAGTCCGTCACAAACACCGGTCAATAAGACTCCACTCTGACAGCGTACCTTCACTGCAGCGTAGTCGGACATATAAACAATCTCTCCTACTGCTTCTCTCCATCTTCCACCCTCCTCCTCCACACTCTACTCAACTTTATTCCTTGCTTTCCAAAAGAACTTGGAAGCTGCGATTACAGGTAACCCGCAAAGCATGCGCTTACTCCAATGATCTGGTACTAACTTACACACAGCAAGATGAGGTTCACCACTGTCTCCACGATGGCCCTCGGCTTCGCTGCCCTCACCGTCGGACAGTTCCAAACCACGGTCACTTCTGTCAGCTGCGTTGTCTGTACTGCTGGCACACCGACCAACTCCAACGGCTACACTGCTCCGACTACCGACTCGAGTGATCTCACCCGCACCATCACCAAGTACCATCGCCAAGATGCCCCATCCTCGACTTGTACAAGCATCACCGACACTCACGTCGATATCACCGAGTATCTTCCTCCCATTTCCACCCACATTCAATGCGGTCCTGACAAGGCTACACCCACCTGCTCTACCTCATACGAGTGCGGCTGCCACTCCACTCACTATACTCGGCCCTATGCTCCCGACATACATCTCTGCTTTCCTGATGGAACACGTACGATTTCGTACCCAGACTTCGGTGGTGGCCGTACTCAGCCCGGACGCGGTGTCGCTCGTGCGGCAAGGCAGACAAACGCACCCAAGCAGACATGGACGAGGACCCGCAGCCAGTCCATCGCAGCTAGGGCTACATCACAAGACTTGGGTGGACGGTCTCAGCGTCGCGTTGCTAGGGAGGCTGAAGCTACGGCTGTCGTAGCTCCTCGTTGCGAGCCTGGAAAGTTCGGCCCAGGATGTTTCCCGATTATCACACATCCGGTAGCTGACGCTATCGATGCACGCGAGGCCGAGTCTACCGCTGTAGCTGCTCGCTGCGAGCCCGGCAAATTCGGTCCCGGATGTTTTCCAATCATAATCCACCCGCCTTCAGCCAACGCCGTCGAGGCACGCCAGGATATGTCTACATCCTGTTTTCCAGGCCGTACTGGTATCGACTGCCATATATGCATCCCCGGAAGGAACGAGCCTGGTTGCCCACCTTCGCCTTGGCCCCCTGTCGGCGCAGCTACTACACCAGCTCCTACCACGACCACTTCTCACTATGGTTGTCCGAGCGGTGTGTGTGGTCCTGGTTGTCGCTGGGGACATGAGTGCTTCTCGAAGTTAGGACGTGGTGCTGAGGCCACCGCTGTGACAGAGGTTGTACATAGTACCCTTCTTACACTGAGGGCTTAGAATGCTTCGGTACTGGGTTAAGAGGCATAAAGGTGTCTGCACCCTGATCAAAAGTGATGATATGGCGGTACGTATAGGCTGGAGAAAGTCGTGACCTCAGGTCCCAGCTAGACTGCTGGTCACAATACCGAATACAAAAGATTTACCCTATGCATTACCCCCTTGTGAATCTAACCCCACACATCCTCCCACATATCTCAGATCCCAAATCCTTCAAGCGGATACTCCAAACTGCTAATCCTCTCTGGATACAACACACCCCCATTCTTCCTAACCTGGTCCATAACCCTCATGAGCACCTCCGTCTCCTCGAGTCCACAAATCTCGCTCTCCATCTTCCCATCCCTCACACACCTTGCACACTCATCCGCCTCCCAGAACATACCGTGTCCCCCTCCAGGTATGTCTTTGAACTTATCCACAACCTCGTACTCGAAATCCGCCGGCCGACCTCTCTTCTCATTAGCCGCAGGGATAAGCGTATACGTCCTAGGCCTCGGCGCATAATTCACCGTCAAATCGCCCAGCGTACCCTGGATCCTGACCGCATCCCCACCGACATGTTCCGCATTAGGCGTCGTAGCAACCCTGATACTTGTGCCCGCCACGGCCTGCGCACCCGTCCCTTTCCAATGCAACAACACCGTCGTCGTCTCATCGACACCCGTCTCCCCTTTACTAACCGCAGACACGACAACCGGTTCCTCCTTATTCATCGTCTTCCCATGCCCATCTTTCCTTCCCGACTGCTGGCAATAATAACAAGCCATAAACACCCAGGTCAGACTATAAATGCCCAGATCCAACAACGCACCACCCGCCAACTCGGGATTGATCATGCGATGCTCCTTGCCAAACTCCTTTTCGACATCGTTCCAGAAGCTAAAGTCGGCAAAGACGCGGGTTATGGTACCGAGGCGGCCAGACTGGATGATGGAGCATACCTCCCTGCTCAGCGGGAAAAACCTTGTCCAGACAGCTTCCATCATGAACCTCTTCTTTTCCCGTGCCAATCTCCGTAACTCTTTACATTGCTCGGCGGTGACGGTGATGGGCTTCTCTATCAAGACGTGTTTGCCTGCTGCCAGGACGAGGCGGGCGTGTTGGTAGTGGTGGGAGTGAGGAGTAGCTACATAGACGATGTCTACATCTGGGTCTTCAACGAGTTCCTTGTAAGAGCCATATGCTTTTGCCGTGTTGGGCGGTACACCGACATTGGTGCAAAAGTCCTGGGCTCGTTGTGCGGATGTTGAAGTCGCGGCTGCGACAACGACATGCCGGATATCGGATGCGTCACGGGTTCGAGGGTCGATGAGGAGGTCTTTTGTGAATGCTAGGTGGGGTGTTAGGAAGCAATGGTATGTGTTGGAAAACAAGGGGAGAAAATATTACTCGTTGCTATGCCTCCGCAGCCTATTTATTGGGATTAGCATGCTTGTTCTCTGGCGTTAGGGGTAACAATGCATACCCAAGATGCCCCACCTCAGGGTAAACGGTTCAGAACTCATCTTGACAGAGAAATATACTGGAGGATATGGAAGGGGAAAAGGAATACGAATGAGAACAGACGCCCTGCATTCTTATCATAATTGCTGTACAGACGTGCCGAGCCCATGCCATGTCCACTACGCCCTGGCTTGTGTCGATGCTGCAGGTACATGCGTAACATCAGTGGTGGGCGTGTTGACAACCTTTCGATTAGAATACCCCGCAGCGGCTGTGTAGACGTGAGATGGGCCTGACGACACGACTAGCGGAGAGACGGGATCCTATCCGCCCATCCTTCAACAACAACAAAGAGGTTTCCTCGTTATACATGGTTGCAATCGTGAGCAGAACAAGCCCAACCCAAGCTAAAAGACGGGTGAAATTCTGGGTATATACATTTTCCATGCTCACGAGCGATTTCCTTGGCTAGGCCTCGCGTTCAAGAATGCATCTTAGTCGTGCACGTCGTCTGATGCACGTGTACGACTTTTATGGCACTCGCATATGAAATCCCGCCTGGGAGATGAACTCTCTGCTCCATACATGACAAATACGGTGCGAAGAGACCCGATATGCACCGCCTACCATGAATGCGACCACTCTGGAGATGACGTCTAGGCACGGCGCATGGCAAGCTTCTTGCGCGCCTGGACAGTGTAGGCGTACAGCGCATCCTTGAAAGCGAAGAGGAAGGCGGCAGTAATAACACTCTGGGTGACCTTGGGTCCGATGCCTATCAGCGGTTAGCACACATGCCATTTGCGTCGCAGGAGTTGCTATCGTACCTCCATACAAGCCAGTGTAGCCCTCCTCCCTGATGATGCGCCTGAAGGTGGTCAACATATCCTCCCTGGGCCCATCTCTGCCGGCAACGTGCATGCGACTCTTGACAGTGATGTACGGGTAGGTAATGCTCGTGGCCAACAACTTGCCCAGGGCACCCAGGTAGAAGGCGTCCTTTGGTGTGACGCGCCTCCTCTTCTCGAGCATCTGCTTGAGCTGCTCGAAGACGGTATATTGGAGGATGGGGTTGATGACCAAGACCAGGGCAGGCATGACGCCGGCGAACAAGCGCGCAAAGCCCTCTTCGCGCACAAGGGCGAAGAGGGTGCCGAGCGTCGACGGGGCCTTCTGCGGGGTTGCAGGAGCGCCTGGGAGCGACTCGTCCGAGGCCTCGGACTTGCGCGTCGTCATGCGCGTGTTTACCACCCAAATGGGGTTGGTCATGAGGACGGTGGCGCTACCAGCGAGGGCGCCCGCCATCATGGACTCGACGGTTGTGAGCTTGGAGGAAGCGCGACCGGCTTTGAGCGCGGCCTTTTCGAAGAAGGAGCGGGTCCATTCGTACCCTGGCTGCTGTCAGTCGCCCATTGTACCGCATGCCGTATCAGAAGCAGGTGTCTCGCACAGTAGTAGTAGACAAAGTTTGTGACGCTGATGCCGAAGAGGGCCGAGTCGAGGCCGGCGTAGAGGCCTGCGACGCCCTCGCGCTTGATGATGCGGCGCGCGGCATTGAGCGTCGACGACTGGGCGCGCTTCGATTCGACCTGGGCGCGGGTAGAGAGGGTGATGAGCGGGTAGCTGGGGGCGTGTGTTAGCAGCCCGCCGACAAACAGTCATCATGGCGCATACGTCAAGGCCATGGACAGCAGTCCTCCTCCAGCGCCCGCCAGCGCATGCGCGACATTGTCACTCTGCTGTGCCGCCGTGCTCTGGGGCACCGACGAAGTCGACTCGATGAGCTTCTCTTGCGCCTTTTCCTGTGTTTGAGACATGATGGAGCCCTTGTCAGAGGCAGGAGCAGCCGAGAAAAACAAGAGAGGGAATGGAAAAAGAGAGAATAGACTGTGCAAGGAACAGCGTCAAAAGGGAAGCGTCTTCCAGGGCTCCTCTGATGGCATGTGTCTCCGCATTTGAGCTGCGGTTCCGGCAGGCTTGTGAACGTCACCAAGCGTTTCCGGGGTAAGAGATACAACCGAGGCAACAACTTCCCCGAGCTAGTCGCATCCGGCAATCTTCACCAAACTCCAACACGTGCAATCTCCAAACTCGATGCAGTACACAACACACATGACAGCAATGCTTACGATTGGTCCTTGCTATCTTGACATCATCTCCCAAATATCCTCCTCTCGACCATCCTCAATGGTACGTAGAGCACCGCCGACAGCACCACCGCTACCTCCAGCCCGATGTCGCCCGTAGTCTCCGCAATGGGCCCCGTCCACCAGATCTGTCCCATACACGGGATGATGAGAGCAAAGGATACAAGGAACGCGCCCATTGCCGCGACCCCAGGCGGGAGCTTGCTCGGCTCGTCCCACGCCTCTTCATCCTCGGTGTAAGCCACGAGGCTGCTCCCTCGGAACAGCACGTGTTCAGTCAAAGCGACACCAATAAAGGCAGCACTCCAGTACCCGATGACTCCGATAAAGTTCTCGAGGTTGAGGAAAAAGCTCTTCGATGCCTCGACAGCCACGCCAATCACGATTCCAGTGATGACGATGCTGAAGAAGATGCGCGGGATGCGGAACAGCCAGGGAAGCAGCATCTGCAGGTTTAGTGTTACACTGTACATTGTTGCGGACAGGTTGCCCAACATGCTGAATGCCAGCACAACCGTGACGAAGCGACCAAAGCCGCCTGCAGGGTGAAGCATGGCTGCCAGGACACCACTCGCTGCGTTGACATCGTACCCAGCCTGCCATGACGCCATGTTTGGTGTAGCGCCGCCCATGGCTGCACCCAATGTCATCAAGAGGATTGTTGGGAGAGCGAGGCCCGTGTAGGTGTAGAGTGCGATCCGCAGCGGAGGAGCCTTGGGATGCATGTACGTCGAGAAGTCACTCGCCAGTGCAGCCCATGGCAGCATGAAGCTTGCCACTAGACCACCGAATGAGAGAACTTGCGATGCTGTAGCAGCAGGTGCTGGAACCTGGTGGCTGAGATTCTTACCCCCACATCCTGCAGCAATGATGAGTGCCGCCAATGCTGGGATCCACGCCCACCGTTCGTAGTGATGCAGTACTCCGAAACCGCAGAAGGATATGACCAGCGACAACACGACGATGATGACAATACCAACGGTTGCGTTGATGGTTGCTCCATCTTGTACTGCCGACAATGCCATACCACCAATGACACTATCGACGACGCAGAATCCCGTCAGAGTAGCAAGATTGAGCAATATCAGGAGAGAAACAAAGTACTTGCCAAAGGAAAACCTCGCCTGGACAAGCTGTCGCATACCCGTCTTCGGTCCCCACGTACACATGTATGCCACCGGCACAGTGCTCGCAAGCGTGAAGAAAAGGATAACCAGTGCCGCGTCCCGCAGACTCAATGCAAAGGACATGGTGCCCACCATGCCGAAAGTCACACTGCATACCCGTTAGCTGACATGTACGCGCGAGTTCCCCGGCTGACCACTCACGGCAGGGGGTTGCAACTCATGCAAAACCAAAGCGTGAAGATCTTTGAATACTGCGTCTCTAGACGTTGCTCATACGGCACAGGCGTACATCCTCGTAGCTCAACATCTCCTTTCTTTTCCAGAAAACTCAGCACCCCTCTCCACCCTCGTACTCTTTCTTGCTTGCCCACCGTGACATCGTCGCTGCTCGAGTTCTCCACTCCCCCTACTGCTGCTCCCACTTCCCCGACCGAGAGATTAGGCCGCTTGATGTCTTCGTGCGGAGCAGCCCTGCTACTTGCTACCCCTACGTCGGGCACATCTGCCATCTCTTTTGCGTTTGGCTAGGTTCTGGTTCCTTGGCTCCTGAACGTTTTCGCCGCTCCACCCCGAGATATTGCGCGCCTAAGGTTTGTCAAGCTCTTTTGCAAGCAACCACTGCCAACAATTCCCGAGACGTTGGTTACAGGGCCGTCTTGATTGACCCACCGGGCTGATCCAGCTACTATGTCCAGCTATGGCTTGCAGTGCGAAATATTGGAACGGGCGTCGTCCAAACTGATCGGTCGTGTGATAACGAATCTAGTCCCCCGGTGCGGCGTCTTTTCCTCAACTGAAGGAAATTCCGGCCTATATACCTGAATCATTTGCTCCACCCACAGTATCGTAGTTATGACTCCATCATCAAGTGGCGTAGTAGTGTGCGTGTTATCGTGGGGAGAGAATTTTTTTTTCTTCCCTTAAAACGTGCCCTCTTTTTACCCTTACCTTGTGGTACACGGCTTTGATTGCCCGCGCTGGGCTTAGGCGCGCACCCGTCGGCACCGAACGTAAAATCGACGGCGGCCCACGACGATCTCGCCCACCTCGTTCTCTGCTAAGCCGACAACCGTCATGTTAGCCGTTTAATAACCGCGTCTTGCACCGTAGCGCCCACAGGCCTCGAGGACCAAACTCCGACATGACGGAAGTGTGGGATGTGGGCGTGTGGCATGCATGTCTCTCGGCTGCATGCTCGCTGCGCAATGGCCTGATTATAGACGCGCTTGCCGACTTCTCGCCGGTCTGCCGGTCTATCCCCATCATCTTGACCGAAATGGGTGGGCAGCGTCCAACCACACAGCGTGCGGTGCTTGATACTCCGACGGTGATTGTAGCGTCTTCGGGAAGAGCAGACTTGTTTATCATGGACGTTGGGCGCTGCGGCGTAGCCTTGCATGAGGCTGTCGCTCTTCGCTCTCCTTCATCTCGTCTATCGTCTATTTGGAATCCAAGTCTTTGGTCATGGCTGCTGCTATGGATGACAAGCAGGAACCCATACCGGTAGATGAGGCTGCTATAGCACCTGAGCTACCGGTAGAAGGTGAAGTCGAAGTACCATACAGTATATATACGAGCAAAGAGAAATGGCTCATCGTAGCCATGGTGGCTTTGGCGGGGTTCTATAGGTACGCTTCTTCTCTTTCCATTCCCAAGGTCATATGAGGTCATGTCTAACATAACCATAGCCCTCTCCCAGCAAACATCTACTTCCCAGCCATACCAACACTTGCCCGCGCCTTTGGAAAATCAATAGAAGACATCAACCAAACCGTTACCGTGTACCTGGTATTCCAGGGCATCAGCCCTATGCTGTGGGGACCCATCAGTGACCGTTTCGGCCGCCGCCTCGTCTACCTGGTGTGTCTCGGCATCCTCGTCGCATCGAGCATCGGGCTAGCCCTCTGTCCCACGAATCACTTCTGGTTGCTCCTCTTCCTGCGCTGTTTCCAGTCCGGAGGTAGCGCGTCCACCATCGCCTTAGGCGCAGGTGTCATAGGCGACATTTCCACTTCGCGAGAAAGAGGAGGATACTTTGGCATGTTCAACCTCGGTCCCATGCTTGCGCCTTGCATCGCCCCGGCCATCGGAGGCGCGTTATCGCAGGGATTGGGGTGGCGATCCATCTTCTGGTCCATTGTCATCATGGTCGCAGTCTGCCTCCTCTGCATCGCCCTCTTTCTGCCCGAAACCCTGCGCTCCATTGCCGGCAATGGCAGTATCCCTGTGCCTCGCTTGCAACGCGCTATCCTACCCATTGTAGGCCAAAAAGCAACGAAAGAAGCTTTTGACCCCGATTCTCGCGCTAAGCCCAAGCATAGCGTCAACCCATTCGTGCTCTTCAGTTACCCTGATGTCATTGTGTTGCTCACGTTTACCGGCCTCGTCTACGCTGTCAATTACACTATCACCGCCACCATTTCTTCGGCCTTTGCAAGGATTTACCCGGACTTATCGGAGACGGTGTTGGGACTTTGCTATCTGCCTGTTGGCGCTGGTATGATTCTGGGTTCTACCATGACGGGCAAGATGCTCGATTGGCAGTACGCGAGTATGAAAGAGCGGTGTGGTGACAAGTTCACGATTGAACATGCGAGGCTGCGCATCATGCCCTTCTACCTGAGCCTCTTCATCGTCTGCGTCATAGGTTGGGGTTGGACGATCCAGGCTAAGGCTCATATCGCCGTGCCGCTTATTCTCGGCGTCATGCTCGGTTGGACGTCAATCGGCATCCTCAACACGACCATGACGCTGAACATCGACATTCTGCAGTCGCGCAGCTCGGGCGCTACGGCGTGTACGAATCTTGTGCGCTGCTCGCTGGCTGCCATCTTGGTGTCTATCATTGATCGCCAGGCAGCGGCGTGGGGCGATGGCTGGACCTATACTTTCTGGGGCGGCATCTGTTGTTTGCTGCTGCCGCTCATGTTGTTGGAGATTAAGATGGGCCCCGTGTGGCGGAAGAAGCGGGAAGCAAAGGAGATCGAGTCTCAAAAGGCTTGATCGGAGAGGATTCGGAGAGGTAATGAGTAACGGCTGTTTGATTGCATAAAAGCACTATACCCTTTTGTTGTCAGTTTAGCATAGCGTCGCGTCGTGCGCATCGAGTTGAAATACTATTTCCTCAATTATTCAATTGATTCATGATACGCAAAGAAATTCCCATGTGAACTTGCTTGAGTAGTTTTAGATGCGCAGTGGCCATCACAAAATGTGAGTCTGGAACACTACTTGGAGATTCGTAAACTCGAAAGTCATCAGAAAGGTATAGGTAAGAGGCCACTAAAGACAATTTTATCCTGGTATCCATCTCGCAGTTCCAGTGTCTTCCCGTAGCTCCAATCTGACATGATGCTGTGAACAGCATCACATTCAGTCGAGGAACTCTGCATAACCTGGGAACTCCAGTGCTATGTTTCTCAAAGGATGCGCAATCACGACACTTGTGCCTGTAATGTCGGTCGCATGACCACGGCAGTAATGATACTCCGGCCACCGATGGCCATTTCCATCCCTGATCAGCTTTTGACCTGGGAGTTCCTCGTCCACTTCAGCAGGTTTGAAGCTAAGAATCTTCAGGTTAGATCCTTGCTTAACCATGAATCGCATAATCTGGTTGGCAAGGTTCTGCATCAGTACCTGAAGGAGAGTCGTATGCCGCATTGGGAGTAGATTTCCGTCATCGGTGGCATCCCAGAAGTCGTGCTTAGTTACTGTGAAAATTCGGAAAGCCCGTATAGTCGTAGTTTTGGAGATCACAGTCTGGAAATCTGTTAGCGGCGGAGTGGTCAAGAGGGCGAATGGAAACTTGCCAACATATCCGCAAAATCCGCAGGAAAAGAACTACCAGCTTTGAAACCCGGAATATCATGTGCATGCGCATCCAAAGTAGGCATGTCGATCGCCAGCCTTTCCAATTTGGTACAAGCTTCCAAGATGGATGTCATGTATTCAGAAAAGGTGTCTCCCCATTCGTCCCTTCCAAAGGTTATCTGAAGCGAGATGAGCGTTTGACAGTGAGCCAAGATGCAATTTTTGGCAATGGGCCCGTGCCTTCTGAAATCCATATTGAGACTCTGGAGTTTGGGGCAATTCTTGAGCAGTCTTCCCATAGCTTGAATGGTTTCCAATGGCTGATCTAGGATTTCAGGAAGGAGGATTATGAGCCCGTCCAATTGACCGGTACAGTCGATATAGAATGAAGATAAGCCCTCTAAGAAAGGAATGAGGTAGTCGCACTCTCTTATCTGAAGACTCCGTAGCTTCGATAAATTGAAGTTCTTACAAAGCGTTTGTTCTCCTGGCATTGCAATGTTCAGGTGAGAGAGGTGTAGTTCTGTAAGGTTAGAGAACAGTGAAGCTTCTTTTCGGTAATTGAACAGCGCAGACAAAGAAGTCTCAGAATTTCCTGATACTGGACCGACGCCTCTATCGATCAACGCAAGATCTTTTATCTTCGGACAATAGCGAGAGACGGACTCAATGCCGTTGAACACGCGCTCAATCGAGGCTTCTTTTGCCTGGATATCCAACGTGATGAATGAAACCTCAGGCAATAGTGAACCCATCGATTTGTGGTGTTCTCCAGAATCGAGGTCAGACGATCCGAGACAGTCAAGACTAGTGGACCACGGAGAATCCCACATCCATTGGATGTTGCGTTGAGACAGTAGTAGAAGGTACCATGTCAACGTGTCCAGGTTGATAAATGTGTAGAAACCACGAATCCTATCTCGAGGAATTGCTGCAACGACTAATTTCAACCGATCTTCTCCCTTTTTTGTTCCATGGATAGTTAAGTAACGAACGTGACTCAAGATGCCTGAGCGCGGATGTAGCAATGTTACCATAGATTGAGGGGATACGGTGTCCAAGTCGGTCTCAAAGTCCTCCCACATCATGGGTGCCATATGGTCTTTCCATGCGCGACTGACAAGGCAGATCGCGCCTTGGTCAGGTTTCTGTCGCACCTAGATGATCGGTTTAGCATGCCTGCTATATCGGGAGCCACTATATGACCAGACTTACGAAAGCGAACACATTCCTGACCATCTCAGGTGGCAGATCGGAGAACGTAGTAGGCGCCATCGATGGGTGTGGGAATAGGCAGGTGCAGTGTCGATGGGGAGCTTGCTGCTCTTGTCGAGAAGAGAAAATCTGCAGTGAGTGGAGTGAGAGTCAAGTGAGAGTAAGGGAGCATGGTTGGTGCAGTGTTTACCTTTCGCCAGGACTTACAGACACGAAAAGGGTCATTCACCGCGCTATGCTACTTGCGCGTCGTCAGGCAGCAACAATCGTACGGAGAAGTCTTCTTAGGACATCTGTCCAACAACTTCAAGTTCTCGCCAATCGTATACATAGTGATCTGGTAGATTTGCGACGTAGGATACACCATATACCCCTACAGTAGATTTTCAAAAGCATCTGATGCGGCTCGAATGTCTTCTACTGCTGGCCAATTTAGAGTTTCCTCTGGCCCGTTGTTGGACAAACATGACATTTGAGAGTGGACGAAGTTCAAAGAGGGTATGGACAGTATGGTCAGTGCAAAGGCTGGATTGTCTCTTCTTGCATCTTTGTTTCCTGACTCTATCATATCCATACACGTCAAGCAGAACTCTTACGCTATGGCACTAGTAGCCCAGCATAGTCCTTGGCAACGCCACCAAATGCAGAAGATCGACACTTCTAGACATATGATCTTCTGGCAAAGTTCTGTATGATGAAGTTATCGGGAAACTCTCTGTACGCAGCTTTCAATGGCACGTGCACTGCTACATGAATGCCAGATCCGCCTTGGATATGTCCGCCGATGTAAGTGAAATCACGCCACCTGTGAAATAATGGAACAACGGTCGTGTCTGCTGGATTTCCAGACATACTCTCAGCTTCGACGTGAAAGACGTTTAGAGATGTGCCGTGCTGCGCCATGTAGCGAAAGACTTGGTTGGCAAAGCTCTGCATGGCTGAATTGTAGGACTGAAGGATGACTTGATCGGACGCCATTGCGAGAGTTCGGTGGTCGTTCGCGTAGTAGTCGAATGTGAGCTCAGGCAAGTTGAGCATTCCAAGAGTGTGGAGCGAAGAGTATCGCGAAATCAGAGCCTGCGATGCCAATTAGCAGGGACCAAGAAACAGTCAGACTTGGATTACGCACCAGAAGGCCCTCGGAGCCCTCTTCACTTTCATTGAAGTGCAGATCTCGACCTGGCTTGGTGACAGACCCCAGCCTGATCCGCGGAAAGTTGATCGCAAGACATCTAAGCCTCTTGCAGGCCTTTAAGATGCTACCTAGACCCTGTTTTGAGTATACGCGCTGCTCAGGCCCCAAGGTGCTAACGACAAGCGAACGCAGTGTGTCCGCGTGAGACAAGAGAAAGTCTTTGCCTACAAGGGGGCATGTGGCAAGTTCTAGAGAGAGGTCCTTGAGTTTGGGACAGGCTTTGAGGAATCCCTCAACGGAGCTGATAGTTTCCACTGGCGTAGGATCATCTTCTAGCAGCTGCATTGATAGCACCTTCAGCGCCCCAGACGTTCCAGAGTACGACTTGGTCAGGCTGTCCAGGAATTGAATAACATTTTCGCATGACATGATATTCATCTTCTGCAACTTCGTGACGTTAAAGTTGTGACAGAATGGCTGTGAACCGTGTGGCACGAGATTCAACGATTCGAAGGTGACAGATGTGAGTTGGAAGAATAGTTGACCTCCAATTGCGTAGGAGAGTATATCCTGTAATGAGTCTGGGAACGTCCTTGAGTCGATGAATATGAGGTCTTCTAGTTTTGGACATGCATCGAAGGCTGCTCGCAAGATTCTGAAGGTCTTCTCGGGTTGTCCATCCTCCTCCACACTGTGATCAAATTGTATCTGCTTCACTTCGGACATCATGGAGGCTGTCCATGAGTGATAGTCGTAAGACAGAAAGTAAGGGTCGCCTTCCTGGCTCAGATGCGTAAACGCAGTAGCGACTTGGATGCTTTCGAGTTTGCGTTGCGAAAGCAACAACTGCTGGAAGGTCAAGTCCCCGATGTAGTAGGTGCAGTGAATCGCACGAAGTTTGTCGCGTGGAAGCGCTGCTATTAACAGCCTCAGACGATCTTCCATGTCATGCACAAACGTCAGGCTGCATATCTTCAGTTCTCGTACGTGGGGCAAGATATTGGAATTCGGTTCCAGTAACGTTTTCAAAGAGCCGCTACCAGGCGATGTCAAGTTGGTTTCGAGCTTTTTCCACATCACAGGTGCCATGTTCTTTCTCCATAAGCGACTAACCAGACAGACGGCGCGTTGGTCGGGCCTCTGGCGTACGAATTCGAACACGTTTTGAACCATCTCGGTTGGCAGATCAGCGAAGGTGCTCATAGCTTCTGAATGCCGAATTGATCAGTTGAGAAGGCGTTGCAGATCATATAATAAGCAGATTCTTCCTGATTGCGCCATCTTTGTTACCGTTTGCGTACCACCAAGATCAAGCAGCTTTGCGAACCCTGTGACTTCAGTGCTGGACGTCACCTGGGAACAAGCTCATTTTTTTAGACTCACCCGGAACAGGAGAGGTAGAAAGCCCAGCGAGCCGAGGCGAGAGTGAGCATACGGCACCTTTGAGGTACCTGTTGTGATTTACTTTTCAGCTTGATGAAGGAAAGATCAGCGCATGCCATCGTGATAGATTTTACCAAGGTAGTCTTGAGAAACAGAAGGGTGTAGTGGAACCTCAGTTGGGAAGTCGAGATGGCGTTGATACGCGTCATTACTCTCTGTCGTCGGCTGGAGTGTTGATACGAAATTTCGATCGTATGTTAGTGACATGTTAATGACATTCGATTTGGAGTAGCTGAAGACTAGATACTGGGCGCTTCCTAGCTTGGGATGGAAGCGCTATGCATATACCGTACCTTGCCTCTTCCTCGCATCATGATGCTTTTTTAGACTCTTTATCGTGTCAAAACGACTATCGGCCCCAGATAGCGTTGTAGTCGTAGGTAGTGGCAATACGCCCAGAGCGAGGTTTGGCCGGCGCATGCCGGTTAGGGTAGTAGGTAGTCCTAGAGAGGCTTGGGGTGCTTGCCACTCGATGCACATTTGTCGCATGTTCATGGCAGAGTGTAAATAGGCAGCCAGTCAGCGTGCAGAAGAGGGACAGTAGGGGTGATGATGGTGCAGCGACATGGGGTGCAGTCAGAGGTGGTGCGTTTGGAGGATCCAAAAATAGAAGCGACGATGCTGGGGTACCCGCTCAGCTGTCATAACTGACCAAAATGCCCCGAAGCAGGCAGGCACGACCCGCCATAACACCTGAAGGACCGCAAATTACCACCCGCTGGACCCTCGACGACGCGACCTCATAGCGCGCTGCCACGGCAAACGACGTAATCGCCCTCTCGCGACGAGAAACACCTCGCGACGGGAAACATCTCGCGACGGCGCTGGGCGCATCGCATCCTATCGTTGGACCTGTTCGCGCTGGACTCGCAGGCCCCGTTGCGACAGCAGCCGCTGCCCGCGACATCCCGCTGGGGGGCTGAAGAAGCAAACCTTGGGCGTTGATCACTCTCTACGGGCTATATCCATGGCCTGCTATTGGTGTTAGCGCGGTCGCGATTCATCCCCAGGCTCTCATGGCAAGCTGACGGGCCGAGGAAGCAGCAGAGCGCGACACACCGTGGAGAACCATGCAGGTCGACTTTGGCGACGAGGCAGAGACGGAGCACAGTCTGCACCTGACAGCCAACGCCCACCAACACTACGAACACCCCGGGCCTGGCAGCGGGCCGGCCTACTCGCCTTTTCGGCACCCAGGCGGCGGCCGTGTACCAGCAATCGATCCGGGACTGGAGCAGAGCACAGGTGCCAGCCGCAATGTGCACACGCCCATGTCGGCGGTCCCCCATCAGGCCCAGTCCAGTCATCTACTTCAGCCCGACAATGCCAGTCACCTCGGCCACGGCTTCTATGGCGACATGCGCAGCTCCCAGACTCCCCCAGCGTCTGCGAATGCCTCGCCGCGCTTCGCCCAAACCTCCCCCACCAGCCAGCCGCGCCAGGTGACCTCGCACTTCGAGCCCGCCGACCGCGACACTCCATCGCGCGACGTGTCCGACGACACCATCGACCATGCCTACGCGACCTTTATCCTCTACTGCAACCCCAACTTCCCCACCACCATCGACACGAGCGAACTCGTCAAGCTGTTTCGCACGCCGCCAAAGAGCGACGGAAACGCCTTCAGCACATGGACCCTCTTCGAGCTGATACGCAAGTTTGACGCCAAAGAAATCAAAACATGGACACAGCTGGCCCTGGATCTGGGAGTCAAGCCGCCAAACACAGACGAGGGGCAAAGCACGCAGAAGGTGCAGCAGTACTCCGTCAGGCTAAAGGTAAGAGCTCTTCAATTCACTGTCCTTCCTTGTGGCCGGCAATCGCCGGGTCGTTTTCATACCAATACATTGGTTCTTCAGTCTTTTTGTCTTTTGGCGTCATTGGTTCCAACACTGTGTTCATGCATGTCATCCGGATCGTGCGGCGCAGTCGATATCAGCCTCCAACGCCTCATTGTGATCGAGACCATGTAGTTGGTATCCGGCGCAGTATGTGAGCCGAGCCACTTACAGGACTGACGTACCTGAAATGAATTGTACTTCTCGACTGGGTCGCAGTTCTGGTTTCTGCAAGGCAGAGGAGTGCGCAGAATTTCTTGTCGCGACCTAGCCATCTTGAATTCGCGATACCACTTGACAACTCAGTCCTCCTGAGCTCTGCTGACTATCAACAGCGATGGATGCGCGCCATGCACATCGACGCCTTCTTTGAGTACCTGCTGGGCAAGCAACACCCCTACTTTTTGCAAATACCCCATCCCCACAACCCATTTCCGAGTGAAGGTCGTGATGGGGTTCCTCTGGAGGAAGACCTGGCTATCCGGGCTCTCGATCCCAAGTTCAAACCCAAGCGCGGACGACGGAAAGCCGAAGATGGGGATGACGATATTGATTTCGATGAAGGCACACCGGCCCGTAAGCGCCCACAGTTGGACACGTCAATACCGTTTGGCAACGTGCTGCAGCCCCAATCAGCGTATCCTACAAGCGCCCATCCCAACAACATCCACGGAGGCTTTCTCACACCTCAAGATCCATGGACTTCAGTCTCAGCCGTCACGCCTTCTTCAGCTTTGACAGCAGCTTCAGCACCAAGTCGTCTAGGTCAAAGTAATCTGACTCCATATTCAGATTCTCCAATGTCTGGACAGCATATACGGTGGCGACTGAACACGCAGGACACCCCTCAGACCCCTCACCCACTGTCCGCCGTAACTCCACAGTCTGCATATCCGTTCTTCGATGACCCCCAGTCTGCTGTCACCCCGTCCAGTGCGAGGTCGCGCTCTCGTCGACGTCACGGTCCTGCTGTGTCGTCGGCATGGTCAGCCAGCAACACCTCGTCCACTGGCAAGCTACGCGGTCGACCTCCACAAAACCGTTCAATAAGAGACGGACCTTACACTACCTTCCCAGCCAACCCCAAAACGAAAGAAGGACCACCCATCGACCGCACACCAGGCAATCTAACCCCCATTGTTGAGCGCGCCCAATCCGACCCCCCAGCTCCTGAGAACTCCTTCCGCTTCCCCCCAACCCCCGCATCCGCCATCTCGCCCTCCAAAATGGAGGGCCAATTCACAGGCGGCATGCCCCAGAAACAACGCCTAAGTCTGCAAGTCCCACCAAACGTCGGAAACCCTGTTGTACGCCTCGTCACTCCAACCGTCCTCGTAAACGGCGAGGAAAACTCCTCCCCGGGCACGAATCTAGGCCCCTCACCCATAAGCGCTGCTTCAACCCAAGTCTCACCTGCCCATCACCAATATGAGCAACAGAGTATGTATCAAAAACAACCCGATAGACCGACGCACCAGACATACCACGGAGCACTTACGCCTTCGGAAACACCGGCGCAGACAAGACCGCCACCACCAACGCGCTCGCAGACTTCTCCAGCAGACATTTCAACCGCCACATCCCCACTGCCGGCTATTGCGCCCGAAACGATCAACCGCGCCCTAGCCGCAGAGCTGATCCGCGCTCCACTAACCAACCGCCGCAAACGGTTGAGGGGCAACGAAGCCAAAACACTGGCTACAGCCATCTTACAACCGCTCTACTCAAAACCCGCATCTGGCCATTCTTCCTCGACTTCTCCCGCGAACAGCAAGGTCATGTCCGATTCTGCTCTCGGTGTAGCTATAGCGAGTTGTCTAGGGCTTACTACTGCGGTTGGTGTGGGGATTGGCGGACCGACAGGAGGCGTGCGGCGTGTAGAATGTATACGCTTCCGTATTGGCGGAGATGGGTACGAGTCACCTGTTGATGACGAAGATGAAGAGGGGGAGAGTCCGCGCGATGGGACAAGGATTAAAGAGACATTTGATGTTTTCTTCGGGGTGAATTTTGGGGGTTTGGTGGGGGAGTGGGTTGTCAAGGGCCTTGAGGTAAGCAGTTCAAGTGAGGAGATTGGTGAAGCTGTAGGAGAGAGTTCAAGAGGAAGTGATGAGTTGGAAAGGAACGAGACGCCAGCGGCGTGGAAGACCAAGTTCCTCGACGCACAGCGCAGATTGTGGGAGAAGGAAGAGGAGGTCAAGAGTCTCAAGGATAAGATTCTTGAGGCTGTCTTGTAGCAATCTGTTTCGATTCGCTTGACAGCACAGGGGTGGAAGATGCTGTATTTTGGGAAGGATTTCTTGTGTATACTTGGGCGTATGGTTGGGAGGTTGGTTCTGCTATATACCCCAGTTGCTGTTTTGGGATCGGATTCGGGATGGATGGGAAAATCTTGTATGTCGGAATTGGATGTGCGCAGATAGCATAGCGTGTATAGGCTGTATTGGAATTGTATGCATCATATTGTCATATCTTGGATGGCCAATCATGTGATATGCCTTGCAACCGGTTCTAACATGGGTATTGTTTATGCGTCTTACGCCACCCTCCAAAACATGTCAAGCTTCATCCTTCTCCCATGGCTTTTTTCTCTTGGGCTTACTCGGCTGCGTACCCTGTCCCTCCAACACGGTAGGGGGAATCTCTTTGATGCCCGGCACCGGTTTCCCACTCGTGATCAACTCGACGATGTGCGCAAATGACGTTGGGTATGGCGCGGGTGGTTCGCTTGTGGTTGTCGGCGGTGGCATTATACCACTTGCCTCGGTGCTTGGAGGCAGCTCGCTAGTTGTGCTCATAGGCAGACTGGTTGTGGACGCATTGGGTGTAGCGGTGCCGGGTGGGAGCATTTCGTCGACGACCGAGGAGGCGAGGACGTTGTGGGGTGTTGGCGGGGTTGGAGGAGGTCGGTTACGCGCATTGCGGTAAGCTTTGTAGGCGTTGAAGTCTATGTTCTTGTTGTATTTCCTGGAGATTTGTTAGCATACTGTCTATGATTGTATAGGTGACATGGTGGCGCACCTCGCATAGTAAAAGCATCGCGCGCGCAATGCTAGCTCCGTCGTCTGCTCTGGAGTACTGTTGCTGCCAATGATGGCTTGCAGACCGGCTTGGAACTCGATGTCATCGTCCCAGTTGTAGCGATCTAGGGCCTCGTAGATGTCGTTTAGGCCGTCCTCGGTAGTACTGGTAACGCTCATGGCGAGGAAGAGGGCAACCAGAAGCCCAAACAAAGAAGCCTGGTCCAAGTATAGAAACCTCTAGAGAGAGCAAACAGGTCACGACCTCAAGGGCCTAGAAACACGTGGGTTCATCTGCTACGGAGAAGCATGGATGCAGCCTATCGGGCTTGTACACACTGCTGGTGGTACTGTGGGGTAAAGGTAGCCCGAGGTGGATGAATGAGGCTCAAGCTTCCAGGCTACGCCTCGCTAAACGTGCGCCAAGTTTCTCAGCTTCAGCCCACGACCACGGAGCTCTCCAACCTTCTCTCACCCCTCACTCCTCCATCCACCACTTTACCTCTTCACACCCACTTTCCCACCTTCTTTCCTTGTTCATTGAGCTTCAATTCCTTTCGATACCCGTTTTGATACCCACGTTACACAGCCATGTCCGAGTTTATCGGGTTAGTCGCAGCTCTCCAATTCGAGCTGGAGCTCCAGCTGACGTCGGACGCGTAGATCTCGCATTTCTCTCATCTCAAAGAGCGACATCCGGTGAGTTTGACATCGCGTCGGTCCATTGTGCGACGCGACTGACATCCCGCAGCTATGTCGGCACCCTCGTTGAGATCAACTCAGAAGCCTCCACAGTCTCATTAGATAATGTGCGCTCCTTTGGCACAGAGGGGCGCAAGGGCGGCAAAGACGAATACCCGCCATCAGACGTCGTTTACGAGCAGATTGTCTTCCGAGGCAGCGATGTGAAGGATCTGCGCATTGAAGAGCCTGTCAAGGAGAAGGCCCAGCCTGCAATGCCCCAGGACCCAGCCATCATCGGAGTAAGTCTATGACACCACCCTTCTTTTTCTTTTTCGATGATGTAAAATTTTCGGATGTAAATCATTTAAACCACCGAGAGCGCAAAACCGTGTGGATATTTTCCGTTGCCTTCCTTCTGAGATCCTTGCCTACAATCTGTTTCTGTCACATTTTGTTAGAAGCAAAGCTGACGCGACGCATGCGCCACAGGTACAACAACCCCAGTCGCGGCAAGAAGGCAGTCCACAAGACATTGCCGGTCGCCAACAACCGCCGCCGAATTTTCCTCAACCAGGTCAATTCCCACCTGGTGGATACCCTCCCTTCGGTGGACCTGGCGGCCCTGGTGGTGCATATGGCAACCGATTCGGTCCTCCAGGTGGTTTCCCTGGCGGTCCAGGGCCTTTCCCAGGTCCTGGAGGCCCACCGGGCGCATTTGGCATGCCACCGCCTCCATTTGGTGCGCCTCCAGGCTGGTTCCCTCCAGGCCAAGGCTTCCACCAGCCTCCTGGTCCGTTCTCGCCTAACATGCCCATTGGCCCTCCCGGCTTGAACCAAAACCAACCCCCACAAGGTCAACGGGGCCCGTCAGGTCCCCAAGCAGGCAAGGAAGAGAAGCCAGGTCAGCCACAGCAACCAAAGGTCGCCGAGGCAGACGGTGCATCAGCCAAGCCACAACAAAAGAACGGCGCGAAGGCATCTGGCTCAACACCAACGCCAGCTGCTGCTGGTAAGCAGGCTCCTCCACCACCAGTCGACTCAAAGCCCGATGTTTCGGCTGCGTTGGCACCACCCCATCCTCAAACCACTCAACCGCCGTCCAAGGGTAAGCCTAGCGGACCCAAGGGTGGACGAATCATCCCCGCTGTTCCGATTCCAAGCCCGAGAGCAGCAAAGACGGCTCCTCATGCCCAAGAAGGTGCTGCCACTTCTGCTGCTCCCGTACAAATGCCCAGTGCTGCTCAGCAGCAGAATGCTACTCAATTAGCAACTGCGGCTGTCGCCGAGGCTATGGCCAAGCTCAACCTACAGAACAAGGGCCAGGCGCAAGGTCAACCACCAAGTCAACCTCCTGTCTCAGATCCCATGAACAACCTGGCACAACAGGTACAGGGCATGCGCGATCAACAGAGCCGTCAGCACCAGCCCCGTCAGCGAGGAACAGGCGAGTTCCGTGGTCGAGGCGGAAGAGGAGGACGGGGTGGCGCTCATCCGCAACACCCCAAGATGGAGGTGCCCACAACCGATTTCGATTTTGAGTCCGCAAACGCAAAGTTCAACAAGCAGGACTTGATCAAGGAAGCCATCGCCTCTGGCTCGCCAATGGGTGATGCTCCAGCTGTTCCAGCTGTCGAGGCCGCAACCACAGAAAAAGAAGAGGTCGTCATCCCTGGTGGATCCATGTACGACAAGAGCTCTTTCTTCGATAACATTTCGAGCGAACTCAAGGATAGGGAAGAGGCTGCCACGCGTGGCCAAGAGTTCAGGAGCCAAGAGCGTCAGAAGAACATGGAGACCTTTGGCCAGGGTAGCGTTGATGGCTTCCGTGGTGGTCGAGGTCGTGGACGCGGCCGTGGACGTGGTCGCGGCTTTGGCGGCGGATACCGTGGTCGTGGAGGTGCCCCAAGGGGTCGTGGCGGCGCGGACTTTGGGGCTCAACCTGCCGCTTAGTGGGTGGGGGGACCGGTGAATCCAAACTTCAAAGCGGCGTTACCTTGATGGCATCGCGCAGCTCTTCCAGCCATCTTGTTCTGTCTTATGTTTTTTCTCTCAGCACTGCGAGCGTGTCTTTTGTGTCTCTTTTCCCACAGCTCTATGGGCGTGGGTATGACTTGGATTTTCCTGGCGGCGTATCTAGCGACCGTCTTTGTATTTGTAGATATGAGGGCCTGATGTCAAAATGGAGGCAAAAACTTGGGAACACCTGGGGGTTTTACTCAGAAGGTGTATGGGGTGGGGTATGGGAAGGCTTGAAGCCAAAAAGGCATATACCTGCTATGATGATGAATGAAGATTATCAAGTCTCGAGTTATATGTTTGTTTGGCTATGTTAATGGTGAACTGTGATATATTGGAGCACTATGGCTGTTACGCTATTACTGAGGTATAGGGGAGTTTTCCTTCTTTCTCAAGAACTACCGGAAGGTGCTGAAGCTATTGTCCTTGTACTTGCTGAGTCAACGCACCCCTTGAAGAACGTTCAAATCCCTCATCTGCCGGGATGTCTTTCATAGTTACCTGTTAATAGGGCCAAAAATCAGAAACTCAGCCAGAGGTGTCGGAACAGCAACAATGTGCTCCTGACCACTCATGGTACGAATCGTGCCGGGTTTGTAGAAGTAACGGGGCCAGCAATGCCCGTTGTCATCGAAGCCAGGTCGTTTAGCAGAATTCATATCTTCCGGCGACATAGCTAGAGCTCTAATGTTGGATCCATTCCTAGCGAGCAGATGAAAGACTTCTGTAGCAAATGCATGCATCATTACTTTTGAGGTATAGATGTGCTCCTCTGGAAGGCCAATCCTCTCCATGATACTCGGGTTCGGAATCATCCCATAATCGATGCTGGGCACTGTGAGAATCCGCAGTGATCGGAGGTTTGCATGTTTCGCAATACGAATCTGGTCCATCTGTTAGCAATTGACTTATGCATGGAGATTGCGTACGTACTAGGAGGAATTCTGCTTCACTGAGAACATAGTCGTTACTGGTTTGCTTGAATAACTTGAACTTGGCACCGAGATGTTCAACATGACCAAGGTCGATCGGACAAAGACTGATTGCTAAGCTCACAAGTTTTGGCGCTTGTACCAGCACCTTATCAAGTTCAAGGGCGGAGTAGTAGGGACCTTGCGTTCTCGATGAAGCTGCTAGACCAAGACGCTTCAACGTATTTCCATGACCAACCAGACATGCTACATCGATCAAACGCCCTTTGCCGACGTCCAGCCAAAGCCTTTGCAGTGAAGAGATGGATTTCACCAGAGTCTCGATCGCTTGTATGTTCGTATTGAGAGGAGTCGAAGACGGATCTGCTATTATCTCTAGCTTTTCCAAAGCCGGTACTTGTGAGGCTCCTGAGACGAGCGCAGTAACAAAGGCACCAATATTACGGCAGTTCTTGACAGAAAGCGCACGAAGAACGGAGAAATTGATGGTTGTGAGCAACGAGGCAGGGTACTTCTTGAGATTCAGACAATGAAATTGAAGACAGTCCAGCTGTAGAGTCTGAAGCCCTGGTCCTGGCCCTCCAAAGGCATCCTTTCCATGGTTGTCGTGTAATGAAGAGCTAATGGAGAGGCCTGCTAAGATCAGTTCCTTGAGATTTGGCGTACTCTTGAGAAGATAGGCGCTGTTCTCGTACGCGTTATGCACCCTATCATCAATGACAACTCGAAGGTTCTTGATGTTGCGCAACGTAGGCGTGACCCATGGACTATGCGTGGCGAGACACAAGTCGCTAGAGAGGCTTGCATCGGAAAGCAGGCTTCGAAGCCGAAGTGTTTTGAGCGCTTGCTGAGGTTGAAGGACTCTGAGCAGTGTAGTCATGCTGATGTCAATATAGAATCTGAGTGTCGAAAGGCAATTCTTTTGGAGGGCGCCAAAGATGAATTGAAAAGCGACCCCGAATTCGGAATCCATCACAAACTCTGTCGTGCCGTCCCGTCCTGCAAAGATGTCGACAGAACACACGTGGGTAAGGACTCCGTTGTTTGGATTCAGCAGACAAGCCAGTTCCCCCGGTAAGGTAGTTGCGACTCTCAGTATAAGATGTTTCCAGAGGATTGGCGCCATTATATCTCTCCAACTGCGACTCACAAGACAAGCCGACTTTTTGTGATCGTTTCGTCGAAGATGGCCAAAGATGGTCGCTTTTATCTCAGTCGGGAGATCGGAGAACGTGGCGGTGATGCCTGGGTCGGCCATCATGAGGGAGGGTTGGTTCGCCGCGCTGGATACTGGGAATCGAGGGAGTGCAAGTTAGTCTTGACAGTGGCGTGTGGTGTTTTGTTGACACTTGTGAGGGAGTTCGTTTGCTCTCTCTGATCAAACGGGCTGTGCGCAGGCAGGTTAGCGCCCTTCTCTCGTCCTTCACCTTCACAGTGAAGACACTTACGGTGCCCTAGAGGTACTTGTCGTGTTTTCAAAGGCCTGTCAACAATGTAAAGCATGGCGTCTAACTTGAGAGTGTTTCCTAGAAGTATAGAACTTGGGAACGGCAACTGCTTTCGCACGTAGCGTCTTGCATTCAAACAAGGCATTCGAAGATGAGGGAACGCCAATATGATGATGGAGCGAACCGCTTGACTTACACATTCCACTTCCAATTCGTAGAGTTTGAAGAATCTCAACCAAGATTGTATATTTGCTCAGGACTATAGTCGTATGCCGAGTGCATGTCCTAGTGAAGGAGTCCCAGTGACGATTCGACGACTCTCTAAGGCCTGCTTAGGATGATAAGTAGCATCTTGCACATGTCCGATCAAGGCTGCCTCAACGTAAATCACTGATTACCCACGGGCTTGAATTTGTGTACTTCTTCAGCATGTAACTGTCTTTGGCATATCAAAATCTGAAGGTCTCCCCGGCCGGATACATCCTTCTTCCGAGCCGCTGCCAGCTGTAGACGCAATGAGGTACTACTCTACCTAGTCAGTTAGTCGACCATAGAATGCCGCACTAAAACGACCTGGAGAGATAAGAAAAAAGGCGCATCGTGTTTCGCCTCAACATGCAGCTCGTGATTCAAGTGACAGACAGAACAATGCGGTGCGAAAAGATATGAAGATGTTTCTAGCAGGCGCCATGATGTAGATGTACGATTAATGACGTAAGCGCAGAGGGTCCGAGTCTTGTCCGGGGAACTAGCTCCTTCATACAATGGGCACCAGCTCCAAAAATAAGACACCAAGTCATTACTCCGACGTTAAGCCCTACCAGCCAAGCACCAGCCTCGTATTTGCGCCACTACTAGTATATGGGATGACGTTTGGTAGGGTTCAACGGCGCAGGTTGATCACCAAAGGGTGCACCTCAACTGAGATCGGCAGCCTGCGGGCCGTTTCGGTGGCACGCTTGGATACACCAGTGACACCTTACGCGGCCAAATATCCGACGAACAATAGGAGTCGGTACGCTCGGGTCTTGGACATGTCGTTCATGGAAATAAATTCCGCACAATCCGTTGGATTCTAGTATAAGAGGCAGATGACCCTCGAAGAGTTGTTTGATACAAAACCAGACTCTGACCCAACAAAGCTTACCACAACACGTTAACCTCACATATATACAACCTGCCGACCAATCACACCAAACCTGTCAACATGGTCTCCTTTACAACTCTCCTCGCATTCGCTGCCGGCGCCATCGCAGCCCCCACCACCCAAACCGAGCAACCGAAGATTCCCTCCAACTGGACGTGGCACGTCGAGGGGTGGTCAGCCGGCTGCGCACGCAGTGGCTGCTACTATGACTTCAACATCTCGGTACCGAGCGTCGAGGGCGAGATTCTAGGTGTCAAGGCATACTGCTCTGGCTACGAGAACGGCTGGTACCGCAAGGGCAACTGGTACGCACCCTGCCGCATCTTGGAGGGCGTCAACAACGGCGTCTCTGCAAAGTTCAGCGAGAGGACTAGCGACACCAGTGGTTCTCCAGACCAGATCTTGTTGAGTTTTGAGAAGGCTCCCTACGAACCGTTGAACACGTAAGTCTTCTTTGTACCTTCTTGCTGCTCTCAAGAAAAAGTGAATATGTGACTGATGGATGGACCTGCAGAACTGGATACAACTTCACTGGCTCTCACGAGGCGATCTACAACCAGTTTGTTGCGCCCGAGCAGGAGTTTGATGTCACACCTACTGCGGTGACCATTGTCGAGTAAAGAGTAGATTGTTATTGAAGTAGTCTAACTGTTTAATCTTCCTGAAATTCACCATTTCAATTCCAATATCTGGCTTTCTTAAATTCTACATTGGTCCTCGATGTGCTTCGTAGAAGGCAGGCAACAGAACCCTGGAAGGGGAGTATAGAAGGTGCGTGCTAAGGTATATACCTCCTCCCTTACCCGAACAACATCGTGAATGCTCTTAGTTCTGATATACACGTCTAAGAACACTAAAGTCGCAATATGCGTACATGAGAAGTAGATGTAGGTATGTATGATGTGCCACTGAAGCTGAACTACTTCCTGGATTCGGAGTGTATCGATGAAAAGCGCGATATCGGGTTGAACAGGTTTGTGGGTAACGGGACAGTGGGCAAGCTTACATATGTACTGGTCCCTTTTTCACCAAACCGAAGACTATACATGCGCTGAATCTATCGGATCTGGTTCTGGAACAAAGTGTTTCCTCGCAGTAGTTGGCCCTTCTGCAATCTGCCCCGCTGACGTCATGTGATTGAAGGCCTCAATATGTTTGGCTTCTTCTTGGGCGACCTTACATCTTTTCACTACGAGCGGCTGTAGTACGTAATTACATGGCCTTTTTTCGAGATTTGCACTGATACAAGATGTTAGAGGCTGCCGTAGGTATCCGGCGCTCTGCATGAACATCGCTAACGCATCTATTGTTCCCCGCAGCTCTTGCAACGTTGCCGTTTCCCCATATTTTGTTTACCAACGAAGAGTGCAAAGATCCGGACCAACTACTGTAGGAACTGATAGGGTAGAGTTGGCCATCCTTTGCCTGAGAGTTAAGGATGCAGTCTTTGGGCCTGCTTCGGTCCCCGCTCCCACATCGCTAAACGCCCGGATGAACGGGCAACGCAAAGGAATGCGGCCGAAGGCTGGCTGCATATGTAACTTCCTTATCCAGTATCCTTTTGACCTGCCGGAAACTGCTGCCAGAGAGTCTAGCACTTATCGCAAACATGACCTTTCACGAACGCATGCTAGATGCGCATCGGCCGATTCGCCAGAAACAGTCAAAATATATTAGGTGTGGAGCGAAGCGTGGGATGGCCGTCTTCTTCTTCTTCTTCTACCACTCGTGGATATGTAAGACTCTACCTCATGAGCCACTACGCCTCATGTAACGAGGAGGCACAGTAGTGGAAGTTACGAGACTAGAGCCAGATCACTGTTGCCTCCCATTCTATTACCTGGTAAGATTTCCATCGGTAGGATCAAGTCCTAGGATTTGGAATGCATAAGCCTCTTCAACAACATGTGAGATTTGCGCTATAAAGACCTTTTGTATTTCAATGCGACATCGTAGTTCACACTCTTTCTATCGATTCATCTGATTCTTTTACTCGGCCTATCTCCTGATATGAAGCTTTTTGCCAGCCCACTGATCGCCTTCTTGGCCTTGTCTTCATACACTATTGCCGCTTCCGTCGATTTGTTTCAAACAGAAGACTCTCTCAATGTCCAGCTGACTGCTTTAGAGAATACGGTGGTTAAGGTAGTCATTACCAACACCGGTGACACCACTTTGAATCTTCTCAGCACCGGGACCCTTCTGGACGATACGTTGCCTGTTGAGCGGGTTACATTGTACTCTAACAGTGGTTGTAAGCGGCAAGTTCATTTCTCACTACCCTAACCAAGAGTGACCACATTGAATACTTCGTTCATCCGCACCTCTATAGAAGCCACGGTTCTTCAAGAGTTGGCTGTCCTCACACTGTCATACTAGCGGAATGGGTTGTCGCTGACAAACACTTAGCTACGAGGGTGTTGTTTGAGGGTGTCACGATTCAGCTTAACCCAAGTACCTTATCTGCCGATGACTTTCTCATGCTGGAGTCCGGGGGTAAGAGAGAGTTTGCCGTCGAGACTGGTGCATTTCGCGACCTGAGCAGCGGTGGAAGCTTCGACGTATTCGCCAACGGCGTGTTACCTTACGCCAATGACAACTCCACCGAGCTTGTAGGCGCTTTGAGATACGACTCCAATAGACTCACCATCTCTGTTGATGGTACTCAGGCGGCTGCTGCTCGCGAGTCACTAGCGAAACGTACTATCGTCGACTCCGGCTGCACTGGTGATCGTCTTACCAACCTCAGGACAGCATTATCGAATTGCCAAAAGCTGGCATCTGGTGCCGCGACAGCAGCCGCAGCTGGAGACAGCAGGCTAGGAACTTTCTTCAAATCAACGTCAACAAGTGTTAGGAACCAGGTCTCTGTTCGGATGAGCGCAGTTGCACAGGACTGTGGCACCTCATCACCAGGAACGACATCGTACTGTACAGACCAGTACAGCTTCTGCTCGGGGGGAAGCATAGTCTCGTACATTTTGCCTACGCTGAATTCCATCACGTACTGTCCAATCTTCTTCACTAGCACCATCCCGATTACGACGGGATGTAAAACATTTGATAGAGGAACTACGATTTTGCATGAAACGACGCACGCTTCGAGCGTTTACAGCCCAAGCACGCAGGATTTAGCATATGGATATGATGCTTCGGTTAAGCTTTCGACTGACCAGGCGCTGAACAATGCAGATTCGTATACGCTGTTTGCTAATTGTAAGCTCGTGCTCCGTCGCATAATATGAGCTAATAATTCTGCAGATGTGCGTCTAAACTGCCCGTAATGTCAAAGAACATATTGGAGTCTTCGCGAAGAGAATTGAGATCATGAACGACAGCTTGAGATGTTGAAGAAGGGTAGTATCCGAGAAAGCATTGAATTACTATTGCCCGCATCATACTCTTTGCACGATTGCTGTTCGTATGTGACAAGATACCTTGTCTTTAGCGTTCATCCCGCTATACGCCTTCCGTAGTACCTGTCCAGCTCCTCACACACCTCGTAGCCGACACAACACTCTCAGTCATGTTCTGACCAAATTCTGTCGCATCCTCGTAACGTGAAAGTGACTGAACATCGAGTGGTTCAGCCAGACGACGACAGCAGTCGGTGTTACGCCGGCACATATTTCTATGTGCCCACTAGTTTTAAGAACCAACTGTAAACAGATGAATCCGAAACAGTGTAGGTTATCAGAAAGACTGTATTACCAACTGGTACTACCACCGCTGTAGCGGCGCAACAGCGAGCTATCCGGCAGATTGTCAATGTCAAAAGGAACGGCTGTGAAACGCTCTCTGCCCGTCGGATCCGAGATACGGCCACGGATGTAATAGTATCTCGGCCATTTGTGACCATTGTGATCAGCTTTCGGTTGCTCAAATTCATTATAAAGTGGGCAGAGCCCAAGTAATGTAATGTGGGAGTTGAGCTTGTGAAGGAAGCACATGACTTCAGCAGCAAGCTTTTGCATCATCAAACTCGCGGTCGGCACGTAGTTGTCGTAGATAGGTTGTCGGTTCCGCAGAGTGGGATTGGGATCTGGGTCCATGTTGTAGTCGATACTCGGTAGCGAGAGTATCTGCAGGGTATGCAGGGACCGATGGCGTGCGATGCAATCCTACGGTCAGATTAGTCAACCAAGTTTAAGAGAATGAAGATATGATGACTTACTAGATATGACTCCAAGGCATTGGAAACACTAGTATCCCCACTATCGAGTACATCAAGGGTGAAATCTGTGCCGAGTAACCCTGACCAACCCATCTCTATGGGAGAGATGTAGACAGCCAGTTGAGTCAAGCCTGGAGCCGATTTTAAGATGGTGGATAGATCGACGGCAGAGTAATATGATGCTGCATTTTCCGCGTCGATGTTCAGTCCGAGATGCTGTAATGTACTGCCATGTCGAGTGATGCACAAAATGTCCACAGGCCTTGCTTTCCCTACATCTATCCAGATAGTTCGAACACCAGAGGAGATTCTCAATAGATGCTCAATCGCTCGGATATCGCTCTCTAGCACGTCGCCTTTCATTAATATATCAATCTCAGTTAGGCTGGGGTCCAGTGATTGCCGTGTTGCGAGTGCTGTCAGGAATGGTTCGACGTTGCGACAACAGTATAGTGAAAGAGATTGGAGGCAAGCAAAATCTATGTAGACAAATGCTTTGTCAACATGGGATGTCGCCAAGTCGAGGTATAGTAGGTTGAAGCGTGAGAGCTGAAGTTGCTGTACGGTTATGTCGTCTGCATGTAATCCCCCGAGGACCTCACAAGTGAGTAAAGGATCGAAAGAAGCATAGTTTCCTTCTTCATCTACGTTGCCGTCAATAGACAAGTCGCGAAGCTTTGGAGCACATCTAATCATGTATGCGCTGTTTCGGTATGTGTGATCACCGGAGCCGATGCGAACCCAGAGCTTTGTCAATCCACGTAGCGCAGTAGTGACCAGCGATCGATGCATGGTGATCCCGAAATCAATGGGGAAACGACTTATCTTTGGCTTGTCCAAAGCTATGTCGAGATTTCTCATCCTTTGCTGGTTGTGAAGCAGGGAGAGTAGATAGGCCGGCTCAAAAGGCATGTCACTTCTAAAACCGAGTAGCCTGTTTTTCGGTATTGTTGCGATTACGACTTGAACTGCGGCGTGGAAATCATGACTCAGATCCTCGTTCCACACCGGTTCCCAATTGGCAATGAGTTGGCGGACGTGAGGAAGTATACCACTGTTGAGAAGCATCAGTGTTGTCAGCTTAGTTGTCGAGATTGTTCTGGGATCCAGTGTGAGTTCCTTCCACACGATAGGCGCCATGATATCTCTCCATCCACGGCTTACAAGACAAACGACTGCACGTTCCGGTTTTGTACGAATCCAGGTGAAGACTTCAGCCTTTAACTCGGGGGGAAGAGTCGTGAAATTTGATTTGGCAGCCATGATTGGTGGTGGTTTACTCTGTGTGGCGTACGATACTGCTGGTTTTGGTTGATGAGATGAGCAAAGGTCACTACGAGGTGTTGGTTATATAGCAGGTAGTCGGGGTGTGTGTGCACAGTGAACATATATACATTCAAACCTAGATATGAAGGACTTTCACCGCTGTACAGGGTGCTGTCCGCACATAGAGGAACACGTTCAGCTAAGCTTCGTTTCACAGCGTTGCTGTGTTTTGATGATCGAGTATGGACCTATACATTCTCAGTGCCAAGAAGTCATGATCAGGAGACGATGATCTCTACACTCATTACCGTATTGCGGCAATGGAGTGTAGACATCGAGTGATTCGGCTGCTTGCATCCATGGTCAGGCCTCATATAGCGGAATTTCGACTTGAATCTCGGGTAGCTTGGCGAATTCATGGTGCGATACTAAACCTATTTGACAGGGACTCCGTGGGCCTGTCAAGCACCGGGCGACCGTAGAAGCCATGTGCCCGGACTGCGTCCATGATCACTAGGTATGTATAGTGGTGATGAGCCAAGATGGTTTGCACTTATACCTTCGCTCGCTTATATACGTATCGCGAGTCGTGGGATGAAAGGAGGTGCTCGTATCTGAGAGGCCGCCAGACCGCACGCAGGGTGGGTGGAAGATCGAGGATTTTAGCATTTACTGCCAGGCGGCTTCAGCCCTTTCCTTGGTACAGACCTCCACATGCTTGCCTCTAAGCTGTGACGCTGCCGAGCTTTTCTTCTTATCGTCCAACATGTGATGTGATCAACGCGCCCCTACGCTTGGATGCTCGATCCGTTACGGCCAGCCCCTGAAGCGTGGTGAGATTCCTGAAGCTCTTGCGCATGAGATGCCACTTGTAATGCCAGTGAAGAGTGGACTTCATGAAAGACAATGGGCGCATATCTCATGTAGCACGCGATGGTCGTGTTAGCCACGCGAGGTGAATCGCTAGACGTGACGCCGTTGAGGTGCGAGCTACCCGAGGATGCTAAATCAATACGATTACATAAGACCCCTCCGGAAAGATCGCCCCCGCATAACCTCATGTCTGTAACACCACTCCTCCGGACGATTGCTACTTGAAGATACTTCTAGTCTCGTTACCTCATGAAGTAAGATGCGGCGAAGGCGTTTCAGATATACTAAAACTCTATCACAGAACATAGCACGGCCACAATCTGAACAACTTTCTATTGCCAATCAGCTCTGTAAACATGCGCACATCATTGTTATGGTCGTTGGAATCAGGAGCGTAGAAATAACAGGGGTGAATGCCGTGCTCATATCGAGATGAATATACTTGACGTTTCTGCTTATCTACTTTGATGGGTAGGCGTTTATTAGAAGAGTAGGATAGCCCCACCAGGACCCTATTCCGCCACTATCTCCACACCACATTCGAAAAATTCTCTTCGCGACCCACCGCCAACGACCGATATCAACGAAAGTGGTCGAGAGCTGCCTGGTATCATGTACGCCGTGAATAACGGCAATATATACATTCGATATGATCATTCTCTCATCCAATCAGCAATCTTCAATAGTATAGTGGTCAGTATTTCCGCTTGTCATACCAGCTTTCGGGCTCTTGACAAATGCGCGGGAGACCTGGGTTCAATTCCCAGTTGGAGAGCTTTCACAATGGATTTCTTTTTGCCTTTTCGTCCAGCTGGCTAGCTTTTATATAGAATTCCTTTTTATGTTTTTGTCCTTTGTCTCCCAACACTGTCCATAGAAGGTGCAGCGGTGCTCTTTTTTTTCGCGACGACTCAGCTCATTGAGCTTGCGCAAAAGTGGTAGATGCTGTGTTATCACTCTTTGCTCCTCTTCGCAGCGTAATGCGTGAGGCTCACTCATATTCAGTCAGTGAGAACCAAAACGCTGCTCTTACGGTAACATCACACTGCACTTATTATCAGTCGCCTGCTGTCGCTGGTGCACATACATAGCTATGCGTCTAGGGTACAGGCGCATGCTGACATGCTAATGAACGGCTCGATAGAAGATCGCCATTGGATGTCCAAGGTTGAAGCAACTCTGCCTAGACTTATACAAGATGAACCCGGACACTCTAGAAAGCGACTTTCTCGCCCCGTGTCCTCCCGTACCGTCGAAATCGATAGGGTTCGAGAAAGCAAACCTTGACAACGAGCTAGAGAGTTTACGCACGTCTTCGTTCAGCCACTCGAGAATGGAGGGCAGCGTCATATCTCGAGGGCTCAAGGTACGAGCATCTCGATTGCGAGACCCGTGAGGGACTGGAAGACAGAGGTTTCGGAAGCAAAAGTACCGAATGAGTTATGAGTCTATGAGAAGAGCCAACAATGTCCAAGCGTGAGTTGTACGACAACATCTGTGTGCATTTTGTCTAATGCGCGTAGTAGCGATTAGACATACCGAAGCACAAGACTTTAGTGCCTCCATGATGTACTGGTATGCTGAAATGTATTTCCTGTTGATGAGACACTGGTATGGAGCGCCATCCAACATTCATACTAGTATCTTATCATCAATGCGAAATCTGTGTCCTCTTCCTCTATGTCGTGGTTGCGGGTGGCCTTGCCTGTTGCCTGGAACAGAACCAGCCTAGCGCTATGCAATACGGAAGGCGCAACCCCAGGTTCTGCGCCACCTCTTCTCATTCATTCTCAACAACAACCCTCGATATTTTTAGCATGACGAACCTTTCCGATCTACCGGCGGAGACACGACGTGAAATCCTCATACACGCCGTTAGTGTCCGTGGTCTCAGGCGCGGGCTGAGGTTAAGGCTTGTGAATAGTACACCCTCTCATTCCGCCATTGTGATTGCAGCACTGCAGTATTCTGACACTTTGACAGAGGAGTTCTCTCAAGAAGTGAAGAATGCGCTCTATCAGTCCCATATACTGGACGATTACCGGAAGACCTGGTCGTTTACGAAGCCAGAATTGAAGTCTCGATTCGATGCATTTTGGCAGCCATATCTCACATGTAAGATCATGCAGAAGAACTGGGACGACACCATTTTAGATGGACGCATATATCGTGCTACCGAACGCCTTGTGCAAGATATGCCCGATGACACCCGTCGGCATCTCCTTGCTCAGATGAGCACTTTTGAGCGAAAGGGCAACGAGGAGTTAAACGAAATTGAACTATATGGGGGCATATACCGCGCTGCCGAGCGTCTTCTTCAAGTGAGCCACCCCGAAGAAAGGAGCAAAGAGATATCGCACGAGGTTTTGAAGCAGTATATTTATGCTTTTTGTTCGCACCCGGGGCGCATATTGAAGGGGCCACGTATCACTAGCAGGCGATGCAAGACCTGTGCGTTCAGTGGTCCACTATATTTCCTGGAGATGGCCCTGGTGAACGACTGCCAAGAAGGAATCAGGTCTGCACTCAATGACCCAGCTGTGGACGACATGTTTTCGCATATTGTCGAGTCCGAGTGTCGTCATGCTTATCTTTGCAATCACAATATTACCGCGACAGCTGCCGAGTGTGGTAACTTGGTGTTACTTGCAAAGATCTTCTCGAACCCAAATGCTCAGCCAAGTCCAAATGTTCAGCCAAGGCGAAATGTACTTCAACGACTAGCCTGTGATACTGCAATTGAAAAAGGGCTTTTGGATGTCGTAAAGTTAGTCATGGATCTATGTAAACATTCACCAGATTTCGACCCTAGATACGACTTGGGTGAGGTTGCAATATGCTTAGGAGTGTTGAGAAGCCGATCGGTCGATTTTTGCTCTCAGCTCTTCCAACTGTTGGCACCCCACTTGGACAACAACAATGGTCTCGGGAAGAGAAGACAAGGCGATCGTCGTCTGACAAAGAGTTACTTTGAGTACAGCAACATTTTGCGCATCGTCGCATGGAGTAGCCCACAGAGAGCCGATGTCGCAGAATGGCTTCTGGATCGCGGAGCTTCTGTCTCGCTGACGGTACATGGGGAGAGAAGGTTAGTGACAGGCATTCAATGTGGATTTTGGACTCCGCTTGAACGAGCCGTCAAAGGCGGTAACGAGAAAATCGTTCGTCTACTCTTGGATCGTGCGCCGGCTCTTGACACTTTTCAGACGACTTGCTGCTATGAAGAGGCCGCAAAGCAAGGGCGTCTGGACATAATGCGCATGTTAGTTGAGTACAATGCGCGCGTTGCACCGAGGCTCTCAACGGTGTGTCATGAGCGGCACTGGAGGTGTACGCTGATGATGCATGCCGTACGGACAGAAAACGAGGGATTGTGTCGATATTTGGCTGAACACGGAGCCTGTGTCAGTGACAGCGCCTTGAATGTGGCTATCGATGAATCGCTGGTATCGATGGTCCAGCTGCTGCTCGAACTAGGGGCCATCGTTACAGACCATAATATCCAAAGGGCAAAACTCTTGCGACGTCCTCGTCCTGTCGTCCCTCGGGTTCTCCTTGACCAACGAAGCATTCGCAAGTTCCGGTATCCATATGGCTCCCTAGATGGGGGAAGATACGCTCGGATGTACACTTTCCTCTCCGATACTCTCCACCCGAGGGCATCAGAAGTCATTGCCTTGCTGGAAGCACACAACAATGCCAACTGAAGTCGCCTTGAGGCATGTGCTAATCATTGGTCGGCAGCTGGACCTGCGCCCTGACGCCGTCTCAAGCGCGCTCGAGCTCGTCGGCTGTCAACCGGACAAGCGAAACGCACGTTCTACGCACGCTGTACGCAGGGAAATTCCGACACATGAAGGACCTACATCGGCTACCGAACCCCCCAGCGAACAACGCGCGATTCAATAACTCCATCGAACGCGTTGCGCAATGAAGTCCTTGCATAGCACATCACAACAATTTTCAGCACGCAAACTTCCATCTTAGCAGACTATTGAAAATCCACAGCACTGGGCGGTCCGTGTTATGAGTCTCCACGCACACGTGCGCATCTGCATCGTCAGATCTGACATGTGTAGCACCGACAGCGCTCCGAGTAAGGAACCGATGGAATGCACCACCTGTCAACCAGTCAGCAGAACAGCAATAATGTAGAATCAAGTGGGGACACCCTTGTTCAAACCCAGTGAATCGCATCGTCCCAGTTAGATGCCAAAACAATATGTAGCGGTCACGAGGCCCGATACAGCGGTGACAACGCGACGTATCCCTTCCCTAAAAAAGCTTCAAGTGCTTTGCATCATACCCTGTCCAGTGACAGTACCATGCCTGGACGAACGTTTTTCCATCGCGCAGCACGCGCATCACGCGCTTTTCCCGCTATGGAACAAGATGGTTGCTCAACGACCGCGTCGCCGCGCCATCATCATCGTCACGTCTGCCGCGTACATTTTCCTCCTAGCCACGACGGCACACACGCGGCATCTCTCCATCAACCCCTCTACCTTCCGCCTTTAGCACACACACACGCGGCATGTTCGTGGCATTGCCATACCCACGCGATCCTCCCTCATCTCGCGTCTTCCCTTGATCCTCCTCCTTCATCCTTCAACGCCTCAATTCATCTTATGCTCTCCCACCTCCGAAGCTAAGAAGCGGCTGTTTCATGTTTTTGCACATCCTTGCCAGCGCACAATTCTGGTCCCTGCGTCACTAAGCGTGCTAGGTAACGACGTTTGTTTCGAAACCAACTAGGGTGAGAACCAGGTCTAGCGAGAAAGTTGATGATGCGAAAGGACACCGTGCGTGGCTAGGTGTGCTAGGATAAATTGAAGACAAAGCCCACCACCACCACCCCAGCCTGTATCCTGGTGAAGATCATGTGGAAAATTGCAAATGGCTTCAATTCCGCGATCCTGCGCACGCGATCCTTTGATGTCGCTGCAATTTGGACCGGTCTCTTGGGGTGTCTGGAATAAGAAGGTTGATGGATACTAGACTATTGATTTAGGATGCTGGCGAGATGAAAGATGTTTTGCTAGACGGACAAACAACACGCACAAGATGAACTTCTTGGTGATCTTGCATATAGCCGACTTGCTTGTGATCGTCAACATTCCGAACAACCAAGACCGGATCGTCAGTCGTCGGCCAGCGGGTGTTGTCTCCCCCGAAGTCCTCCCGTCTTGTCTCATCATACCGTACTCTTGATTGTACCGTTGGTCGTGTGACCGCGATCCCGCTCTTTACCAGAGACCCAATACTCAATCTGTTACATAGGGCTGGGTATGGCTTTTGCATCCTGTTCATCATGCCGCCTGTTCAGTCTTTTCTGCTGATCGGAACCAATCAATCTGTCACATAAGGCTGCATGTTTGCGATCTTCAAAGATTGGCGATTGACGAAAGTTACGGAACGCTGATCGGCAGCCTCGGGTACTCTTTCCCGTCGTTACTGGTAGACAACCAGAGATAATCAGGAGGATGGTAAACAGATCAACGGTTGGGTCGACCGGCTTGGCCGCCTTGGGAGTCACTATGCGGGGCGGGTATAGGATTGTTGTAGATGATTACTTGAACGGGTGGGTATGGGAAAGTGTAGATGGAGATGGACAGGAGGATGCGAACGATGATTATCGCAATCACGGTAGTCGATAATGACGCGGTCGGTGTTTTGGGCTTGCTTACTCATGCCTGCGTCATTGCTGTTATTGGTGATATTGCATGGAGTAGACATGATTGATACGCACTGCGAGGCTGATTTCGTTGGAGTTTGTGTACCACGTACTCTCCCGGCAGGCTGTGATGTGCTGTAAGCTATCCTCCATGCATTGTTTTTGTTGCGCGTTGTCAACTAGACTCCGAAGCAGACCGACTACACAATCGGAAACATAAGCTGCTGTCGTCCAATGAATTTTAGTAGTCTGTCTGGTGACGCAACGCTACCAAGTGAAGTGCTGTTCATGCATGCACGCGAACACGTCGTCAGGGTCCAGACTCAAAAGCCATCAAAGTTTTGAAGACGAATATTCTTATTGTTACGGCACTTAGGGTAAAGTGCGTCACTGTGCGTGAGCGCTACTCTCTCAACTTGTCCTGCCTTTCTGCAGATCCACTAGACATTGCGTTTGCTCGAACCAAGATTAACACCCCAACAAAAATCGAAAAAGGTATCTCCCCCACATCGCATGTCGCAACCAGAAAAAGATCCACCGCCTAAACAGGTCGGGGTTTCAGTGGAATAGAAGAACGAGAAAAAAGATAATGGTAAAAGTGAGAATGATCATGAGACATTGTGTGTTTCAAGACGGCCTCAGCCACGTATAGCAAAACATTGCCTGTCGAATAAATGCCCTCATCCCTTAAACTCATATGGACATGATGAATGATTCTCTCCCAAAATAAACTCGAAACTTAAAAGTTTGAGCATAGTAATAAAAAGGAATAACATATGAAAATGTGGTGGGTGCGTGTGTCTGGGTATAACCCTGCATGCCCCTTACGAGGCTGCTTCTGCTGGCGCTTTTACAAAAACGTATCGAAGATCAATAATGCGCGGATACGAAGGGGTAATAAGTTGCAGTGTTCAAAACGACCTGCTGAGAAATCGAAGCGAAATGATTGAAGCGAGAGTGATGATGCGCCGTAGGATAGAAATAAGATCAAGTTGTCGCTGAATAGTAATTATCGAGTCAAAGCCGAAGCCGGGTATCATCATGAGTGAAACAGATCCCAAGCTCTTGCACACAGTCCAATGAATTCTTCCTTCTTTTTCAGTTGAGTTTCTGGTGAGTCACGGCCGGCGCCAAAGGGACCGAGGCGTGGTTGTTGGCGACCGAGCGGCGGGGTACCGTTGTCTTGTTCGTATTCGTCGCGGCCGCGTCTCCGAGAGCTGCCACTTCGGTGCAGATCAGGCCTGGATGCATATGCTGATGATCCATTCTTGGGCATTGGCGAGGGGGGTGTTGGGGGTTGGTGACCACCGTAATGGACCAGACGGGGCAGAAGATCCTCGCGACCCCCGGATAGTTGTTGAACAGCCTCCTCGGCGGACTTGTATTCTCGGGGTCTCGATGTTGGGGGCGGCTGTGTAAATTGTGGGGGCGGGAAGCTCGGCGATGGCATTGGGGGCTGGACATTAGAATGCGATGAGTGTCCTGGGCTGTTCTGATGGTAGGGGTTCCGCGCTGTTCCAAGAGGCTCTGGGAAGACGTCTGAGATGGGGGGTAACCGATTGTTGGTTTGCTGTGCCGGTACATGGTGGATGTGTGATGATTGCGACAGGTTTGACGGGCCATTGGCCAGCTGTCGTGAGGGTGGTGCATTGCCGCGCAGACCAGTAAAGGTTTGGTTGATGGGGGCTGACTGGATTACACGGTCGTTGGAAAAGGACGAATGTGAAGGAGGCGCAATGGAAAGACCGGGCGGTGGGCCCTTCCGGCGAGAGGTCTGAGGTGTCTTGATTGTCCGTCCAAAAGCACCAATCTCTGTGCCCCGTGTGTCTTCTGTCTCGGATGGTCCGCTCTTGCCGCCCTTCTGGCGCGCCTCGATGATCTGCCTTTGGCGTTCTCTTACATCTAAGCTTCTTTGCAGCTGCTCGCGCATGCCGGGGTCCTGGGTGTGGAAGCCAGGTGAGAGGCAGGCCATGCCAACATCGTGGAGGCCTAGGTGGGCACTGCCTTGGCCCGAGGGTCGTGCCGTGAGGGCACCCGACGAGTGGACAATGTTGTGGTTGGCGAGGTTGAGGCGCTGGGGCCGATGCCTGGTGGTGGTGGGCATGTCTGGCGATGTGGGCTCCTTCTTGACTACGACTTTGGGGACAGGGCCACGAGACCTGCGAGAGGAGGGACGGTTAGACATGAGTGACATGATATCTCTGTGGGGAGGAGACATGGAGGTGCAGGTGGGAGAGGAGGCCGAAGGAGGACGGCATGATGAGGAAGAAGATCGGGAAGAAAGACTAAACGACGTACGAAAGAGGTGAGGGCTTTGTCTCGGCTCTGTGCTGTGCACCTGGGCTGGAGGAGGTAGGTGAAGCATCTTCTCTTGGTGGCAGCTTAGAGCGAGAGTTGGGCGTCACTTGGTGGGGAGAGAGAGTAGAGGGCGCAATGGGAGCATATGTCCTCGAGGAGCCTACTCCGTCTGCCGACGCCGGTGCCGCATGCTGGGCAGGGGCCGGGGGATTGGCGACAACGGTGGTCATGGTCGCGTGTGGGCGTCCGTGTTGTGCTCGGTGGGAGGGGCAGATAGATTGTAGGAGTGAAGTGTGGCAGGGTCTTGTAGGAAGTCCGCTACACCAAGTGTCGAGGGATGTGGACAGGCCCGGGGGGGTTAGAGGCTGGTGCAACACTAAGCCGGAACCGAGTGCGGGCTGCGAGTTATGCGTGAGGATATGCACGCGGGCGGAGTGGTAGAAAAAATTAAATGCGACAAGAAGCAGCGCTGGCTGGCGTCGGAGAGAGACAGCACACGTCGTGTCTTTTGGGGCGCGGGTGTGGAGGGGATAAAAATGGCTCGCACAGACTTGTGTTTGCACAGGGCGGGCAGGGAATGGTCGAGCGATACAGCGGCTGGCATGCAGTAGACGACGTGCCTCCAGACGCCAGGCCGGGGGGCGGTTGACATGGGCGGCCCTATAGCGAGCGTCTGAGCCAGGCCCTCCATGCGTAGTGTGAGTTGGGGATGGCTAGGGCGAGCAGATGGTCGCG